AACCTGCTTGTCCAATTTCTGTATTTCTTCCATTTGCACTTGATCTAGATCGAAGTTGTGCGAGAGAGGACAGCTCAAGCAAGAATCACAATCTCAGGTTTTCAAGTGAAACCCCAACGATCTTTAATTAAAGACCATAAAAAACAACTTCAACCGCCGTTCTATCCAATACTCTTGTTCTTATAAAATTATATAAAAGTCAAAGTTAGCCCCAACGTATATTCGATCGACAAAAAGAACTGAAACCGCCGTTCTATTAAGTCTGAGGTTTTCAGGTGAACCCCGCCCTTAACGTCTTTTTCGCCAATGACTTGAGTGTGCAGTGCGGAGTGGAGAAAAGTGGCTCAGCAGAATTGACAAATGGAGAAAACGATTGTATGGGAAAGCATGGGTGCTATGGAAAAAAGCAAGACCAAAAAATCGCTTGCACACAGGGCAAACGGAGATGTGGAAAGAGGAGACTAGTGCATTTACAATACCTTTACAATCAACGTTCTTTGTGTGCTTGCGCCAACATTTCGCAACGAACGGACCCACACCATTGTTCTTTTGGCACTCTATCTTGTCTTGAAGGAGGGTTTGGCTGGGCCAGGGTCATGTTTTGCCAAAGACGCCAGCCACCGCCCCGGGCCTGGATTTGTTGAACGAGAGGACTGGTAGGGAGTCCTTTTTGTGGGACTAGCACCCTCCCTTCCATGTCGCATTACAGAGAGGCCTGCCGTTAGCAGTGGTAATGCCCCATGCCATTACAACCTCAAGATCAGCCGGCACAAGAAGTGAAGAAGCCAATAGAAATGATCCCTGTCCACGTCCGCACCCATGAACACCGACATTAGGTATCGGTTGTCTGCTAGGTGAAGTTGAATTGGACAAAGGGCTAAACACATAATTCATGAGTTGTGACTCATCTACTACAAAAAAGTAAAGGATAATATTGTTGATCGCAGATAAGCCACTTTACACGTCGATGTTCCACCGAGATGGAATTTTTTTGTTTTCTAGCAGCGCAAACTTTCTGCCGAATCTAGTTGGATAACGCTCATCAAAATCAAGAAAGGCCCTCTGGCATGGATTCAAATCTATTGCATTGTCATTAGCAATATTCCAAACAACATATTCCTACGTTGATGTCATCTTGAGACTGTCGACCACCATGTGATATGACCCAATCAAATGATCTTTCATCATGTCGTCATCAATTTCAATAAGACGAAGAGGGTCCGCAATTCCGTCCGTTCGGACATAGTACACTAGTAATGGTGGTTGATCTTTCACTGCCTCTTTCTCAGAAAATGATTCTCCTTTTCCCTTTGCAACCTGTTCCATCTCTTCTAAATCCTCTCTTCTCTTCTTCCGATCTTGCCACTTTCGGTAAAGTAGAATGACCTTTCCAGGAACATACAAGTGATCAGGGTCGTCAACTGAGACATTTTTTTGCGCCTCGTCTAACACATTGAACCTTGGTTGGAGAGCTGGTATGAGTATCTGAAAAAGAAGGAGTTGATCAAGCAGCAGCAGACGACGACAGCTTACCCTTCCTCTGCTGTCATGAGCATTTCTCCACCTTTTCCTTCTCGAATTTTCGACAAGTACGCAGCAGTAGACTGCATGTCCACGGGATCCATGCCAGCCTCAACCAGCTTCTCTTGAATTTTAGAGAGGATTTGAAGTAACACTTCTACATTGTTGAGACTGGTTCTAGTAATAACGTCCGAGTTGTTGACAATCGTGGTTGTGAAAGACGAGCAAGCACTTGCTGCCTTGTGATCCAAAACTGGGGGAGAAGCAAATGCCATCACTTCAAGTCTGTGGTTAGGGATCAATTCTGGATACTGAGATCGCAACAATAAGCCAGTCAAAGTAGCCGCACCAGCACCCAAGCTATGCCCGTACAAACAAAGTCGATAGTCGAGGGGAAGGAAGAGGTCCTTTACAAATGGCTTGAGGCTCTTTGCCAACGCATTTGAGGAAAAAAGAATACCTTCATGGGCGGAAATTTCTTTGAAGGAGTCGTCGTCGGCAATAAAACTGTGGTCCAACGCCTGCCTGGAAGTCGCCGCACAACAGTCCGTCAACATATCGGACAACGACGAGGTGCCTTTGATCCCAATCACCGCGGTTTTCGTTTCTGGATCGATTGCGATGAAATACCCAACATTGCCTGCTTCATCGACTTTTTCGTGTTTTAGCAAAGAGTACCCACAGGATGAAAGATTCTTCTCCAGTTCCTTGGTCGAGGTTAGATATGCCCATTCCGCAAAGTTCAAGCTTCGATCCAGGCCTTCGAGCTCTTTGGCATTGATTTCTGTGACATCCCCAGCGGTATTATACATTTTGTCTCGGGAGAACTCTGTGTCGCTTGGTGTTTTGGCTTGCGCTTGAATCACCAACTGAATCAAAGCTGGAAGAGTGACCCTAAAAGAGGAAAACGAATAAGGTTTCACTGAACATGCCTAGCTAGATGGTGCAAATAGTAGAAGCGATAAGCATACCTAAGTTTCACATCCTTGTAACGGTCCTCGAACTTGTTGCGAGCATTGTCAAGAAAAACTTGCATTTTAGCAGATACATCAATCAAGCTCCCAGCGTTATCAATCATGCTTCCAGCCTCTTTTGATGCATCTTCTTTGTCGTCTCCATTGCCCCAACCCCATGCCATTTTGTTTCAATTCCTTTGGACTTGCGAATTTTAACACAGATAGAGGAGTGAGTGGCACTATATATATTCTTTTTCCGGTGATATGCACGACAGTGCTACTGCCGTGTTACAGGTATGCAGTATCTTTATTCTGAGAATCAATCTTGGCGGCGTCATCAGGTCATGAGGGGTAAGTTTAGTCAAAAGTCTAACCCAGTACCCTCCAGGGTACGGGCAACAAATTCAAAACAAAACAATAACAGTGTCATCAATATAGGCGCATGTAATGCAACACGACTTACCCTCTTTCTGATCATTCATATTCAGAATACATTCTGATCATGGGGAATTTAGATGAGAGGCTTCGTTCGTTCACTGTGAAAGCTCACAAAATAGTATGCTTCTAAATCCATCAACAAAATGGCATTTGGATTATTTACCAGCAATAAAAATGAAGACCGAGATAATAATAATGATCGAGGGCATACTACCTCTTCATGGTGGATCCACCGGGGTGAAAGATCAAGGACAAATAAACGCGATTCCGATTTGAAGACTTCCCCTACTGCGGTCCGGAATTCCTTCCTTGCCGGTTGGACGGCCGGAATTACAGGAACATTGGCAGGCCACCCGCTGGATTCCCTGAAAGTCTGGGTGCAGACTGGGATTCGACCTACCAAAGACACTGCTTCCGCAAAATCATCGGGGATGCTGAATACTGTCCGTCGGTATTACTCGGGCGTTGGGGGGCCGTTGGTGACAGTCGGCATACTGTCGTCCATCAACTTTGCTGTCTATGATACGACAAGACGGTTCTTGTATTTCAATATCCAAAGACCAAAGGCTGATCCGTATGGCCCCGAACGACGCGACTATTTGAATGATGACTCCTACACATCCGTGGGTGTAGCAGGATTCGCTGCCGGAACTGTCTTGTCCATGATCCATGCTCCCATTCTCATGGTCAAGACAATGCAGCAGACCAAACAGATGACTGTTAAGGAGGCACTTCGGTTGACACGAGCACATCCGACAACTGGCTTTGGAGTTCACTTTCTCGTCGAAACATTAAATAGATCAGTGTACTTTTGCACATATGAATATCTGAAACGACAGTTTGAACAGCAGCAACGAGACTTGGATGATGATTCAATTTCGAAATCACCAAAAGCGTCCTTGGGTGGCCGAATGATCAGTGCTGCCGCAGCTGGAATCAACTGTTGGGCAATGCTGTACCCTGCTGATGCACTTCGAAGTCGTATGTACGCACATATGGCTACTGGTGATCCAGTTTCAAGCCTAGAAATGGTCAAGACTATGTATGCAGAAGGCGGAATCCGCAATTTCTATCGGGGATTTACGGTCACGACCTTGCGTGCTGGACCCGTGGCAGCCGCTATTCTTCCGGTGTACGATTATGTTTTGGATACTCTCAACTCGATGTCTTAAAAAAAAAAACAGCGAGCGACGGAAATAACAAGAGTCATTCCATAATGTAATATAGTACTATCAATTTTGTGCTTTTTGTGAATCATGTCTACCATCATTCGCAGCAGCGGTCCCCATTCTGTACCCTTCTTCTCAATAATCTCAGCTTTATCTCGTTTCCTGTTTGTGAGTTCATAATGCACAATATTGCTATGGCGGCCGCGACACAAGGAAGTTTGGAAAATGTCGAAAGGACCAAGATCCGGAAAGAGTGTCATGCGTGTATAAAAGCAGATTCGGATAAGATGGCAGTCAAGATTTCCTTTTTTTTAAGGCTAACTCAGTACCTCCAATCCAAACAGGACTGAATATAAAAGCATCATTGCAATTACGCTCTTCCAAGAATTCCGCCTTTGCTTTCTGATCATTCGTCTGTTCATTCTGATCATGGGGAAGTTTGTTTTTACTACAGATGGTCACAAAATAGTTGTTTCTAGCACCCATCAACACAATGGTATTCGGGTTATTTGACAGTCATGAAGATGATCAAAACAATGATCCATCGCAACAACAAGAAGATCGTCTGAAACTCATTCATAGGCGCAGTTCGATGCAAAAAATCGACGAAGCAGCTGCGCGGTCAAAGGAATTTCTCGAATCGGACAAGACGACTACTTCCCCAACTGCAGTCCGGAATTCTTTCATTGCTGGTTGGACGGCTGGAGTCACAGGAACTTTGGCCGGTCATCCACTGGATTCCCTGAAAGTATGGGTTCAGACTGGGATTCGACCTGCTGCAAACCCCCTTGCCGCAAATGCAAATGGGATGCTAAATACGGTCCGGCGGTATTACTCGGGTGTTGGAGGACCCTTGGTCACGGTGGGTTTGTTACAATCCATCAACTTTGCGGTATATGATACGACGAGACGATTCGTGTACTTTCACATTGACAATCCCCAAGCTGACCCCCATGGCCCCGAAGCACGCGACTACTTGAATCAAGACTCCTACACATCCGTGGGTGTAGCAGGATTCGCCGCCGGTTCTGTCCTGTCGCTGATTACTTCTCCCATTCTCATGGTCAAGACGATGCAACAGACCCGTGGAATGAAATTCCAGGAAGCTCTGCGAATGACTCGAGCAAATCCCGCTACAGGCTTTGGAGTCCACTTTGCAGTCGAGACCTTGAATCGGTCAGTATACTTTTGCACATATGAGTATCTGAAACGATACTTTGAGCAGCAACAATTACAGGATAATGACGATGCAAAACCAACAGCGTCCTTGGGTGGCCGAATGATCAGTGCTGCCGCTGCTGGAATCAATTGCTGGGCATGGCTGTACCCTGCTGACGCACTTCGAAGTCGTATGTATGCGCAAATGGCCGCTGGTGCTCCCATTTCAACCTTGGAAACAGCCAAAATTATGTATGCAGAGAACGGAGTGCGCAGTTTTTATCGTGGATTTACGGTCACGACCTTGCGTGCCGGACCTGTTGCCGCTGCCATTCTTCCAGTGTACGATTATGTTCTGGATACTCTCAATACGGTATCTTAAGAAACAGTGATTCAAATAATAGAGCCTTTGTTACATAGTATTATTATCAGCAATCTACTGTGTATGACAAGAAGGTGCAACCGGTACCAAGGATAGAATACTTCTACTGTATGATAATACTGTATTTTGAATCTACAAGGTCTATTTGATTTTTCGGGGAGGGATGATGTTTGACAACCCCCCGTTTTCCTAAGGCTTACTGACTGACTGACTCTTATGTCCTATGTCTACAAAAATACTTAGAGCAACCGAAACTTTTTTCGGCAGGTAATTAACAAGATCGACAAATTTCAGACTCTTTCACCCTCACATGCATGTCTCCAAATGTCTCCCGACAAAGATTTGCTTGGCAACGTCGCATCTGATCACTGCGGTAGAAATTCTGTCGTGACAACAATCTGGGACAATAGGTCTGAGAGTCCAGTTTTGAAACAGCGATTGACGAAACAACAGTTACGTTCAATTGTTTCAGAAAGCAGAAAAGCACACTCCAATTTATTCTTCTAGCAGCACAACCACACTGCTGCTAACGTACTAGAACCACAATGGTAGACAAAACTTTGATGCAGCGCAAGATCAAAAAGGTCAACCGGATCATGGGAGAAATTGAGGAAGATCAAGGAACCAACAACAAGCTCTACCGTGCCTACCAACGCAAGATTGATCGATACAATGATTTGTTGGATGATATGTCAGAAGAGGATTCTGTCCTGCATGGGAGTTCGGACGAAGCCTCTATACTGAGCCCCGCTCAATCTCAAGATATCCATGATTCGGATGCTGAATCAGACGAGAAAAGCCATGATTCTGAGAGTGAAGACGAGCATAGTGAGGCTGATCCCGAGGCTGAGGCTGAGGAAGAAGAAGAAGAAGCACCCAAGAAAAAGAAGAAGGTAAGCGGTGGCATGCCATTGATGGTGATGATAATGAGAATGATGGTGTAATTGTGATTTGAGTATTTAAAGCGCCAACATTCAACTAACCTGAATCCTTTTTTTTCTCTTTGCATAACAACAACAGAAAAAGAAGAAGCCAGCCGCTGATGGAGAGGAAGCACCCAAGAAGAAGAAAAAGGTGCGAAAATGGAGCTGACTTGCTTTTCCTCTCTTCTAGTTTTTCAGCACATGTACTCACTTTTGCCTCGTTCATTTTTGCCTTCTACAGAAAAAGAAGCCCGTTGATGGAGAGGAGGTTGTCAAGAAAAAGAAGAAGAAAAAGAAGCCAAAGGAAGACGAATAAGCTTCCTTTATTTGCGGGAAAATGAATGTGCTTGTATTAACAGATCGACAAGAAGTAGACTTTTTCATGACCTTTTATTGCTTACACACCTACACTTTGGTACTATTCTATTGCATTACTATTCTTACAAAATTGTAGCTAGAGGTTTTAATGACAAAAGGAGGCATTCATCATAACCCTTTGCTATCATTCTCCTTTCATCGTTCTTCATCGATGACCCTTCCAATCAGGTCGTATTCATCAAACCCCGTCAATTCGACCCAATAACGTTCCCCAGGATAAACCCGGGGGGTTCCTTCCAAAATGACTTGGCCGTCAATGTCGGGACATTGCCCATAGTATCGGCCAACAATGTCATCCCCTTGCATTCCTTCAATGACAATGTGGATTCGCTCCTTTCGATCGACACGGGCTTGGTTCTTTCGTCGAATAATTTCGAGCTGCGTCATCATTAGTCGTTCGTAGCGATCCTTCTTGATTTCTTCGGGCACATGATTGGGAAGCTTGTGTGCATAGGCCATCTTCTCGTCCGAGAATTCAAAGACTCCCACATTCTCCAACTCGAATTCCTTGACAAATTCTAAAAGGTGCTCAAAGTGTTCTTCCGTTTCCCCCGGAAAGCCAACCATGAGACTGGTGCGAATGTGAATATCTGGCAACCGTTCGCGTAAGGTTCGAATGGTATCTTGGATGTCTTGTGAGGTTGTCTTGCGCCGCATTAACTTGAGCATGTCATCGTGAGAGTGTTGAATGGGCATGTCAAGATACCGACAAATCCGAGTGTCCGATTCGAGAATGTCCACAATCTCGGGTGTGATTTCGTCGGGATACAAATACAGCAATCGTAGCCATAGGTTGGGATCATCTGTCGATGCCAGCATAGCCTTAAGGAGGGTTGCCAGATCGTTGGGTGAGGCGGGATCATTCTGGGGCAAGTCCTTGCCAAAGTCTCCAAGATCTTGGGCAATCAAAATGACTTCAGAGGATCCATATTCCAAAAGACCTTGGAATTCGTCTACGATTTGTGGGATGGGCTTGGATTGTAGTCTGCCCTTGATCTTTGGGATGATGCAAAAACTGCAAGCTTTCTTGCATCCCTCCGCGATCTTCAAATAGGCATAATGTGGCGGTGTAGCAATGAATCGTGGGGTATCTCCTTGCTCCAAAAAGCTCCGTCTTCGTGCCGATTGAATCAATTGTTGCTTGTGTTTTTCTTCTCCATTCGCCATTGCATCATCTTGTTCGTCCAACTTGGAAATGGTTTCCACAATCTTGTCAACTGCACCAGAGCCCAGAATCGAATCGACCTGAGGGTATTCTTCCAGGATCTGATCCTTATGCAAGTTCACCATACATCCCGTCACAATCAATTTACTTGAATCCTTCTTGGTGTCAATCATTTCTCGAATGGCAGACTTGGATTCGTCTCGTGCCGACTCTAGGAATCCACAGGTATTCAGAACCAGATAATCTGCATTTTCCATTTCTTGGGTCACCTCCAATCCTCCTTGGTCCAGAGACAATCCCAGCATGACTTCGGTATCTACAAAGTTACGTGGGCATCCAAGCGACTGAAACATGATTTTCTTCTTGTGGTTGGGTTCGGCTCGAAATTGGGATCGTCGGGCTCGAGCAAAGTGCCGTCGTTGGGTGTAGTAGAGATTGAAGGGGAAAGGGTCTCGCCTTCTCGTGTATTTTACTTGTGCAAGTGGTTTGGCACATGTATGGATACCATTTCTCATGGTGAAATTTCCAAGGTTTTTGGAATAAATCTGATATTCCAACGCACAGATCGATAATATGCTGTGGTTTTGAAAATTGATGGCTCGTGTCCGTACGCCCTCCGTCCTCCGTATTCAAATTCAGAAAGGAAATTACAATACTGTAGGTAGTAGAGTTTACATGTTCAGCCATCAGCACTACAATACACTTCATTCATTCGGAGAGGGTTCATTCTTCCTCCGCAATCTTGTCCAACCATCCCAACACTACTGGTACGATGAAAGAGGCACCGCATTGGATTCTATAAAAAGGCCGATGCGAAAGATCCGACTCGGTATGGTGAGGCAATGTAGACTCCATCATCATTTTCCAAAGCCACAATTCCAGCAGTGACGCGGCTTCAAATCTTTCATATCTTTCCATGGCGGCACACATATTTCCCACCAGCGTCTCTCGCCTTCCCTGATGATTTTGCTCGTTCAAAAGTTCATCCAACTGTTGTGAAGTTTCCTCAAGCCAGGCTTCGTGGCCCCAAAGTTCTAGTCGATCCATTGTCCATGCCTTCAATGCCAATGTCATCAGAGACTTCGTGTCTTCTGACCAGTAAGATCCCAACAAGTAGTCTGTGGCACGCATTCCAAATACATCTTTCCTTCCAAGTATGTAGGTCGGAAAATTATCCAACAACAACACTTGCAACAGATCCATCCTGCGCGTCGGCGAGGACAAGAGCAAATGGAATGGCGTCATTCCAAAAGCATCCTCAAAATAATCGTCCTTTTGAACATGTCCATCACCATTACAGCGTAAAGTGATTGCTTCTTGTAGTTCGTTGGTGGTGGTGACCGATGCGTGGTAACACTTCTCATGGATGGGATGTTGTGCGAACCGGTCAACAGTTGCTTTTGCAATCTCGTCCTCCTCACCATAGATTTCATGTAGGTTCTCGCAACCATCAAAACAACCATTATCCCTAAACGAAAAAGCCATGGCTGGTGAAATCGAAATGTTTGTCAAAGACGAACAGTCCTCAAACACAAATTGGCCAATTTTAGAATTGATTCCGGCTTCGAATTCGACAGTGATCAAGTTGGAACACCCTTTGAAGGCTTTCGCACCAATCGTTCCAAGGGATCGTGGAAGATGTATAGCCCACAATGCCCTGCAAGATGCAAACGCCAAGTCGCCAAGAAACGTCAGACGAGAGGACATTTGCACATCCCGCAAGGATGTGCATCTCGCAAAGCAAGAATATCCAACCACGCCCACCGTAGAAGGAATCTTGATGCGCCTCAAGGAGGTACAGCTTTTGAATGCACAGGATCCAATCGTCTGTAGTCCATCTTGTAGTGTCACATCCACCAATGATGAACACTGACCAAAGACTGAATAGTGAAGGATACTGACAGTGGACGGAATCTTGATTCGTTCCAAAGATTTGCAGTCTTCCAAAACCCGATCTCCAATCTCTTTTAGTCCCTCTTGCAGCGTCAGTTCCGTCAGCGAAATACAACCCTTAAAGGCACGAATTTTAATCGCTTCCACGGTGGCTGGAATGTGAACCTGTTGCAATCCTCGGCACCCTTCAAACGCCCGCTCCCCGATCGTTACAAGTCCATCTTGCAGATCCAATTCTGCGAGGCTCTTGCAATCATTAAAGGTACAGTCTTCTATCGTCTCCACGGATGAAGGAATGCTGATGTCATACAAAGAAAGACAGCCAAAAAACGCCCCATATCCAATGTGCTTCAATCGTGCATGCCTTTCATGTACTTGGACATCTGGAATTGAAACATAACGCAAGGACGTACAAAGAGAGAACGCATTCTTTCCGACGGTTTCCAAAGTTGAAGGCAGGGATAATACCTCTAAGGAGGAGCAGCGTTTGAATGCCCTTTCGTCAATATGGCAAACACCTTCCCGACACACCACCTCCCGAATGTCTTGATTTCCCTCGTACTCGTCTGCTTCAATTCTGAATTCTGATGATGCGACCATTTGGCGGTGTTGGTCGAGATCTTGGGATTCATCTTCCAATATCATCATCCTCTTTTGCGAGGAGTTCACATTAACATGTCCTCCGTCATGGACAGGACCGTGTGGCAAAAACGTGTATTTCGAGATTCAGTTCGTTCGAATAAATTTAGGGACCATGAATAAGGGGGACAAATCGTAATTTCAGGGGATTGCGATTTTGACTCATTGAAGAAACGCAAGACGCATCATCATCAGTTTCCATCTTATTTTATTCATGACACATCATGAACGAATTGTATCATTTGCCATATTAGTCACACAAAAGTAACATGCTCTCTCGTTCAGCATCTAGGCACCCGTTCAAGCGACTTGTCGAAGGACTCAAAGAAAAGGGCAAAACCGTGACGGTGGTCGAATCATGTTGTGGAGGTCTGATCAATGCCTCCATCATGGCAATTCCAGGATCCTCTCAAGGTAGTAATTATGCTTTGCATGCGACGTTCCACGCCACCCCTAGTAGCTTTGTATATATTCTAATTTTCTCGTTCGTCGTCCAGTTTTCTTTGGAGGATCAGTAGCGTATAATACCAAACAGTCACAGAAATTTCTCATGAATGACTCGGAACTACACTCGAAACTGCTGGCACAGCGACCACCATCAACTGCCGGAGAAAGTGAAGCTGCCAACTACATTCAATCCAAATTCCACTGGACGGCAGAAACAGCAAAAGCATTCTGTGAACAGAATAATGTCGATTATGCAATCGCCGAAGGAGGAGCATCCGGGCCCACCTTTCGTCCCAAAGACCTTGACAAGGGGTTCGCAGTGATTGCCATTGCGGGAAAGGGGAAAGATGGAAAGGCAGAAATCCTGGCACAAGATGTGATCCGATCGTCACATGCTAATCGTCAGGAGAATATGCAACTCTTTGCGGATGCAGCAGCCGCACTGGCAGCAGATACTATGGGTATTCCTGCGGTCGACGACAGTGAAAGTAGTAGTACTACTAATACTAAGAACGAGCCAGCAGGCATGATCGAACCATCCATTCCATCGCTCGACCGAGCCACATATTTGAGAACGGATGCGGCAGCTCTGAAGCAGCTGGAAGCAAGAGAGGACGCCAAACTAGTTATCATTCGGGATTCCAACGATTGTCTGTTCTCTTCCGATACCCAGCTGGCCCAAATACGCAACAGTGAACAACTACAGGACTTACCCAAGACGTTTTTGGGACTAGAGACAGATTCTGGCATTCCATTCTTTGGAATTGAAGTGAATGAAGAGACGGAGCATCTACTAGACTTAAAAGGCGAAAATAATGGATGTTACTTTGACAACACGCGGACCCATGCCCCTCTGTTAAGTTCCGAAGATTACGAATTGGCGTTGTACGCTACAGCGCTATCGCAATGGAAAAGGACCCACAAGTTTTGCAACATTTGTGGCAGTGAGACCAATTTGATTCAAGGCGGAACTGCCATGAAATGCAGTGGATGTGGGGCCTTGTCGTGGCCCCGTCAAGATCCTAGTATTATTGTGCTAATTACCAACCGAGACGGGGACAAGGCGCTCTTGGCGAGATCCCCCCGACATCCCGACAAAGTCCATACGGCCATTGCCGGGTTTGTAGAAGCGGGCGAAACCTTTGAAATGGCAGTCATGCGAGAAGCCTACGAAGAAACTGGAATCCGCGTGGATCCCAAGTCAATTGAATACTTTTCATCGCAACCGTGGCCATTCCCTCGCTCCTCCATGATTGGCTTTCGGGCGACTGCCGACGATACTCTGCCATTGAACATTGATACGAATGAGTTAGTGAGTGCCTTGTGGTTCGAAAAGGACTCGGTAACGGCAGCCTCGCAGATTCCAGGAGCAGTCATGAAGCATGAAATTGCCAATCAAGCTCTGAAAGATAATCCATCGTTGGATCTTTTGATTCCACCAACAGGTGTCTTGGCCCGCTCCTTGATTGATGATTGGTTGGAGGATCCATAAACAATAAACAGCTGAATAATTGGCTTAAAATGCTTCGTCCACCTTTTCCCTCTGTCCCTCCTCTCTTTACAGCTTCAACTTGTGCGTGACATTAGTTGCTGCGTTTCGAATAAAAGTTCATTAGCTGGCGGTAAAGTATCGCCGTCGCCCATTACCACCGCCATTTGATTTGGCGTATCCGGTATTTCCTTCCAATCTCCAGCCAACAACGGCCGGTAATAATCAGACTTGTTGTTGTTACTGCCTGGCAACAATAAATACGGCAATCGGGATTCCCATTCCTTCTCCAGTATGGGATCACAAGTGGACAAGACTACTCCCACTTCCACATTTCCTGGCATGCGATCGGCGTGACCCCAAGCTGCCCTGCTAAAGTTGTGGGATCCCACATACAATATGGAGGGTTTGCTCAATTGCGGCATTGCTGTCGACTTGTTGTATTTGCAATAGAGCACCTTGGCATGAGCAAAGGGATGTTTCGGTCGTGTTTCGGTTCGTTCAAAATTGGGATTGGGAATGGCGTCGGCAAAGAGTTGCTGTTGGGCTATTCTTGGAATACTATTCCAGTGCGACTTGGTCATTAGTCGGCCATTCCAAGTAGGGTCCATTTTCCGTGCTGTTTCGAGGCTGGGTAGAAGGCATTGAATCCCCGCTAGTTTGGCCCACTCTTGAGCCATGCCCTTCTTGTCATTCATGGCCGGGAAATCATCAAAGAAGGTATCCTTTCCTGTCATGGCATTCTTCATGCACTTGAGCAAGGTAGGATCCAAATTCCCAATCGAACCTGACATGGCATAGAGGACATAACGATCCTTCCGTTTCTCTGTGTCAGAAGTAGAAGGATGATACTCGGGTGTATTGGGAGAATTCCAGTCATTTTCGGTATCATAGTCATCGAGAAGGCAGTCTTGCACCACTTCGGTCAACAGTTTCCAACCACCCCTCTCCCCAGCATCATTTTTGAGTCGAGGAAAGGAATAGACCAAGGACGCATTGGATTGCTCCAGATCAATATTGCAAAAGAGCGCCTCCAAGTGTTCCTTAATGAATCGTTGATGACTACCACCTTGACAAAGGTCTGTCAGAAAGCTCCGCAATGGCATCTTGTGGGATTCTTCTTGCTTTGTGCCATGGTGGTGGTAACAACAATGATCATTCGTCATTGTCACTTCTTTAAAATCTTGGACCCACAGGCAATCCCGATCATTTTCCCACTGATATTGATAGAAATTGTTACCACTCACCACCAACCTCAATCCACCTTGGCTACAACGAAACAATATTACTTTGGGATGCATGCACCCACGCGTGTGAGGTTGATAGGCGAGCCTGTACCAGTTTTCTTGCTTTTTGCGCCGCACCTTGATTTCCTTCATCATCATCATTTGTTCTTCCTCTCCATGGTGCACCAATAAGACATGACTGGGCCTGGCATATTTCCCATACGGCCCACCCAAAATGGTTTGATCCAACCATTCAAAGGCCTGAGGAGCGCAAAAGGAAGTGGCCAGAATCCGAGTGCAGTCGGGGGGAACTAGCTCGGCAAGCGTCACAAAGCCATCTTTGACAACTTCGCTGGGGTGAAGGGAATTTCGAAAAATGGTCCGCCCATCAAAATATCCAAATGGCAATCGTTCTCTTGTATTAGTGGTAATAGCATTATTATCACCAACATCATTGGTATTGATGGTGGCTGGCAAGGGTGTTGCAGATGACATGGATGGTCCCTTGTCTTCTTTTTTCTCTGTCCGTTGACGTTTTCGAATATTGGTAGTGCGCATCAGTGGGATGCTATCTTTGGGCTTTTTCATTGTGGCAGTCTCCACACTCCTTCTGTTGGCATCATTCTCGTTACTAGTAGTACTTTCTTGCTTGTGCTGCCTTCTTCTCTTTTGATCTCGTTTCTCTTGTCGTCGCTTCTGCTTGCGCCTTTTTTCAATGGCCTGAAGGTTTGCAATGACGGCATCCATACCAAAGGATGGTGTCGTACTGCTGGGAGGTTGTGGATTCACCATCCTTTACGTATACTGTATATAATAAAAATAGTATTGTTGCAATCAATAATAATGGTTCATCAGATTTTATGGCCACGGCAACCCCCAGAATGACCCCCTTCTTTTTCACTTTAGGGGAATTTTGGTTTGGCGCATCATGGTGATGATGATTTGAATTCTGCGTACAATACGCGTGGAAGTAGTACCAAGTACCGTCATAATACCGTACAAACTCATCGTATGTGAGATGCCCTACCAGAAAAAGAGTCGCACTTGCAGATGTCAGCCCCCAAATCACTATTGACAAAAGCATTCTTCCATCACTTTTTGTGCCGAACACAAAACGGCATCAAGTTTCACAGTCAATTGAGCCTTTTAATCATTCCTTTCAAGCCGACAATGACCACCCTAACCGCACCTCACGAGGGCAAAAACTTGCTCACTCCTCCCTCTTCTACCACTTGTCATGGTATGTCTGTGATGAAGCGATTGAATCGCCGCAGAGTTCTTCAAAACAAGAACGAGATTGTCACTTTGTTGGTGACACCCAATGATGAAGAGGAAATCATGACACCCCGCAAGCTGTTGGCCACCATGAGTGAGTACCAAGCTCAAAACAACAACAACAACAACAGTAGCAACATTCACTTGGTCCATGTGGGAAAGTATATCATCTCTCTCCAGCCCGAGAACTGCCGTTCCTTGGCTGCCTTGTTTGAAGAAGAATCTAACAACGAGAACGCCGAAAACAATCCAATTGTGTTTGCACCAACTTCTTATGCCACTCCACCACGCACCACCATTAACAACAACAACAACAAGCACTTCCTGTCTCCACCCACCACTCCACCAGCTACCAAGAAGCCCCGCACCTTGCAAGCCCCACCAGGCTTGCACATTCCTCTTCCAACCTTGGATGAGGGAACCAACAACTATGTTGGATCTGAACTAGGCCCAACTTCATTGAAGCCTCGCAACCTCAACCTTACCTTTCACAGCACTCTTTTTGCCAATGATACCACATTGGCCTAGAGTTTTTTTAATTTTGTCATCAACAAGGGAACATTAATACGGTTTGGGGAATACCAGTACATTTTAACAATACAAGAATTATTTCAACAACAACAACAACAACGACCACACACTAAAATCATCCATCTGCATGTGCTGCATTAGTTTTTCTTTTCCTCTCTATCTTCTTCGATAATTTCAAGAACTTCATTCCAAGCGCAGGCGGGTCGATGTCAGCCAAAAAAAGGAAGAGACAGCCTCGGAAACCAGCTGAAATGGATTCTAAATTCGAAAAATGTAGCCAATCCTATGGCGGGAAGTAAGTCGTACAATGACCGGAAGTGTGATTTCATCAGACACAGTTATTTCACACCGCGGGATTTCAATGGGATTTGAGGCTTTCATGTGCCCATACACTGTACCGGTATATTTGTCAACAGTATAGTACCATCTCAATGATTGATTGATTGATTCATTCAATCAATTGATTCATTCAACTATTTCATTCTCTCTATATTTGTTTCAATTTTCAATTTTTTATAAAATACTAACATCACAATACATTATATTTATTCCACATTCCAATCATAATCCGTTGCCTTCCACACTCTTTTTCTATTTTATTGAAATTCTCCCCAGAATTCTTCTTGCCATTGATCCAATTTTTCCAAGACGAGCCTTAGTCGTTGTTTGGTGGAAGGCGTTTGTAAGAATTGCGGCCGCAATTGTTTGGTCACATCGGCATTCTTTTCCAATAGGCTCAACGCAGAATAGCTCAGACGCTTTTGTCGACGATGTTTGGGATAATGGGGATGGACTCGAACAAAATCATGTCGAGCCTTTTGATGCCGTAACGTCTTGGCAGTCAAAGTAGAAGTCGTAGAAGTAGTTGTACTCGTAGTCGTAGTATTGGTGGGCACCAATTGCGTCGCCTCGAAGTCCCGGACAATGTTGTAAATCAAAAAGTCGGACGGCCAATCTTCCACATTGGTGGCAATCGAAGTAGTAGAAGAAATATCATCATCATTGTTGTTGTTCATTTGCAAATCCCGTCGGGGAAGAAGCCCCAAGACGATGGGCGAAATGGGAATCTTGGTGGCACTGAGATACCGATTCATGGCCAACCATAGTTCGTATTCCAATTCATCGCTGTCCATGGCATCATACTTGGAAGCGTATTCGGGATCAAATAAGGGTGCCTTTAATATACCCTTTTGAAAGAGTTGAGACTCGAGGCTTGGTGGTGGTGGTGACTGTTGATCGTCTCTTGACGACGATGATTCAGTGTCGGTACACGTGGTTGCCAAACAAGTGGCATCGCTGCTTGTGGAGGAGGATGCTGCTGGTGTTATTGGCTTCCCAAAGTGATGTTGCAAGGTCGCCTTGACTTCGGATTCCAAGGGTGGCGCCAATGTCTTGGCAAAAGGACAAAATGGCAACAAGCGAGCAATGCTGCTCCACAAAATATCCGTCGGTTCCAAATACGTCTTGTTGGAGATTCCGGCCAGTGATTGGTCGGGATCGTATTCGTAATCGTGATAACGCACCGATTCTTGGACGGCCATGCCGCGAGACAATGCCAAATCGGCTTCGGAAAGTTTCCAAAACAGTTGTTGGTTTTCTGGGAGTGACGATGATTCATCGTCTTTCTCCAAACAGGAGGAACTCAAAAAGGCGGCATCCAACTCCTCGGGATCGGGCACAATTTGAGCATCCACAATCGAATAGGGCAATTCCTGTTGAATGTCCGTGACTGCAAAGCGTTCCATGGCATGCACAAGCAACAATAGTCGGCCATTGGAAAATCGACGATAGTCTTGAATGTGCATGAGGCAGCCCATGGTCGCAGAATGTTGGGTACATTTGGAGTCTCCATGCGTCTCCCAAGTGGCGAGTGATCCAGCCCGGAGATTCTTGGAGCCACCTTCCAGAAACAAATGACCAAAGCACCAAGGTTTCGGTTTGCGAATGATTTGTTCAAACATGTTTGTGTAAATAGGATCGTGGACGTTCAAAACATTGGAGCGACCAGGGACTTCCCACCAGGGAGCTCTCCAGAGTGGCAAATTGTGTAATTTGCCAGAGGATGCTTCGAGTCGCGTCATGGACAACGATGCCGCCGCAGCAGTAGGGGAAGAACTGGTGGAAGAAGAAGAAGAAGACGATGTCTCGTCCGAGTCATTCCCATTACTAATATTCTCAGCCTCATCGGTCACATCGGCATCGGGCTTGTAAAAAGCAACTTGGAGTGATCGAACAGCTTCCATTCGACGAGCTTCTGCTTCTTCGTCTCCTTCCTTATTACTGTTGTTTTCATTGCTGTTGTTATCCTTATCATCTTTGGTGTAGTAGACTCTTGTAGTAAACGAGGAGGAAGAAGAAAAGGAATGGTAGCGACTAGTCATCATGGATGGATGATGATTATTCAAGGAGCCAGCACCGAGCCAAGCATGGCAAGAATTCTGTTGCGACAGCATGCAAACAATGCTGGCTATCAGCAACATTGTTCTATTTGATTGTGCTTGTGCTTGTGATTGTGTTTGTATTACTGCCATCATCTTGGAGCTAGTATTAAATATTTATATGTGCAATCGACAACAGAAATGATATGCGTCGTTTGATGTATCAAAAAGTGAATGAAAGAATCGAATGATGTTGCATTTTTCGTGGTGGGGTAGAAGGTTCTTGTTGTGGAAACAGATGGCGAATGTTCCGTTTCTCTAAACCAATCACAATCCGTAATTTTATGATGACGCCAGCATTTTTCATAGGGTTGTTCTGTTTTCCAGCACCAAAAAGCCAAAAAGCACAAGCACCAACCAACCAAGGCAAAACTTAGTCAGAAAAACAAAATGAGAAACGACCCACAAAACGATTATTCAGTAATATCATACGAAAAGATATATTCCATGAGACTACGACTCTAGATACTACAATTTGCTCGTCATTCATATAGAATTTCCGCTGTAGACAATATCGGTATCCCGATTCCGCCAATTCCGTACATTGCTCTTGCCGGTACTAGTTCTAGTGCCACCAGAAGTTCCACCTCCACCACCCAATCCCACTTTTTGACTGCACAAGGGCACGGTCGCACAAAAGGCTCGAAATTTGAGTACCTTCCTCAAGTCTTTTCTGGAAATGGTGGGTGTTGCTGTCGTCTTGTTGCCTTCTGCGGTTGTTGTTGTAGCCTTTTTGGTGGGCGTGCCTACACCCAGGTCGTGCCCGTACATATTGTCCCAATTCTTGAACAATTCCAATCCAATCCAACTGTCGACGGGACCTCGGACGGGTAGTTGGTTCATCAAGTACCGACATCCTTTTAACGAAATAATATATCCAGTCAAGTACCAAATGCAAGAGGGGATGCTAATTTCGGAGGAAAATGGAATCAGCGGAGCCGTCTTGGGGCGACTGTACCCAATGGAACAAAAATGAAAGTCACGGGGGAGTTCGTTTAGGACACCAAACAATCGATCTTGAAACCGATCCACCAAAATAGCATCGTCTTCCAAAATAATGCAAACCGGAGTGGGGGGCATTCCTTCATTCTCGGGAAACAAAGAAGGGCCTCGGGCGTATCCACTGATTTGGAACTTTTGTCGCCAATGAGATGGATTCCGAAAAACGGAATCATTGTCTAAAAAGGCAAAACTAATTAGGTGAGACATCCGCATGATTTCCAGGTTGACTTGGAACAACAAGCCACAATAGCAACTCACCTTTCTGCATCAACGACGACTCGTTACTAATGCCACTTCCTTCCATCAATTCCAAGGATTGCACCACACCTTTCCATGAGGCAATATGGGACAGTGCACATGCCTTTTCGCTCGGGCTAATCCTGGTTTCGTCCAACGAATCAGGGGCTTCACTATCAAAGACTTGAAGATCATTCGGTCGCCAATGGGATTGGACTAGCTGTTGGGATATTTCATCATCGTCATCATCTTGAGTGCCGAGACGTTGCGCGAAGCGAGCTTCAATTTCAGCGGGTCGTCCATTGCCTCCATCAAAGGCGTAGCAAAATTGACGAGTCCCCGCCGACTCCTCGCCAGTGCCAGTACCAGTACCAGTCCTTTTGCCAATGTCCATGACAGCTCTCATCACCAACAAGTTAGAGTGAGCCGCTTGGGCAAGAAAGGAAGCAAGACGATCCGGGCGTCGTTCCAAATTGATGACCCTCACCACAATTGCTTGTCCAACGGATTCCATCAAATTCAAAGCGCTTGGCAATAAGGGAGCGCTAGAATCCAATCTATTCAGACATGACTCCAATATTTTTAGAGCCGATTCACCATCCGCCATTTCCAAACAGGTAGCGAGTGACAGCATGGCAAGTTCAATGGCCATGCCACGGCCATCCTTGTCATTCTTGCAAAATTGCTCAAATGCTTTGAAGGTTTCCTTCGAATAGTCCCATAGTCGCATTCCTCCCATGGCCAAGGTAGATGGAGACAATACCACCTGTCGATGCTTTTCAATCATTCGGATTTCCAACGCTTTTTTGGCCTTGACGCAAGCCAAGACAAGGTTTTCATTCTCTTCACTTTTCTTGAGGCTGCTTGCAAACAAATTGTCGATGGATTTGACATCGCCCGACGTGACCAGCAGTGCTTGGAGCAGCATTGGTTGTAGCGTCGATGAAATAGCGTCATTCTTCATGGCTCGACCAAGATCTTTCACCATGGTTTGCAGCACCTCGGATATCTCTTCCAAGCCATTCCTATCCTTTTCCAATGGCGAGGAGTATGGCTCCCAAAATGGGTGGTTTGCTTCCAGTCGTGTTTTGGCCGCTAGCTCGACGCGAGCAGTATCAGCGATCCTATCATCTTCGCTCTTGCTCCGAGACAGCTGGATCATCCCAGTAGCTTCCACCAAGATACATATAGTTTGTGAAATCCATTTCCAGTCGCCCTCCTTGTGCCGAGACAAATGGCTTTTCAGAATGTCGTGTGCATCCAAACTACCACTGCATAAGATAGACTCCAGAATACAAGTACTCTGAACCGGTGGAAGTTTGAATGGCGTGCTGTTGATGGCGATTGAAGGTGTTGTTGCCATCAAGTAACGCCAAAAAAATTGAAAGAATCCTCTTGGGTCTTGACGAGCTAGATGCATTCTGCTGACAAATTGTGCCAGGAAACACCGTTCCATCAAGGCTGCCAGACGAGAAAAGTTCTTGGTTGGAGCCGCAATTTTGTGTTCATTCATACTGATCTGTTGGCTCTCTTCATCGTGGTCAATTGGTTCGAAATGAAGGCTGCCTGTCATCAAGCGGGTAGCCCGATCTTGGACGGGCCACAGCTCGCATATTTCACCCTCGAGCGATCGCACTAGATTTAACACCATGGTGTGCCGGTCTTTCATCCCAAGGATGAGTCTATCGTGACCGGCCAAATCATCTTCGTCGATTTCATCTAGGATCGGACAGTGGATTTCCATGAGACGAAAGACTTCTGAAAGGCTCAGCATTCCCTCAACCGCAGGATGGGGACAGAAAGTGGTATCAGGAGATTCTTGATGTACCATGAAACAAGGAATAAGATCTTTGGTCATGAATGGATAGTATGATTCCACTGGTTCTTCTCCCTTCTTTTTAGCATCCTCGTGGATACGAACCAATGCCTTGATGCTTTGTAGTAGATCTGTCAGCACACACGAATCTTCTCGTCTCTGAAGAATCACCTTCGATTGTGGGGCTTCGACTTGCGAGTCTGAGAGTTCCTTTTCTTGGTCTTCATCGTTTTGGTCCTCTTGAGATATGGTCTTTTCTTCGACCAAAATGATTCCCAATTCCGAAAGCAAATCGTTTGCTTTTTGGAGGCTTTGCAACGCTTGATTGTTTCTCAGTTTCTGTACTTTCTGATTAGGTGAATCTTGTTTCTGATTTTCAGAGAATTGGCTTTCCAGCCAACCGGTGGAGTACTCGTCGTCATCTTCATCGTCGTCATCGGTATCGTCAGACGACAACGCAAGAATATGCAACGGCGCGCGCTTCTGAATAGTTTGCCTTGAAGATGGCTCATTTTTTTCATCCTCTTCCCCCTCATCACTGTCCTCAGAGGACAACGCTAAGATGTTCAATGGTGGGGCAGCCTTTTCGTTTTGCAAAGAGGTTGTATTTTTCGGAGATTCGTTTCCATTTTCCTCCGCGTCTTCAGATGACATGGACGCAAAATCTAGCCAGTCTTCATCTTCAGCCGCCGGTTGGGTATCCATCTTCTTAGGCGATAGCTCCTTATCCGAAGCTTTGGAAGCTTTGGAAACTACGTTTGAGTTAGTTTCATTGGCATTTCCGCTGTTTGTTTCAGGCGACTTCTCCATCCCAGATGGGTTTTCAGTTCGCAGTCTCTGTCTTTGAGGCCGTTCTCTGTCTTCGTCATGTTGAATCTGATCTGGTGGTCGCTTTTTACTTCCAGTCGATGCAGAGGCGGAACCACGCTCAGCATCCAATTGTTCTGCCTTGGCCTTCCATTCCAAACTTTCTGCCTGAGATTTTCGGGCTCGGCGCTTCCATTTGGTGACATCGTAGTCCAAGTTTTCCTGCAAGGCTTGGAAATATTTTAGAACAGACTTGTTCTTTTGTATGAGTTTGACCAGGGCTGCAGGAGGTGGCGGTGGAGGTTTAGGAGGAGTCTCTTCAACGGCAGCTGCGACACTTTTGGACTGTTGCTTTGCTGGACCTCCTGACTTCTTCTTGGATGTCTTTCTAGGCATTGAGAGATAGTTTCTTGTAAGATCAGTTCTTCATGCTTCCTTACAGAGGTGACCCCATGTTTCACAAGATATTGGCCGTTCAAAGTGTCCTGCAAAGCTGCGATTGGGCGGTGCAGTAGTTTTGATGTGAAACAATATGAAAAACGAGCGTATGCTTTGAAAAAATGAAATGTGACGGATGTATGGCAGACTTTCCAAAGGAAACCCGGATGCAATGTCGTGATCATATCCATCGAAAACCGGATGGCTCTTGAAGAAGCTTGGAGTGGAGTTCGGATACGATGCGAAGTGAAATCATCTTCGCCATCTGGCACCTAAAAGTATCTTTTAATCATAAAAAGAAAAACGTTGCATTTGCATCCCCACTTACTCTCCATACTCTACTTTCATCATGCCTCTTAGCCTTGGAATCAACGGATTTGGACGTATCGGACGTCTTGTCTGCCGTGCCGCTCTTGACAACCCAGATGCCACTGTCGTCGCTGTCAACGACCCCTTCCTTGATATTAACTACGCCGCTTACCAATTCAAGTACGACTCTGTCCACGGAACCTACCCAGGTGACGTTACCGTCGAAGGTGACTGCCTCAACATTGGAGGAACCAAGGTCAAGTTCTTCGCCTGCAGAGATCCTGCAGAGATCCCATGGGGCGCCGTCGGTGCTGAGACTGTTTGCGAGTCCACTGGTGTCTTTACCAAGATCGAAAAGGTACGTCTTATGATTGTGTTCAAATTGCTGCTTATAAATTGATTGGATTATCGCATATCCTCACTGATCATCACACATTGTTGACTTTTCTTTTCCTTATCATGATTACAGGCATCCCTTCACATCAAGGGTGGCTGCAAGAAGGTCATCATCTCTGCTCCATCTGCTGATGCTCCCATGTACGTGATGGGAGTCAACCACACTTCTTACGCTGGGGCCGAAGTGTTCTCCAACGCTTCGTGTACTACCAACTGCCTTGCTCCTGTGGCCAAGGTCATTCACGACAAGTTTGGCATCGTCGAGGGTCTCATGACCACCATCCATGCTGGTACTGCCAACCAATTGGTTGTCGATGGACCTGCCAAGGGAGGAAAGGACTGGCGCGCTGGACGTTGTGCCTTGAACAACCTTATCCCTGCCAGTACCGGAGCCGCCAAGGCTGTCGGTAAGGTCATTCCTGAACTCAACGGGAAGTTGACCGGTATGGCTGTCCGTGTTCCTACTCCCGATGTTTCGTTGGTCGACTTGACTGTTCGCACCGAAAAGGCCTGCACTGGTGAAGAGCTGAAGGCTGCCTTGAAGGAAGCCGCTGAGGGTGACCTCAAGGGTATTCTTGGATACACCGATGACTCCATTGTGTCCCAAGATATGCTTCATGACCCCCGCAGTTCCATCGTTGACGGAAGTGCTTGCATGGCATTGAACTCGAACTTCCACAAGGTCATCTCGTGGTACGATAACGAATGGGGATACTCCAACCGTTTGGTCGACTTGGCCATGTACTGCAACGACAAGTAAAGAAACCGCGAAGTCAAGACTGTGTCTTTTGATCACGGACGATGACGAACACCAAAACTTGGCAAAGTGAAACTGTGGTCGTGCACAGGAATCACTCTGTTGTCTAGTTTCTCTGTTTTTTTTAGTTTCGCAGTAATATTTAGCATCGTCATTGTAATTTACTCTTCATCTTCATTCTCAAAAGGCATTTTGTTTGTAGGACGAATAAATCAATCCTTGGAAGGGTATAATGACATGATTTCATGATCCGAACCTGCAGATTGAGGTAGGAATCGTATTTTGCTCAATTCAGCGATAGCTGATAAAATTATTAGTCTTCTATTCTAGATTGTTCATGGCTTAGAAAGGCAACCAATCGAAATATTAGGGTGCCATCGCGGTATGGTTTGAAGCGAGAAAGTCGTCGTCTCGTCACGGAGGTTGCCGTCGACAAGAAATCTCATTTGGCGGAGGATATTAAGGAATCTCAGAATTCAATTATTAATGTTTTCTATGAATCTGCCAACATTTTATTTGTAGCGCCAATTGCTTCTTCGCTTTCTCGTAATATCGAGATCGAGAAATACTTCCGTCGTCGATATCGTCAGAAACGACTCTCCGGTCGTCGTTTGTCACGACGAAGTCAGCAAGTCTATAAAAATGAATACCTTCCGAATCATGAGCATAAAAGACATCGACAATTTACGATTCACACATGAAATATCATGGTGAACAGGAAGTAGGAGGGATTATCATGTCAGTTTGCCTTTCAGCCCTCAATGCGAACCCACAGCAATCGACGGCAGTTCCGAGATGGCAATAGGTAGTGTCATTGTTGAATACGTAATCCCTGCTAGATTGCTTGCATCAACATTGGAGAGCTGAAGCTTACCTTTGCGATTGCAACCATGTTCAGATGAGATCGCCACGTTCCCATTCGCATACCCTTCCGTTCACTTGTCGACGTCACAATTGAGTGGTCGTCGTGAGAAAAAATACACGAATTTATTCTGGCTCAGAGATATACAACTTAGTCATAAACTATTCAGATTCCACTTCATGATTTTTCTTGATGCATTCAGAGTCGAGTCCAGGGTTAAAGCGCTTTTCTCAGGGTCTTGAACCAAAACCTGACTCGTGTAATCAGGATCTCAGGTCAGAATCTGAGGTCAGAATCTGAGGTCGTTCATTGTTCTTCTTTCAGCACAATCCCTTGTTATCGGGCAACTGCTTCATACGTAAACTCATAATCCTCAACTGTTCACCCCCTTCAAACTATACAACATGGGATCATATATGCATGGTTCAATTGGTTCTTTACGTTTGGCAGAGTTTCGACAACTGCTGAATTTTCGTGATGTTTCTAATCTGGCAATGAAGGCTCGGCTGGCGAAGATTTGCGAACCCTTATTTTCGCATCACAACGAGCGCTAAAAAGGTCTCTTCGGTAGTCTCTTTTAGTAGGTTTCTACGTTGAAACGAAAGATTCGATCCCAACACTCGAATCGTGCGGAAAGTGCGAAGAAGCAGATCCGATCAACAGTGTTCGCATCGACCACAAACTTCGGAGACATCTGCAAGATCTTTCTCATAAAATCAGTTTGCATACGAACTGCCGACCACACAACCTACCACACAAACACTCTACTTTCATCATGCCTCTTAGCCTTGGAATCAACGGATTTGGACGTATCGGACGTCTTGTCTGCCGTGCCGCTCTTGACAACCCAGATGCCACTGTCGTCGCTGTCAACGACCCCTTCCTTGATATTAACTACGCCGCTTACCAATTCAAGTACGACTCTGTCCACGGAACCTACCCAGGTGACGTTACCGTCGAAGGTGACTGCCTCAACATTGGAGGAACCAAGGTCAAGTTCTTCGCCTGCAGAGATCCTGCAGAGATCCCATGGGGCGCCGTCGGTGCTGAGACTGTTTGCGAGTCCACTGGTGTCTTTACCAAGATCGAAAAGGTACGTCTTATGATTGTGTTCAAATTGCTGCTTATAAATTGATTGGATTATCGCATATCCTCACTGATCATCACACATTGTTGACTTTTCTTTTCCTTATCATGATTACAGGCATCCCTTCACATCAAGGGTGGCTGCAAGAAGGTCATCATCTCTGCTCCATCTGCTGATGCTCCCATGTACGTGATGGGAGTCAACCACACTTCTTACGCTGGGGCCGAAGTGTTCTCCAACGCTTCGTGTACTACCAACTGCCTTGCTCCTGTGGCCAAGGTCATTCACGACAAGTTTGGCATCGTCGAGGGTCTCATGACCACCATCCATGCTGGTACTGCCAACCAATTGGTTGTCGATGGACCTGCCAAGGGAGGAAAGGACTGGCGCGCTGGACGTTGTGCCTTGAACAACCTTATCCCTGCCAGTACCGGAGCCGCCAAGGCTGTCGGTAAGGTCATTCCTGAACTCAACGGGAAGTTGACCGGTATGGCTGTCCGTGTTCCTACTCCCGATGTTTCGTTGGTCGACTTGACTGTTCGCACCGAAAAGGCCTGCACTGGTGAAGAGCTGAAGGCTGCCTTGAAGGAAGCCGCTGAGGGTGACCTCAAGGGTATTCTTGGATACACCGATGACTCCATTGTGTCCCAAGATATGCTTCATGACCCCCGCAGTTCCATCGTTGACGGAAGTGCTTGCATGGCATTGAACTCGAACTTCCACAAGGTCATCTCGTGGTACGATAACGAATGGGGATACTCCAACCGTTTGGTCGACTTGGCCATGTACTGCAACGACAAGTAAATTTTCTAGTACCTTGTATTTTTTCCTTCTTCTATGTCTTCCAGGTCAATTGTCGCTAATCTATTACAGTACAAAACATATTGTAGATTTATATAGTACTTAGGTTGACAACGTAGGGAAGCAATGAATATATATGGAATGAAGGAAACGCGTTTCTTTTTGAGCTCGTTTCAACTAATCTAGCTCTTCTTCGTCGCTTGGTTCTCCAACCATTGTCGGCTAGTAACTTCCACAATGTATCGAAGATTGATTCGATCTGGATTCATTACAACATACTCGTTATGTTGAATGTGTGATCCTAAGGACTCGGTCTTGCGGGTGATGCCATATTCCTTCTCCTGGTATGGCTCATCTTCTTCATCTTCAGACCCATCCTCTGCATTATCGTTGTTCTCGCCATCCTCCATGGCTATTCTCGTTTTCTTCTTCTTTTCTTTGACCGAACGAACTATTGCTTCATAGGTTCCTTTTCCATACGACAGAGTTACATCGACAGGTTTCTTGTCCCCGTCTTGTGTTCGAACTGTAACTGGAAACTCTGATTCCTTATCGGTTCGGGCTTTTTCGATTGCACCAATCATTTCTTTGGGCAAATGACGGTATCCACGCTTCCAGATGGAGCGCTGCTCAAAGGTTGGGCTGCGGCAAACGGGTCCCAACGGAAACACCGTACCCTGCCTGGCGAAAACAAAGTCCTTTTCAACATCAGGTCCTTCATAACCGATTGCCCAAACAGAATCGACATCAGGTGCTGCTGGAGAATCGCCCCAGTTTGGAAGCGTGACCTTGTCTTGTTTGCCCAGTGCAACATCAGCCAAGAACATGTATGCCTTTGGCATTACCTTTGCGTCGCTGTCGAAATTGGCCCGGCAGTAGTGCCAAGACTTGGAAACCATATCAGCAAAGTAAACTCCATCTCCAAAGGCATTTCCAGCAATCTGAGCGGTTGAAGGAGCAACACGAAGACCTTCCTTAATAACTCCCATCATGTTGCATACGTGTGTACCGTGCCATAGAAGTCGTCGATTGTCCATAGACTTGTTGCTTTTTTCGTCGTTGCGACGCAAATGATACACTTGGTTGATGACCAAATTGTCGTTGTTTGCCGTGTTCCGGAAGTACTGTTCCACACCACGTCGCTCTGGACTATCTTCGTCAACAGGTTTCATCGTTGCATTCATTGCTCTGTAGCAATAATCCAAGGGGTTCACTTTGTCTGACATGACAGCTGCTGTCTTGATGATTTGTGATGCAACAGTCAGATCTTTCAAACTTGCAATATGCTTTCGCTCTTCCTCAAAAGTCTTGCGATCGAGCGGTGCTAGGACCTTGTCTCCCTCCTTAGTTGGAAGCATCTCAAAGAACCCGCTAGACAGAACAGCGACATCGTCTTGGCACTTGCGCTTCTTTTGCAAATCTTTCTCGTTTTCTAACAAAACCAAGGCTTTCTCAATCTTCTGTAGCTGCTCTTCTGCCTTGAGGACCATCTCGACAGAGATCATGCCCAGTGGCAGTCTTTCCTGTGCTAATCCGAGATGATTTGCGGCACTGGACATGTCCTTTGGATTGACGAATGCCTTGATGGTCTCATCTAATTCAGATGAAAGAATGCTGTTCTTGACGACATCCTTGTACTCTTCCATCAAATCCATACCATCGTCACCGCAAGCAACCATTCTTGCAATATCCGGAAGCTCTGGCTTCTCGTAATTCTTCGGCAAGATCTTCACAGGCTTATATTTACCAACTTTTGGCTCGAAGCTACCTGCCAAGTAATCATCCCAAGGATTCCCAGATTTTGACTTGAAGATCTTCGCGAATTCCTTTTCTGCTTCTGCCCTTGTGCTGAAAGGAGTTTCTTGCTTTTGTCCACCATAGTCTCCAACCATGCCCCAGTTTGTGACAAGAACAAACAAGCCCTTCACTGGATCCTCAATGACTTGCATTTTGTAATATTTGTTTTCACTGTGCTGGTATCCGTAGTGAGAAGTTTCAACCTTTGCCATGATGACGGTGAAATAGTCCTCTTCTACACCTCCATTCGTCTCAACAGCAAGTACGCGCCTCCCAGCGGCCTTCGTTTCGCATACAGGAAGAATTTCAGGAGCCGATTTTTTCTTTTGCAAAATGCCTTTTTTCTCCAAAATGATCAAAGCATCTTGCGAAGCCTTCTCCAGTTCACTCGATGATATTGGCTCCAGTCCTGGAGGAGACTCTATAACATCTTCACCGCCATCAACATCATGATCAGATATGTCCATTGTCGAACCGCCAGATATAAATGAAAGATGTTTCGCAAACTTGGAACCAGGTCGGAGTTGGTCCATTTCAACTGCTGCACCATACTTCACGAGTTCATCTACAAGCGCAATGTTCTCGTAAGAGCCATGAGAAACAGGTTTCACTGCAAGTCCCATGACTGTGCAGCCGTTTTCGTCTGCGGATGTCAATACTTTCTTTGTCATCTCCGACGCTCCACTTTCGTCCAATGGCCAAGTCAATTTTGCCTTCTTCTTCCATGGCCGAATGAGTTGTCGTGGAATACTTGATAGCACTGGTCCCCTGAACAAGTCAATATCATAGGTGCCGTTCTTCCATTGTTTTACAATCTGTCCTTCAACCCAAACCTGTTTGGACTTGGCGTAGAAAGTATCCGAATGCGATGGCTGAACAATAACACTTGAACCTTCCAAAATGGGTTTTGTCAAATTTTTACTCGTGGCCCCAACCAGCAGCGCTTCGACACCATAGTATTTGTTCAAGGTTGCTTCTGGGATGGGTTTGTGGTTTGGATCCGATGTGCCTTGGTCGTTGTCTTCTTGGGCTTCCTCTTTTTCTAGCTCCATCAACATGTCATCGCCGGAATCATCCGAGCCCTCAGAAAGGTCTTCATCAGAGGCGTCCTCATCAGATTCATTCAACAATTCTCCAGAAATGCTTTGATTTGTGGTTTGGTCGGCTATCCCATTGTCATTGATGATCATATTCATTGCTTGAAGAGCTCTGAGAGAGTCCAGTTCAAGATCAGTAGTTGAGAAGGATTCTGCGACCCGTTCAATTGGAACCCGACGTTTTGTTGGTTCAAAAATTTGGATTGATTCCTCGGAAAATACACCAGGATACAGAACGCAGTCTCCCTTGAATCGAACAAGGGCCAAGCGATTTGGACGGCTGAAATTCTTCTTCGAAGAAAGCTTGCAAGAACTGTGTTGGGCTGCACGCAAAAGTAATTTGACAAGCTCCAAATCATTCTCTCGAATAGCGAAATGAAGTGCCGTTGCTTTCATCAGCCCACAAGAAACGCTAACATCAGCCCCATGTTGAACCAGCACCCCCACCATTTTCCGACTCTGTTGAGACGATCCTAAATTTCCATTTGCGATGATTGCAATTGCCAAGGGAGTTATGCTTTGCTCATTTTCAGTTTTGGCATCGACATCCGCTCCGTTTCGAAGAAGCAATTGTACACTTTCAATGTTGCAATCCAAAACAGCATGATGCAATGGGTTAAAGCCATCAGAATCTGCCATCTCCATCGAAGCACCTTGCTTTATCACCTCTTGAGCGAACTCATACTTCTTAGCCTTAAGTGCTTGGATGATAACCGTCGAGTGACCTTCAATTATGCTCGACAGTGAATCTTCCTCACTTGACTCTTTCTTGGGTTCGCTTTGTCGTTTCTTGATTTCATCAAGAACCATCTTAGTGTTTGGTCCTGCAGTCAAGGCGTTGGGCTCGTATACGAGTTCAGTCTTGTCAGCTTTAGATTTTGGAATTTGATTGAAGTCATCATTGCGCATCAGCTCAGCATCCCTGGTGAGAGAATGGAATATGTCGATACAATCGTCATTGGTTTGCCCATGGGAAAAGTTCGGCAAGAATCTCATGAATCGCCCAAATGGAAGATGCCCGTCGTTATCTTTCACCGTGAGCATGGTGCTGTCAGCTTCCACCAATTTCCTAATGAGATCTTGATGCCCATTTCCAGCAGCGATATGAAGAGCCGATTGCCCATCTTTACAAATCAGCGAAGGTGAAACGGCAGACGACAGCAGAAACTCTGCAAGCGTTGTTCCCCATTCAGCATTTGTGAATTGCTTTACTGCGGCAATGCAGTGCAACAACGAGTGACCACTTGAGGGCGCTACGCGCTGAAGAACTTCGCATGGGCTTGTTTGAAAGAGCTTTCGGACCAGTTGGAAGGCCTCAAGCTCGATTGCGTCGACTGCAGCCTGATACAAAGAGAACTTTGTGTCAAGCAGAAGATAAACAAGGCCGCGGAAGTTCTTCTTGATTGCATGCCAAACAATCGATTTCTTTCTCCTCGAGGTGATAACGATTTCCCTCCCCCCGGGCTCTTCATCTTTCTCCTTCTTCGTCCTTCGGATGTCGACTACGTCGGCAAGCTCGGGGATGATGGGCATACTCTTCAGCATAGTGATTGCATAACTGTCATGACCCCTTAATATTGCAACATTGACAGGCGTGTTACCATCATGATCAGTATCAAAAAGGCTCGCCCCTTTTGAAACCAACAGCAGGCTCGACACTGTCGAATTGTAAGCTGCAGCATAAAATAACGGGGTGCGCCCTTGCTTATCGATCAAGTTAGCAGCCTTGTCCGCTCCCTCTGAGGCAAGCAATGAACTGACCAAATCGACCCGATCATGGTGATCATTCGAAAGGCAGTGAGGGAAATCGAAATGCTCAGACGAGGCACTTTCCAAAAAAGCGTAATGCAACGGTGTGCGCCTGTTCTCGAAATCTGCGACATCAAGTCGGGCACCTGCGCGAAGGAAGATTATTTCGCAAGGGTCCAAATGTTCTCCAGATCGTTTTGCTGCCATCTCAACGCTGTAGTGATATGCTGTCCGACCAGACTTATCGACAATGTTCACTTCCTCTTTTTTATTGGAAACGTAATCCAGAAGCATTCGGACCAACTTTGGATTGTCGCCCTTCGCGGCGATATGGATTGGCCTTTCCCCATTGTTGTTTGCTTGGCTAGTCAGACCAGGTTTCACCTCGCAAAGATACTTGGATAATGGTTTGTCATTTTGACGCAGGCTGATGTGCAATGCCGTATCGCCGTTCGAATCGATTCTTTCCAAATTTATGTTGAACTTTTCAACCAACAATTTCCAAATTCCAACAGGGATGGAACTCGAGCCACAGCGGGCAAGCATAGTTGTGATTGGCTCGCGAACACTTTTGCTACTGGAAGTAGCCTTGATCCGGGTCAATCTTTTTGTCATGATATCCTTGAAGGCTTCCACTAGATCTTGCCCAACATTCTCAATATCATCAGTATCGCTGTTGTCAACATCCATATTATTTGAACCGTAATTTTGTGTCGCCGCTTTCTCCTTCAGTCTGATGAACGATGTTGCCAAACGCACAACTCCTTTGACGGCTTCTTCGTCCATCTCCTTTGTATAGGCCTTTTCATGCGCGACTCTTTCCTTCTCACTGTTGAAGAGACGCTGTGCGTCCACATTGATTCCGCCAAAAGATTCTTCACCCAACAGCTCGATGCTATCAACAAATTTTACCAGCAGCTCATCACGTTTGTCTGTTGCCACAGTACTGACCAAGGTTCCTGACATACGATCATACATCAGGAGTTCCAGAGGGGTCTTTGCGTCAGGGTATCCTCCTCCTCGCTCTGTGATAACATCTTTCGACAATGGGACCAACCATTCAAAAACAGCCTTCATTCGTTCTGGATACTTCAATTCACAAGCAAGATGGATCAATGATTTCCCATATGCAATGCTTGTGACAGGTACTGCCGTCTTCCACTGTTTCAAGGCTTGTTTGATTTTTTTCGGTGAAACTCGGTCGTCCTCAGACAATATCTCGTCACTGGCCTCCTCTGAACTCTTGTCGCCATTGTTCCTGCGATTGTTCCGAAGACGCCAAATGCGATCTCTCTTGCTTTGCATATAATTGTCCTCATCAGCCGTGGACACTATGATCTCTGCCAACTGACCTGGATCATTAAAGCATTTTGTTTCAGCAACCTTGATGACTGCCAGGTCGTTGTTTTCCGTTAGAGTGTCCTTCAATAGATTCATCGCTTTCTCAAAATCTGAAGGATTACTGAGGTCTTCAACAGCAAATAAAAATGCTCTGTGAACTGCATTGAAGCCACTGCTGTCGGGAGTTGAGAGTAGTTTCAAGTACGTCTCTTTGTCAACCTTCTCTTCCAGAAAGGCCAGCTGATCCTTGCAATCGTGCGGTTTTTTCCCAATCAAATGGTGACAAATGTTCTTTCCTCCTTTATCAGCAATCGTTTCATCCAATTTTGCACCGAGTTCCAAGAGGAACTCGAAAAACCCGAAATTCCCATTCACAGCGGCATGTAGAATCGGTGCCATGCCCTCCGCATCTTGCAAATTAATGTCAAAGCTGGCAACCGTTTGCTTGTTCTTTTCGGCGACTTCAATGACAAGCTTGGCCAGTGCAACGGCGCGTTGCTCAGACAACGTGCTCGCATCATTCGAAAGAGTCCTGAGTTCACATAAAACATGAAGCAGATTCCTTCCCTCTCCATCTGTTGCTGTCACATCCAGATCGTCACGTTCTAGAAGCCTCTGCAAATCATGTGGCAGTTCCTTTCGAATCGCTTCAATATCGCTCCCGTCCTCCTTCGATGTCATTAAGGTCGTGCTGATGTAGGCCTCTGCTAGTTTCGTGAATAAAGTCTTACCATCATCATCCCTAAAATTCACATCGACTTGAGGCAAGTTCAACAAATGAGACGATATCTGATGGCGTCCCTTCTGGATCGCCACCGACAATGGCGACGTTTTCCACGAATTCTTGGCGTCAGGGTTGGCTCCTGCTGCTTGCAACAATTTCACACAATCTAACCATCCATATGCAGCCGCAAAGTGCATCGGGAAGTTGCCACTGCTATCAGTTGTTTCGACACTAGCACCTTCCATCAACAGGTAGGAAACAACATGTGCTTGCCCATTGATACAGGCATGGATCAATGGGGTACGACCGAGCTTGTCTCCCTTGATAATTTTCCCACCGTGTTTCACAAGAAGTTTCAATGCATCCAAATCCCCCATCGCTGCAGCAATATGAACGGGCATTACCTTGTTTCGAGCCGCTGTTGATGCCATATTGACATCTGCACCAGCGTCAATCAATGCTTGAAGTGTTGCAATACGATCCTTTCGACGAGTTTGGACGGCGTAGTGAATTGCAGCGTATCCTAGAACTGACTTTGCTGATAGCATTGATTTCTTTTGTTCGTCGTCGGCATCCTTTAACAACACTTCAATATTCTTGGGACGAGCAGCTCGGGCTGCAAAGTGAAGAGGAGTGTACTTCTGTTTGTCTATCGCTGTCTTTGACAAGCTGTGAGTCTCCAACAAGTAAGACAAAGGTCCAGGTTCTTCGCAAGCGGCAGCGTAGTGAACTAGTGTTGTCTCCTTAAGATCTTTCGTATGGGCATGTTCGGGTGCAGCTGTCAAAAGTGCTTCCAAAAAGATGACATTTGGATTGATACAAGCACAAGCCAATGGAGTAAACTGAGAACTTGTTTGGGCCTTCTTGATCACAGACCTTGCCAGAATGTCCTTGGAAAACGGGTTCTTTGATGGATCAGCAGTCTCCTTTGAAGGTTCATCACCCAATGATTCCAGATGCAAAAAGTTGAATTCATTGGCGTGGAAAGTATGCTCTGCCTTGGCCTTGATTATGCGTTCAGCGTTCTTGCGATGACCTCCGCGAACCATGTCATCCAATGCCCCAGTGTTGTTCATGAAGGTTCGATCAAATTTGACCTCGGCCAGGTCGAGTATGTCATCTGAAAGCTCATCAAAATCACGATGAAGGTTCCATTGGTGGGCATCAATCGTATGCTTAAATTTGACATAAGAGGTCCGCAACTACATTAAGTGGCCATTCACACATCATAGAGGACCATCAGGATCTGGACTTACCTTCGCAATGATATTTGGGAACCAATTATCTCGAATGTACTTGCCGTTCATCTTGTATCGAGTACCACTGGTATCATACAGCAAGGCGTTGTTGCCTTCGCGACCCCCTCTGGATGCTCCAACTTGTCGTCGGTTGTAGTTAGCATGTCGACCAGATATCTCTCCAGTGGATAAAGTCGGCAAGGAACAGTTCTGAAAGCTTTCACGTTGTGGCTTGTCTTTATCGTTCAGTTCCTTAAGGAAGATTTCCACCATTTCCTTGTCACCTTGGGCAATGGCCAATATCATGGGAGGGAATGGCAACGCCACTGATTGATAATGCCAAATGTCCGCAATCTTGTTCGACTTCAAGCAAGCCTTCAACGCCTTCTTGTCGCCAGATCTGACGGCACGCACTACCTCCTTGCTCGTACGCTCGACATCACCATCAAAGTTAGCAATCTTTCCCGTCTTGGCCAAGAATCCATCTTTGTTGATAGATCCTGCTAAGTTGGGTCGTGGCGTCAAACCCTTCAAACTACGTGCCTTCTTCTTGGCACCACCACCAGATGCACGTTTGCGTTTCTTCTTGGCACCAGTAACATTATCATCACCACCGTCGCCATCGTCTTCCATTTTGATGGAACCCATCTTTTGCTTCTTGATAACGCCGGAAATGTTGGAATAAGCGAGACGCCTCGAGACAGCTACATCACCAAACTGGCTATCGTCGTCAGAATTGTAATCTTCTCCCAACTGTTCATCCAATTTCTTGTCGGCATACTCAAAAGCAGCCGTTTCATCTTTTATCTTGAGAATTTCGTAGTTCTCCTCATCAACGTCTTCCTTGGCGAATTTGTTAATGGAACAAACCAAAGATCCAACGGGCAACTGATCCACGGCGTCTTCCGACTCCCACACTTTGGTGTCAGTGTTATAGTTGTACCAGGAAATCATCAAATCGGAATTAGGATCAGATCCCATCCAAACGTCTTCCTCCAAGCGGCCCACCAAATATTTTTCATGCGGCAAAGTAGCACTCAAATCCTTGGCGGCAAGTACAATCTCAAAGCAACCAAACTTGAGTTCGGAAGCACGGTCCTTGGCACGAAAATTTACTTGAGATTTCTTGGCTTGATCCATTTCCTTGAGTTGTCGTTCGATCCGTTCCTTCTTGATCTGATCTCTGCTCTTCTTGATTTCCTTTTTTATTGTAGTTTGGTTCGTTTTGGTGTGCTTGACGACAACATTCTTCTTCTTCGCCGTGGCGGCGGCTGAAGGACGATGACTCCTGCTGGCAGGTTCTTTCGTCTTGCCATTGGTTTTAGACTTGCTGGTAGTTTCCTCTTTCTTCAAGGAAGTAGCGGCGGTCTTCTTCTTGCGATCGACTTTCTTTCGAGCCATGTTGTTTTACGCTTTTGTTGTTTTTACTGTCTGAATACACTGTAAAAGGGGAAATAAAGATGGATGCCAACTGTTAGCCATCATGCACAGCGATCACTCCATCCGACCAAAAGGTGGTGACAAATATTGGGCCAAGTGAATCTTACATTGCTTCTTTTGCCAATGCCAAGCAAAACAATAGAAGTCTTGCTGGTTTGGAGTAAGCAACCAGACGTGCGTTGATTTGGTGATGTTAGATTTGTTCATGCTGATGATGACATTTTTAAATCAGGTTTCTGTATCTTTTCCTCACTTCAAGATCCGAGCCTCCATTTTCAAGACCACATCTCTATGCGAAAAAAATCTTCATGCCGACTCGAAGGTTCCGCGTTTCTGAAGCATTTCTTTAAAAATCATGGAATATGCAAATAGAAAGGCTCTTACATTATGCAGGTGCAATTTTTAGTGGGTTTTCAGCCAATGAGAGTTAGTCAAATCACTAAAAATCAACCCATTTTTAGTGGTCTGAACCAATCACAGCGGGCTATTCACTAAAAATAGACAATCTCCACTAAGTTAGTACTCGTCATTACTTGCAAATGATGATTATAGGGGGATAGTACCTGGTACCTGGTACCGTAGGCCCAGGCTAGATACGGCCCTGCCACTCTGCCATTGTATTATAAAGCACTGTCGCACCTTGTTTTAATGACTCACCTTACCACTGGATTACGAGCTAGCGATACAGTTACCCTATGATCACTTCTAGCTGCTCTGAAGAACGGGTGTGGCAGCCACCAAACCGAATTGACAAGCGCTACAGCATGAGGTGACGGATACGCCCATCTGTAGAACCTTCGTTTTCAATCTTCTATTTATATTATAGATTAATTTCTATCATTTCAGTGTCACTTATGGTAGAGCATGCCCCTGTAAGAAACTGATAACAACTGCCATAGTTGCTAGTAGTAGGTGTCACTTTACCTTTGGAATCTAATCATTGTCTCAATTCCGTGCACCAAGGCCTTGTTGATTGTTTTCTCGTCAGAATAAACCCATCCCCTGTGACCATACGGTAGTAAACTGTCGTAGCGCGGCCTTATGGTGGAAACTTGGCCATCAAGGAACCCAGCAAGAGTTTGCCTCTGTTTTCGCCTTTGCATCTTACTCAAAAAACGGTTGATTATTGCATTTCTTCAATCATGTAATACACATGTAGTCTCTTTGGCGGCGAGCTTGAGCCTGGATTTGGTCCTTCCTCACCTTGCTTGATTCCCAAAATATTGAGTCCATTGACGACGCAAAATCTGACTACCATCATCAATGACGTCAACTTCTACGCTGCATATCTTGAAATGTTCGTGACCTCAAATTCAGAGTGCGATAAATCTCCGATTTCTGATTGGATCTGCGATATGAAGGCACAGATGATGTTATTAGAGGTGATCGAACGTCATTTCAAAAGTTTCAGAGGCATCGGTCAACATACATCAAACAATCATTGTTACCTTGTTCAAAATCCGTCAAAATCCTGGGATCATAGAGCATATATTCTTGCGACGGTATGCATGAGGCCAGTGCTGTGTTGTAAAGACACTTTATTGCAATCCTGTTGCTTTCTCCTCTTTTCTTTTCTTTCCTCTTCGTTTTCTTTTCTTTCCTTTTTCTTCCTCTTCCCCCTTATTTTTCCCCGGGGGATTTAGTATAAATAGTTGCACCAGCATAGTATAAAAGCCAATAGAAAACCTATTTTTGTAATCCATTTTGAGTTCAGAATTATTGGGGCGTCTTTCTGCCGTTACGAGTACATACAATAAAAGTAGGGGCTCAAGAGTGCGCGTCAGCAGGGGAAAACAAACAAAAGGGGAAATAGAGACTGCTAACGTATGCGGGGCATAATGTTGAAGAGAAACTAGAATCCTCAACATGATGGTAACCAGCAGAGAGTAGTAGTATTTCTTCTGCATATGCCAATTTACAAGTGCCGATAGGTTTGCAAACGAGTGATGAACAGTAACAAACAAATTCCCTTTTCTGCCGTCTCCGCATTTCACAAAATCGAAGATTACCCGCCTCGAGTCCTGGGCTTGAATCGCATGATGTAGTCTTTGTCTGGAGAAATCGCACACGTATGCTACCATGGAAACTGTAGCAAAAGCCTGATGCAACTGTACATACGAGAAGCGAGTAGGTTTGGCACAGTAGCGAGGTACTAAGTTAGTGACTGGTTTGCACCGATGTCGAACCATATGATTCGAAGAGGACAATCAATAGGATTGACAAACAAAGCAAACCCGGACCAAATGGGGTACCAAGCTATGGTGCAAATGAGAGAGAGGGTGGTGAGGGCGGGAAAAAGCAAAAAAGCTGACGGTCTTGACCCGGTCTTGACCGAGCAGCTATGCCCCTTCTATCGTCTCCATCATCCCACAAGCTCCCATTGCGAACAATGTCTTCTCCAAATCTTCCGCCGTCTTCTCATTCATTCGTTGACACTCTCCGCTCCGTCCGCCAAAACACGTACTTCACTGAAGCAGTGCGCCTCAATTGACGTGACGGAAATTGAGACTAAGGAAGAGCTAGAAACGCCTATACGTCTCCCGTCTTGCCGATCAAGTTCATGGTTCATAAAATCATTCGTGATCACTCATGTCGTAGACATCACGCAACGAAACGAGAATCGGCAAGCTAGTGATATCGAATAGGTACCAGGTGCTGGTACCAGTACCGGTAGTATCGAGTCCACCGTGTTCTTGTGGCAGAACCGGAATTGTTCCGCACATGGGCACGTCGTGGCACTCCAAGGTTTAGTTGAGAGAACTCGAATCCCGGACTTTATATACGATTGGAGCACGAAAAGTGCTGTACCATACTCGTATCCTTGAAAGGATGATCAATTGATTGTTGGAAATGCGAGAGAGAATATATTGAATATATATTTATAAAATAATATCTGCGAAATGAAACGAAGCGAAAGAACGAATGCGTTTCATGCACCACGATGATCGAAATCAAAAGCTTTCATATTGTCAGAGTCTTGTGCGACGTCACATGAGTACCGCGGTTCACAATATCATTTTTTAAAAATATAACAGAAAATCGTTTCGCATTGTAGTAGAGCCCATTTCTTCCCATCTATTTGCCCCATTGAAGACGTCATGGGCATCTTTTGTGCCACAATATCTTACTGGACACTCGCAGCATGACTATCACTCAAGATCATGTCAAAGGCACACTGAATGAATCGATTTCGGAAGAGCTATCCGGCTGGGCAGAGGAGCAAGAAAGAAGTGGAGAAGTTGTTGTTGCCGAACGCCCTGCCACCGAAAACGATTTCTTGAGAGCGCAACGAAATAACTTGTTGGGTCGCAAGAAGAAAACTAGGGTTTCTTTTGCCGGCCCTGAGGGTGGCACAGGGAATACAGACGTTGAAGACCCTCTGCCACCTCCTCCGGAGACGAAGCCAAATGACACTGATAAGGATATCAAGAGCACCGCACGGCTTTTGCGAACGATGAGTGCAACGGGCCCAAGAATGAGTGCTAAAATTGAAGATACAGCTGCTTGGGAATCCATGGTTCACGAGCTTGATGTTAAGATGAAAAAGCTCGATGCGGATGGTCATTTCGCAGACACTGGAAGCTTGAAGGTACCTTGGTACGCACCGCCTATCCAACGCCAACGATGGGGTGACGAGCATACTCTGCCCATCGTAAACTATGGGACGCTATTTTTCGATCTATTTTTTGTCGCGGCCGTTTACAATCTTGGCGGGATGCTGACCTCTGCCGTGGCTGTCAACGATGACAACGATACAGCAGCTGACTCTTTGCGAGCAGCGATTTACTTTCTTGGCATTTTTGGACCAGTTTTTTCAACCTGGGAGTCGGATGTATACTATCAGTCAAGGTACCTTGTTGCCGATTATGCACATCAATTTTCTGAGGTTGTCCGCTTCCTTTGTATCGCAGCAGTCGTTTTGTTTATTCGGCCAATCCGAGAGTTGGCTGATCCTCAAGCAAACAAAGCTATGTTTCTGCTGATGCTTGCCATGTCTTGCGAGTCCCTGATGCGTCTGATCTTTCATACGGAGCTCTACTTTCGAGGCCATGGAGATCTCGAGACAATAAAGAATCACACATTGCACGACATGAAAATCAATATCATCCCATCGACGTTGATATATTTCGCTAGCACCATCATTGCAGCTGTCTTCTTTTATGGTCCATTTGACGAGCCGTTGAACACTGGAAGCATTTGGAATGTAACAGATCTTCCATTGACTCTCACTGCTGTTGGATATCTGATCAGTGTCTTTATGAAAATCAGAGGAACATTCAGAAAGTCACACCATGGTTCTGATATTCGCAAGACCCTTGTTCCTTACAACATTGATTTTGTGATTCAGAGGTATTCGGATTGGTTCTTAATGCTTCTTGGAGAGGTGGTTATGGGCATGGTGGAGATGAAAGACTCCGAATCTAACTATTTGGTAGCGCTCATGGGATCTCTCACGTTGATTGTGCTCCACACTCTGAAATTTGAATCAGAGCCTGACAATCCACACGGCCATGCTCTTTGGCGCAATACCAGAAATGCATATGCTTTTCGTGTTCTCATGGAACTGATGTCAATTGCAATGATCCTGCTTGGTGTTGCTTTCAAAATATTGCTGGCTGATGGTCGTTTTGGCATATCAGAGCGTCTATGCGCATACGGTGTCTCTGGATCGCTCGGTTGGGTCCTATTTACGTTGGAACTTATGTTGATGACTCACAAAGGTTTCTGGCGAAGTTGGAGACGATTGTTTCGGCGTAATGAAAACAATCCAAATGTCGTCATTTATTGGCCTTTAGCATGGATCACCTTGTTCAAGGTCGCATTGCTATTTTTTCTAATCACCGTTCCCACGTGGCATGGTCGTGCCGAAACCACAATCGTCTTTGGTTTCTTCGTTGTTGTAGCCGTGGCAGCAACAAGAATTATCGGTTGGGCCTTTGTCTTCAAAGAGGATGAAATCAAGGTCATGATGAGCAGTGCAAAAGAAAGGCTAAAGTCCGTTGGTGGGCCTGTGTCCTCAGAACGGTGGTCTAATACCAACCGAAACAACCCTGTCCAAAGTAGGTTGTCAGGAGTCGATGAAGAAACAGAGTCCAACGTATCTGGTGACAGTTTCATCAGGAGGAACAAAGACGCATACCACGGTATGTTCGATGCTGTAATATTTTCAGATTTTGAAGGCGTCATTATCTCTGTCAACAATGTCGCTGTTGAGATGTTTCGCTATGAAGCAAAAAGTGATTTGGTCGGACAAAATCTATCCGTTTTAGTGGGTGGTGGAGGTGCCCATCATCATGATCGATACATGCAAAAGTTTCGAGAAAGAGGTGGACTCTCAGAGGCCTTTGGCAAGCAGCGTAAGGTGAAAGCACGCCGAAGCGACGGAACTGAATTTCAATGCATATTAGGAATCAAAATGGCTGGCAACGGGAAGCACATTATTGGTTACATACGTGACATGGAAGATTTTCCAGACGATATTTCCATAAGTGAACGTTCATTAATTGAGAATGTTGACACCGAAGCGAAGACCGAAAAACAGTTGAAGCGTGTTTTGGACGACCAATCATTCGATTGCATTGCAGTTATTGACCTAGAAGGCAACATCGTGGGCGTAAATCGTACTTTTGTCAAGGAATTTCGATACGACAGTAAGGACGAAGTGCTTGGCTTGGATATTGCAATAATAATGGACAGCACGTACCAAGCAATGCACACAAAAATGTTGGCAAGATACCGCGAAATGAGTGAAAAGGGCGAAACCATATCCAACTGCAAAGTTGTCGGGAAGCAGAATCTATTACCCGTTCTGCGAAAGGACGGAAGTGAATTCAAATGCATTATTGGTGTCCATCCAATCGATGATTCTGATTTGCTGGTGGGCTTCATTCGCAATGTCGAGACCATGCTGCCATAAAAGTCTGCTGCTTCAGAGAATCAATAAATGCCTCTGTTTGGCGCTTGTAGGCATCCACTGTATCGCTCACATTTAGTTTAGGGTATCCCTTGCACGATGTTTCGTCTTGTGTTTGGGTTGTTCCCCCCTTTGTGCTTCTCGAAGCTCGTTAATTAAAGGGTAATGCAGTGATTCATTTTCCTTCATCTACGTTGGACCGTTCATCAGAAATGCTGTTTTCTTTTTGTGCACGATTAATTTTGGTCCTCAATAGACAACTGGACAACGAGAAAGTTAAATATTATTACAAAGAGATGGTGCTGGTCGATTATAACGCGCGCAATACGTACCTTGGCAGGATCCTGGAATCAAGCATCGCCAAGATGGAGGTATTCATGAGCCCTCCACAACATGAGTAGACAACAAGTCACAGCTTGCCATGTTCTTAGAGCACTTCAAAAAGTCGCTTGACTGGATGCGTAGATGCTGAACGACACAGGCGGATGTCCCTACATATTTGTGTCAGAAACGCATCAAGTGCGTGTTTTGCAGAATCCACATCCGTGTCCATCATGTACGTGTTCTGACTCGTCCGACTCCAACAACCTGGAGTCGTGGTGAGAGTTCTGAACATAGTAGAGACTATAGGACATGTGTATTCTAGATATGGTTTAAGAAGTTATGAACTATAGATGAAGAAGCCCGGTTCGTGGTGTGAAACAGACTGTATCATGATCATCTTCGAATTGAAATGGGTCCTTTCCTCGTCCATGCTGACATAACTAACAACAAGAAGAAGCCGACAGCCAGCCGCCAGGCAGAACTGAAGTAGAATTTGAGACCTCTGGATCGATCTCGAGATTTCAGCCGCGATCCTGACTCTTGGGTTTAGAATCCTCCTCTTCGTCTTCAGGAGACATCCGCGCCCCAAATGCGGCTTGCTGATGCAACATACCGTAATTATTGTTCGGTAAATCTAGTATAGATGGTAGTATTCGTCGACTTGATAAGCCCCCTGCGATATAGGGTAATGATCCAGGCTGCAAAGTTGCCAGGTGTAATTCCTGAACAAGAGGAAAGTAAAGATGTTGATCTTGCTGATAAGCCAGCGGCATCGAATTGAACCTTTGTTGTATCAATGCTAGCTGCAGACTTCTTGTTTGCTCCATCGTCGTTGGCCGAGATGGTGTTGCTGCTGCTGAGACACCGGGCAGAACTGGTTGTCGCTGGTCTAAAACGTTGTACTGAGAAGGCCGCTGTAACAGAGACAATAAATCGTTAGTCGACCTTTGTTGTTCAACATTGAGCTGCCCCGTTGTTGCAGCCGTATTCAGCGCCATTGGCCGGGTGCTTGTGGAGTTGGCTTGTACTGGGTTGGAATTTTCTGGTTCGCGAAGCCGCTTGATAAGGGCTCGCAGCGATTCGTTTTCTTCTCGTAACTGTGTGTTTATCGTTTCCAATTTGGCTTGGAGCTCAGCAAGGTGTTCCGTCTCAATCCTTTTCCGAGCTTGATGTCTCATGGAACTCTTCCTACTAGCCTTCCGCCTGTGTTCAAGCTCCCACGGTTGGTCTTGGCCAGAATCTGGTAGTGTCCCTGCTACAGAAGAAGATGACAGCGATGCCGAAGCTGCCATCGATCCACTTGCAGCTGCCCTCGGCTGGTGATGTGATGAGGAATCATTTCTTGAATCATGGGACAAAGATGCTCTTGCTGGATGCCGGACTCTATCTTCTGAATGATGAGTCTCTTCCGTATTGTCGTCCTTCTCTCCGGTCTGTTGCTTTCGTCTGCGTTTCATTTGCAAGATGTCTCTATGGTCCAAATGTGATGCAACCTACGTTTTGTAGTTTCCAAGTGATGAGAGAAAATTCACTCTAGCTCCCAAAGTGCTAACATTGCGTGGTTTACTTAGGGCGATTTTTGTCATTAAAAATCCCAGGTTAGCAGTTGTTATGTGCATCCCAGAATTTTTAGCTTACGCTGAATGACATCACCTACATGCTTAAGGTGAGTTAAATGATGCCACCAAAACGGAAAAAAACCTTAAGTGGACAAACACACTCAAAATTACGTCACCTGATCGGTTTGTTCTTTTTGGGCGGAGCAAGAAACGGTCTGCTTGAACAACTTCTTTGGCCTTCGGAGACCTTTCTGGTTCCAGACTATATACCGTACCAGTACTGTAGTTTGTCGATAGACGCGCGGACGATTCTTCAAGACCAATTCTACAGGATCGATGCTAAAGGGCCAATCCTGAAGGAAGCAAGCTACGAGGACGTGTTGTCCTCTGAAGAAGACCACACCAGGAGGCCAGGACTCACTCTTCCTGGAGGTACTGTAGTTGGTGAGGAGGAGTCAGCAACCTCCACCCATTGCTGATTTCCTTGGGTCAAGACGTAGTACACACCTAGCCCCTCCTTTCATCCTAGCGTTCTCGGATGAAACTAAACGATAGTATTCAGCGAAGTCACAGACGATTGGCTGCCTCCTCCTCCCTTTTTATTTTTTAAAAACTTTAGTCTAGAATAATACTGGCTCTCTTGACTATCTGAAGCAGCTCGCAGCCACGTTACCAGAAATAAGAGGGCACCCATGGCATGCATGGGTATTCTGGAGTTGTTTAGGTCCCGCTACCGTTTCATATTAGCATACACTGACGATTTTTGTTTGGATGTGTGAAATTTTTAGCTGGAATTTTTTAGCCGGCAGCCAACCCCCAAATTATATCCCCCATGTGAATCCATACACACCCAAAAGTATTATAGAGGGAACGGTACCGGTATGTGAAAAGGCAGCACTACATGCATTTTATAATAATTTATACTGGTACCGGTATTAATAGCAGCAACATAATACCGACACCCAACTGTCTTCTACGCGTCATCGTCATAACACTTCAACTAGTCAAATACTGCAGAGGATTTTATTATGGGCGATAGCTTTGAGGTATGAACTCGGGTTTTGACCAATTTCAATTCATTCGAAAAGCAACTCTTCTTGCAACACGACTAGCCAATTCGAAAACCCCTATGATTTCGTGTTTGTGTTGCCCCCGAGATGTTCCTAATTCTGTATCTTCTGTTCCGGCATATGTCTTGTACCGTATAGTATCCAGATTTCTATAATTTCCCTCCCTTCTTCACCATCCAACCAGTCTTGGCGACGAAAGAGAAACAGCTGGACCTGTGGAGAGATTTGATAGTCCGGTATCACACGCAATACAAACTAAAGACCCTGAAAATATACGAATGCTCCTTGTGGTCAAATGATAAAATCCAGCGGTCACTAAACCGGGAAGAGGTTCAAATAGTCGCAGATAATTTGGTGGCCAATGGGCACGGAGAATGGATTGATGAATCTCACACAACCTTGAGGGTCCTGTGGCGCAAACCGGAGGAGCTGGCGAGGGACGTTTACGAATGGGCAGTACAGAATGGCAATATTGGAAGTGTGTGTACACTATACGAACTGCATAGTGGTGAAGATGTCAACGGAATGTCGTTTGAAGGGCTGGACGAAGAATTGCTCCGTAGAGCCTTGGCTGTTTTGGAAAATGAAGGCAAATGCACAATTTTCAAAGGAGATACTTCGGAAGAAGATGGAATCAAATTTTTCTAAATTCAGAGAAAGATTTCATACTATCTACTGAAGGCGATTGTTTGGAATACCGTAGATGCAATGATTTCAGGGGATAGACGATTTCAGTCGTGACGAATATCATCTAGTAGACTGCTCGAAGCTTGTAAAAGTACTATAGCAATAGGATTTTAAAAAAGCAGTTTTACTTATATTTACTTTGTTGCTGGAGGGGGTGAAGCTGGGGCAGCAGCAACAACGGGCTCATCAAGATTGACGGCACACAATGAGGAGGCAAAGCGACTCTTGTTGTTGTCATCATTCTTATCGAGACGAGTATTGAAGGAAACGTACACGACGGTATTGGTGTCCGTATCGAAAATTCGCTCCACTCGCAAATTCTTGAACAGGAGACTCCTGGATTCCTTAAAGACTTCTTCTCCAGAGATGCTTTTGTTGATATTATCGGCAATGCTCACCTTTCCAGTCTTGGCACAGGCCACCGAGGCTGTGGATGGATCATTGAAGAAGCCCTTGTTCAACTTCTCAGTAATGGGCCGTTGAAAAGTGGAAATGTAGAGAGTGACTCCCTTGACCTTGGGATCTTCGAAACGTTCGATCTGAAGGGTATCCTTGAACACCAATCCGGATCCTTTCAATTCGCCAACCACCTTGGAGGATTCCGCAAATGCTGGTGACGACGAAGCTCCAAATATGAGAGAGGCTGCCAAGAGTCCAGAAGCCATGACTTTTCCCACGGCTTCACCGTTTGGCATCCACGAATTGGAAGCTGCTCCAAGAGCCGAGTCGGTGGAAACTGCACTGCTGGAATGATGAGGTGGAAGGTTCCCCAGACTGAACGATTGAACTTGTATCGTTGTTGATGACAGCATCAACAATAAGACGATAGCCAACATGGAGGAGCTATAGTTCATTTTGATCGGCGAATATGGGAGATACTGCAGGAAAATCGATGTAGAAGAAGTGGCCAACACTGGGACTTTTGGGAGTTATTATTGTGATGTAATATCAATGTAAAACAAACCGTTGGCACTCATCGCAATCGTCACAAAAATAGAAGATCCTTCATATCGTCCAATCAAACGACAGGCTGTGAGCTTCAGTCACGAGTCTTTTGAAACGCGACTGACCATCGAAGAAGATCGAGAAGAAGATAACAACGAAAGATGTTACGATGAGAAACCAGAAACACAATCATCGTCCATACTGTAGCATCGCTAGTCATACTATGGCACTAGATCAACGGATGACAACGCGAGATAAACGTCTCATGTTTGTAGCAAGCCCACTGCATGTTTTCTGCATGACGATCATGTTGTGTGGCTTGATGCCGCCGAAGAGTACGTTTATGACAGAGGCGTTTCTTATTTCACCATTGTTATCACCGCAATTGCCAAATTCAAGAATAGGACACGATGCAATTGGAAAAATCTGGTCTTTCAAGAGCAAAGAGGATGATATAGATTTAGATATCGCGGTAGAAATAGAAATAGAAGAAGAAGAAGATGATGATGATGATCCCTTGATCACACCGTATGGAAACCAAACGCTGGCGTGGACCAAACGATATCGCAAGCTAGTCCCTTACGAAGCCGCTCGTTTGACGGCCATGAAATTGGGATTGCGATCCAAGGAAGAATGGGATGACATTCGGGAATTTGGAAAGGCCTTTCACGGAGCCCACTTGGTGAGTCGACCAGACGAACTCTATCGCAAGGAATGGATCAGCTGGGAAGAATTTCTTGGGGTGATGAGACCATATTCCGAAGCCAAGCAAATGGTCCAAGAGGAACTGAAGTTACAATCTATGGAAGAATACATATCCTTTGTCAAAGAAGATATCAAGCGGGCCGAAAGTCTACGGATCCCCGCCAAGCCAGAAATCTACTACAGAGATAAAGGGTGGACTGGCGAGGAAGACTTTTTCAACTAAGAGACAGCGCAGTCCTACAGTATCGCAAATGTGAAGCAAGGATATTCTCTCAACTCTTATTCCCTCTCTAAATATATATTTACTAATGCTCAAAGCCTCTTGTCGACTTTGTTATAAGCGTTTGCTTTTCAGTGTCCTTTCGATCACTTCAATTGGACCCTCCAAGAAAGATCACGAAGAACATAAACAGCAAAACATCAAATCCCATCCCATGAATGAACCGTATGACCAAAAGGCCATTCATTCGGTTTCCAACCTATAGTTCTGGAACTGTCAATTCCTTGAAACTTTCCATTCGTTCTATCGTTCCGCGGCCTTGATTTGGCACTGGACTGTAAATCATGTGCTTCACAATCAACGAACGCTTTAAATTCTTGGTGTCAATCATTCCAGAACCACCACGATTCAGATCCTCGTCTTCCTCATCCCCCCATTCGCTGTCATCATCCGAGTCAATGTCTTCCATGTCTTGGATACTGCGAAGACTCTCCCGTAAGCCTTTCATCTTGGCCATTAGCCGACTGCGTCGATCTCCTTCCCCATTATTATTATTATTATGATTAGCAGCAGCAGCAGCAGAAGCATTATCATGAGCACTGACGTCCAGGGAAAGTACACCTGAAGAATCACCGTGATGGCTCGATGATGAGAGAAAGACATTGGACAAGGATTGCAGCGATTGGCGTACGCTGTCACGTTTCACTAGTTTCTTGCGAAGCTGTGATCTCTCGCTGGTATCACCAACAACAGTACTTTGAGTTCGTTCGCTGTCATTAACAACTTCACATGAAACAGATGGTGATCTCTGTGATCGTTGACTATCCTCCTTGTTGCCTTCAAAAGATCTTTCTGATCGCTGGCTACAGTCGTCTTCGGATGGTTCCAATGAGAATGCATCATCTTCCTCCTCCAAATTGAAAGCACCCCCAAACAGTTGCTTGTTCTTGTGGAAGGACAATTGTCTTCGTTGTTTGTCAAACTTTTCCTTTGACGAAAGAGATACACCTGGAGCATCCGCGTCTAGCGCGGTGAATGGATTGTCTAGATCATCATTCAATTCATCGTCACCAGCAACACTTTCGATATCATCATCGTGATCATCATTGAAATCAGAATCATCATCAGAATCCCAGTCCCCACCAAGATTGCCAAAGACATCGGCAGTGGATTTCCATTGCCGATCTGCACCATCGATGCTTTTCCTCAAGTCTTTAATGGCGTCTCTGCTGTACTCCTTGTCTTGTTCGAGATCTTCCAAAGGACCTTTAGCACCCTTAGTCTTGGTGGGATTGATTTCATCCAAAAGCAAGTCATCAAAGTCCAAGGATCCGTTCAAATCGTCCAAGTGTCCGTATTTGTCATTGGTTTCGTTGGCAGATTCAACAACTGAGACGGGCGTTCCATTCTCATCGACCATTCCAGTCTCCCACATGAGAGCTTCGTACCGAAAGTCTGCAAGGGATTCTGGATCATAAAACATATCCTCGTAGAACTCTTCCGTGTTTTCGATGGTAAAGACTTGATTCGGTGTCGTGGAGAAGCTAATCCGTGATCGTCTCTTGGAAGGGAGATTTTTCTTTGGTGATGGTTCGAAACCACAGGACGGTGATTTCAATATGGAACCCCTTCTGCTCCTCATGGACAAGGAGGCGCCAGCAGTGGTTATGGAATCCGTGAGACTGCCCATACTCGTATACGCTGTGGTCTCCGTCATATCGTCCAGATATGAGGAGAGGGCATGCTTCTTAAGGTCCATTTCTTCGCTATTTTGTGCATTGGAGTATGCGGTTTCGTTTGCTGGTAATTGCATTGCGGTGACGCCCTAGTAGTACTGTAGGATGTGAAATTGGTTTCGTTTCAAATGCAGGAGGAGTTATTGTGGAGATGGACTAGGAGCTTTTGAAGCTTGTCGCTTGCGCCCTGTTCAAATCTCGTTATCAACTGGAATTCGGTAGGCTGCTCCTATCGTATTATCTTCCGGTTGCCTGTTTGCTAATTCAATTCCTTGATCTACCGGTACCAGGTACCGCTATTTTCAATTTCCAACGAAAAAGCGAATTAGTCTGTGAAAGAATTCATGTACTTTCGAGCACTGGTTCAAGTACCGGCAAAAAATGAATTGTCATATATCAATTGGCCGGCAAATTTTGAAAATTATTAAATAATGAGACGAGATGCGAAGTCGTTATATGGACTCATTTAATCTTTTGTAATCGTGTAATTCTAGAGGGCCGAAACTTCCTTAGATCAAAATATATCATCGCTACTGCCGTTGTTAACAAACTCCTTCAATCGAATTCGAATGCTATCACATTTCAATACCGTTTTTGGAGACAAACCGGTGAGGGTTTGGTGCTGTCCAAATTCTGAATGAGAACCAGAATTTGGCCTCCCGCATGCATGGTGTGGCTGATTGAGCGAGTGCATGAGCGAGTGAGTCAGTCAATCGTTGCAACAATGATGGCTGCAACACCGTTGGCTCAAAGTACAGAATAATAATTTCATTACAACTAGCCACAAAGTCTTCGATTGCTGACTACCTTCCAAACTTCTTTGTTTGTTAGTATAATATACATATAATACTGGTACAGTAGGTACACGTACCGTACACATCATTTGGTGAGATGTTATGCTGGAGCAAAAAGGGGTTGTCGACTGTTGTTTGGGGCGCTTCCGGAATTCTATATTTCAGGGGAATCCAAAATCAGCCCCAAACGAAAACTCAAGAAGTTCAGATGTTTGAATCAAAATATCGTCATCATGGCATCACCCGCTCCCGAACTCTAAACGATATAGAACAATCAAAAGAGAATAGTACAGTGTATAATGGCTCCTTCTAGGGCATCAACGTTTTGGGGTGTCTCTTCATCCGTCGCATTCATATTGATTCTTGCAGCAGCATCATCTACTGCCGTTTCGGCTTTGCTACATCCTCAAAAATCGTCGTCATCATCATCGTCAGCCTCCACAACAAATGAAGGCGGATCAAAAAAAGGGGACGGCGCCACGTGCAAAGAAGAATCATTTCCAAACATGATGAAACAACACTTTGCATCCATTGGGTCCACGCAAGACGAAGCCCGCCGGATAGTGACCGACACTTTGATGGACGACCAAACCACCACCAACATGGTCTGCGTCACAGCCACGGAACAAACCAATGGCCGAGGGACTTCCGGGCGAGCTTGGATGGGCGCACGGGGGAATACGTTTGTGACCATTGCCATTCCACAACAACGCTGGATGGACCACAAACATCTTCCATTGACCTTGTTGCCCCTCACTGTTGGAATCCTTGTCGCCGAGCGGGTTCAGGCGCTGATGGATGCATGCTTATTGGAGCGGTCCAATAATAATCAACCAATGTCATCATCATCATTGTCGTCGTCTCGTCCCAAAGTGACACTCAAGTGGCCCAATGCAAGTACTATTTTTTCATTGAATTGGACTTTTGATGCCTTACATCTCATCGTTTTTTTTTTCCTTCTTTTCATTCAATTTAGGACGTCCTGGTCAATGAAGACAAGATTGCTGGAATTCTCATCGAATCGACCACAACCGGTTGGTTCTTGATTGGTATTGGGGTCAATTTAGGATATGCTCCTCCAGTACCGACAGATGGACCCAACCATGGCCGTACTTCGACCAGTCTTTCGAATCATTGCACACCTCCTAGTACTCAGGAAACGACGACCTGGGAAGACATGGCCCACCAAGTCGGGGTGGATTTGGCGAAAAACCTGAATGCCTTTTTGGACAATCCACCAATGCTTTCAAATGCCATTGTGAACGAATGGAAGCAATGGGCCGATTTCAACATGGAATTGGTCATGAGGGACACTCCGAAACGCGAACGAGTCAAGCTGGTGGATATGCTTCCAGACGGGCGAATTCAAGTTGTGGGGCTGGACGATGGCACTTCGCGAGTGCTAGTAGCAGATTATTTTATATAGAAAATGGGTTTGCTTTCTGCTATTGGGTCTTTTGACCTTATGTCTGAACCATCCGCGCCAATTCGTTGCTTTCTTTGTTTGATGAAATGGCAAAAGTTGCACTGCGATGATAATTCATTGATGCATGAAGACTACCATTGTAGCTGCATTTGTAGCCGGGCACTGACTGAAAAAAATCATCGATCAGCTTGGCAAGTACTACTTGTGAGTAGACGTCACAGATAAAGAACCGTCCGGACAACATGATTGTCTATGAGTTTGTCTTCTTGCGTGTCATAATGGTCGTAGACTCGTAATCCTTGGCGGGACCTTCCACACGGTAGGTTATGATAATCTCCTTTGCTGTCAGACCGTCCAGCTTCACTCGGAATGTTCCCTGATACAAATCTTTGATGCACAAGTGGTCGTTGCTTGCGACCCAGTATCCTTCGTCGTCCTGTTTTTGGAATTTCAGACTCAGGAACATGTACGTTCGTTCCCCGCCGTCCATAAAATATATTTCCAAGACCCCGTCATTGTTATCTGGAACGACATAGTCATACTCCCGGAAGACATTCAGTTCCTTGCCTGGCGCAAGTTCGTACAATCCATCCTCTCGGTATTTGACCGAATCGAGCTTCTTCGATCTGGAATACTTGATAGTTCCATGGACTCGCTCTCGTTTGTTACCAGTTGGCGACGATGACTTATCGGACAAGTGGACAATATTACGATCAAAGTCCCATTCTCCCACTATTGCACTCGCAACAACTTGTGGCATTCGGTCTGGACTCTTGGAGACTTCTTGTTGGAGCTCCTCTTGACAGGCTTTCGAAATTTCTTCGCTCTTTGACTGGTAAAATGCTGGAGAAATGATGTCACCTTGATGCACATTGGCTTTTGGGAAAGCGTCTTCAGATAAAGCATTAACCGTGACAGTGTCCATCTCCCCAATGTAGTCGAAATGGGGGAACTGGGCTCTTGGTTCATATTCTCGAATGTTCTTGCTTGTGTCTAGGGCATCATCAAGCTTCTCTGGGACTTGTCCTGCAAATGACCTCGCGGCCACTCTTCCCTGAAGTTCCATGATACCCATATATGGCCCACGGTACATGCCGCAAAATGCTAAATTGGGCAAGGAGGGATGAATGGTATCCCAGGCCAAAGTCATTGGGCTAAAAGTATCTGTTCCATTGTAATCCAAAGTGTCCAGGATAGATTGGTCTAGAAAGTCGTCCAAATTGCATTCGTAGCCTGTGCAACAAATCACCTTGGAAATCTTGGGGAGAATCAAGCTCTGATCTGTTTCCCCAGACGAGGTCTTGACCTTGACATCTCCCGTTTCATTGTCCACACCTTCCAGGCGACCATGGATGACCTCTACTGCCCCACCAACTACTAGATCCAAGTAGTGATCGGAAATTGCCACCGACGGTGGACTATCCCAATCTTTTGGGATCCCCAGCGGCGAGTCTTGTTGCTTTTCACCGACCATGGATTGCAAAAAGGCATGCTTGGTCCTAGCAGATTCCGGTGTGAAGGCTGTTTGTTCCGGAACTTGTGGGAAATCCTTTGCGCGTTGGTACAAGGCCAAATCGACTGGGAGGATGCTGCCATTTCTAGGAACGTAGCGAGGAAGGACCCATGGAACAGATGGCAAAACGTTGACCACGCGACTAGCAGATTGGGAGATGTCCACACAAATTTCCAATGCACTAAAAGAAGACCCGACCACTGCAACTGTTTCATTCGCAAAGTCTTCGTGATTTGTGTAGTCACTGGAGTGTATCAGTTTTGGCGAAGACGAGGCCGAGTCATTGTCGGCATTATTGTTGTCGTCAATCCATACTTTGGATCCGTCCATGAATGTGGGCCAGTGTGGCTTGGAGAAAAAGCCAGTGGCCACCACCACTCCGTGAAAGTCCTTGCTATGTTTGGAGTTGGTAGCCAAATCTGTCCATTCTACTCTATAAAGCTGCTCTGATTCACTGTTCTCAGCCTGCCCTTCAGCTGGCGTTGTCTTTCCAATGTAATCGACTTGACATTGAAACTTGAAACATTCCGGATCCACAAATTCGTTGGCAAAAGAGTCCAGATAAGCATACATCTCGCTCGGTTGGACGAAGGTTGGAGTGCCTGCTGGCCATGGCCATTCCGAGAACCGACAAGTGTGTTTTGACAAGTTTGTTGTCAAACCCTTCCACATCTTGCTATTTGGATTGCTTGAAGCCCATGATCCTACAGGGATGAAATAGGTGAGAAACACTGAAAGAGTGATGATGACATGAAACGGAAGTAAACTTTAGAGACCCATTTCTTACCTCCAACAGCCTTTGATGTCTCGAAAATCAGTGGACGTAATCCAGTTCCCAGTAAATGCCTGGATGCCACCAATCCCGCTGCTCCAGCACCAATTACAGCTACTTCCACCATAGTCAAACACTAATAACAACTATTACAATTTGCTGTTTTTTAACATTTTCATTTCATTTCAAATGCTTCCAAGTCGACTGAGTCGAATCATCAGATGCCCAAATATAATAAATAAAAAGAACCGTAAAAATATTCTATCATATTGTACCAGCACTGCTTGTATTGTATTGATCACTGTTATTATTTCACGCTATGCTACCTTTTGCTGCTCCAACAAAGGGAACATGGCAGTGGACCCCTCTGGCCTGTCAAATTCCTCAGCTCTTCCACCCAGGTACTTTGCTAAGAACTGTTCTGCTCTACCATTGAAGTCGATACGGTTATCTGGGCGAGCAAAGCCATGTCCTTCATCAGGATATAGCACGTATTCGACAGGGATTCCCTTCTCTTTCATCGAAAATGCAATTTGGTCAGCTTCAGCCTGCTTGACTCGTGGATCATTGGCGCCTTGCCCGATCAAGAGTGGAGCCTTGATCTTGTCTACGTGGAATAGTGGAGAGATCTTCTTATTGAAGTCTTCGTCACTATCAACGTCGCCAATCTTTAGAAGCATTCCATTTCGGAGTGGACCCCAGTATGGTGGGATCGAGTCCAACAGCGTCTTGATGTTGGACGGTCCAACAATGTCGACACCACAAGCATACAAGTCGGGAGTGAAGGTTAGTCCAGCCAGACACGCATACCCTCCGTAAGAGCCACCATAGACACAGATCTTGTCCTTGTCCGCAATTCCTTGTTCAATGGCCCATTGGACAGCGTCTGTCAAGTCATGTTGCATATCTCCAACGCCCCATTGCTTGTCACCCTTGTGCAGAAAGGTCTTGCCATATCCAGTAGAGCCGCGATAGTTCACTTGCAACGTAGCATATCCACGGTTGGCAAACCACTGTGCCTGTGGATTGAATCCCCAACTGTCTCTTGCCCATGGTCCTCCGTGCACCAACAGAATTAGTGGAGTTGGTTCATCGGTCTTGGCCTTTGTCAAATAAGCTACCAACTCCATTCCATCTCGAGTTGGAATAACAACATCGTCCATTGGAGCCAATTTGTAATCAAGAAGCTCTGGTTTGCTGACAAACAAGGGGGAGGTTGACTTTGCAGTCTGATCGTACACAAAATACTCAGTAGGTCCATCAGCTCGGACAAACCCAATGATCCATAGTTTTTCGTCATTGGTTCGACTCAGGCAGACAACTTCAGCGCCTTCAGGTGCCATGGATTCCAACACCTTGTAGTCGTTTTCGAGTTCCTTGTCCCAGAACTTGCGCTCAGTACGGGCGTAGTTGTAGGTGACGGCACGGATTTCCTTGGTATCCTCATCCAAAGTGACACCACCACAGTCACATTTATCGGTAGCAAAGACTTCTTCCAAAGTTTCTCCTGTCTTGAGATCAATCTTTAACAAAGCTGTTGTCTCTCGGCCCAAACTGCTCTGCAAATAAGCAGCCTTGCCATCAGCACACCAGTCGACTAGACCTCCATTCTCACCGTATGGAAAAGTAATCAACTCTCTCCATTCGTCCTTGGACGTGTCTCTGATACGAACTGTAGTCGAAGAATCTGCTTGATTTCGGACAACTGCTTCCCGGATCTCAAATGAGAAATCCTCAGCTCCCCAACCCACAACATCACCTGGGTTTTCGGTATCCAATGTCATCTCTCCAGTCTTGTAGTTGCATCGGTACATATCAAAGCACTTTTCGTCACGAGCATTGGTACCAATCAAAATCTCATCCGGGAAGCGCTTGTTGGTCATGAGACTGGATGCCTTGACGTTTTCTCCAGGGGTCAAGTCACGGGCTTCTTCTCCGGATGCGACATCAATAGCCCACAGATGAAAGTTTTCGTCACCTTCCTTGTCTTGCATGTACAGAATTGTTTTGGAATCTTCTGCCCATCCAGCGTTTCGGATCCCACGTGACTTGTCGTTGGTAATCATTCGGGCGTTGTCCAAAGGTTCGTCCGTTTTCTTGACAAAGACGTTGAGAACATTGTCTTCCACGGACGGAGCCAAAAACGAGAGATAGGCTCCATCAGGCGAAAGTTTGGGGCTAGCATATTTTGGGTTTCCAAACAACTTTTCCCTGGGAATCAGTTGCTCGTCTGAAGTTGTTGTCATTCTCGGACTGCGGCTCTTTGTATTGGCTTGTTGATGATGGGAAGGGGACACAAAGCAATGGGAGGTTTGTGCTGTAAGTGCTAGAGCAAGAAGCAAAAGCAGCAGTGATTTGAGTGGCTGGGACATTCAAGCTGCTGCTGTCGTGTATGCTGTGTGGATCGGATTCGTTTTCGAATTAAGACTTCTTGTGAGTTCCGATAGATATTATATATCATCGTCGTCAGGCATATCTTCGCGTACGATGATGTACGATACACTCATCAAATTTAGCGTGACAATGATTCATGGCGCACACGTCACTGACGACATCGAAGGGACATCGAACATGCACGCGCTGCTTGCACCAAAGATATTGTAAGCCACTGACACTTCCTTAGTGGCTGTACTACCGGTATGTACTTAAGGTGTTGAATCTGATTGACACCGGTACAATACCACTACTTTTGATGCAACTTTTGTCATGGAGTCAACAAAGAAGTTTCGAGCAATTGCTTTCTAATTTACACTGCTATTACTGCTCTTGATTCAATTTGCACTGCCTTGCTGTTGTCACTTGCAATCCGTATGGTGATGATCGGGCGGCTCTCAAAATCATGCAGCCTTATGCTGCTGCTCGCCGAGCGTGGTTTACCTGACAACTACCGTTGAAGAGTCCTTCGTAGAGGAAGGGTCTAAGGAAGAGTTGTGAGACGACGATGCCATGTCGCCATGGTGAAACTTCAGTTCTTGAAACAGACGTTTCGATTCAATCTTCTTGTCAATTGGGCGGACCCCATCTTCTGGTTGTTCTTGGGACCGACGGTGTCGTTTGTTATTTCGAATATGGAATTCCTTCTCAGAAACAAAAGATCGCTTTCTCTGCTTTTCACGATCAGTACGATGAACTGGTGAGGCCATCCAATCAGCATGATGGCCAAAATCATTCGATCTGTCGCTCTTCAAACTTGCGATCACGGGGTCAATTTGAAGGTCAACGATAGAAGCGATATCATTGACAACATTGTCATCAGCCAAACAAGGTGGCAAGATGATAGAGAACAAGAGTGCAAGAATGGCGTTGGTGAGACTAGTCTTCATGATTTTTGTAAGATTGGGATTTTGTGAGTGAATGAAGCAGAGACGAAAACGTCTTCTCTTCCCGCCTCTATTTTAGAACCAAGTACCAGTCCTACGTAGCTCCTACCTCGATCGTGTCAAAATCGAAAATTAATGATATTTGTTTTGGGATTCCACCATAAATAGGCAGTACCGCGGGTATCCTTGTACACGCCAGACTATCTGATGAGCCCCGCAAGCGGAGTAACGCCATTTCGATGTGTTCTTTGCACCTCTTGGTTTGTTTGGAAAGCATTCAATCATCGCAAATGTCTAGATTATATCTATTTCAGAAGTAGCATCACTCAACTATTACAACATATTATCATACATCATTAGTGTCTTTTAAAATTTGGTGTTTCCTTTTCCATTCGCGAAGCTACAGCTTCTTGATGTGCCACATTCGCTGTGGCATCTTCTTCAACATCTTGTTGGACTTCTTCTTGCCCATGGCAATCGAACGATGAAGAGGACGACAAAGACGATGGGTCATCCGAAGAGGACGAAGAAGAAGAGGATGATCTCCAGGACTTAACTTTGTTGCTCGAATTCGAGAGCTTTTCCTCTTGTAATGCAGCTTTGATCTGATGCAGTCTGAGCAGTTCTTCGCTCTTATCAAAAGTCATTGCTTCGTGATGCATCTTGTAAAACTTTTTGCTCTGGTGATAACGGCTGGCCTCAAGCTGGCTTAGCTTGCGGTCTTGATTACCTTGAAATGAACTCCAATGCTTCGAAGAGGAGCCTTTGTGCCTTAGCTTTGAGCCTTTTGGAAACATGGCGATTTGGTTGTAGTTTTGGAAAAAATCGTTGAATGCTTCATCCTGTTTGTGCTCTTGTGCAGCAGCACATGGCAACAACACGAATAGCAGGGCTACTGCAAGATACCACATCAAAGGCTTCGTATAGTTACTGACGTTTTCGATGATTTTGTGCGCAAAGTTTTATACTTTTTTCGGCTTCGCGATCAGCAGGTAATCATCATGCAATCGTGTGAAAAAGGTGAGCCCGAAACTGTGACTACTTCAGTCCCAAGAAAGTAGCTTTTGAAGGGACAACCATAGAGGTTCCCTGTCAGGTGATTTGTTGCTTATTGAAGCTGCATCATTGGGATCCAATGTTCCTTGATTCGAAGACAAGACGGCAGATGCATTCACCAAAACATCATAGAGCACTTGTGCTTGTAGGCTTGGCTCCCCTTGAAGCATCCGATTTGCTTTGCATAATAGTATCGGCCAAGCAGCAGGTGGCAATTGCATCCCGAGGCAAGGTGACTCAATCGCTAGACTCCGCATGCATCGGGATAAGTTGTCCAGCTTTGCCCTGTCCTTATTGCTCGTTCCTGGCTTTGCTTCAGTATCCAAAATAGTAATGAGACTTGGAATCTTTTGAAATAAGCTAAAGACACTCGGTCGTAGCTTCTTCCGTATGTGCGTTTCAGCCGATAGAATAGGGTTGCCATCGAGAAGGAATCTTGTCAGCGAGCCCAGCGGTCGGCGATGGGATATTGAGGGAGGCGTAGCAGCATTGGATTTTAAAAGAGCAGAAAACCGAGGAAAAGTCAAGTCTTCCATCTTGTTCCTGTAGACATCCAAGGTCAAAAGGTTGGGGCACGATTCAGAAAACCGAACCAGCAAATTATCGATTTGTTGAGAGAACCATCCAGCATTTGTCAATTGTAGGTGGCAGAACACAGTGGAATCGATATTGTACAAACACTGGCAAGTTGTGATACTGTCCTTGCAAGATAGAAATCCAATGTGATTTGCTTTGTTAAATGTACTACACCATTCTTTTGAGATCCCTCCGTTGTGTACGTGCACGGGGGCATATCCCACACTCTCAAGAATCAGCTGATCAAAGGAGACCTCACGGTCCACCAAATTGGAGAAGAGATAATTGCAAGCAGTATGGTCCCAACCAGTGATGAGGAGATATTGTATGGACCGGTTGCTACCGATTCCTTCTGACAGGGTTCGTGCCAGGTTCTGAAAATCTGGTTGCAATCCGACGTTCCAAACCTTTATTTCTAATCGGTTTAGGCAATTCGTTCGCTTCAAGGCTCGTGCAAGACTGTTGTGGGCATCAACAGAATCAAAATCGCATGGATACAGATATATCTTCAAGAACATGGAAATAGCAGCGTTCTGGTTGCACATTGCATGGTAGATGAAGAATGAATGGGATTCAAGACTATTGGAAACCAATCCGACAATCAAATCCCACTGACACGCTTGATGAAACCACTTTTCCATGTTTTCATCATCTTGAGAGAAGCCAGAAAGCCGGACAACCAATGTTTTGCGATTATCCTTCAGAAACCGCAAGAACTGTATCATGTGCTCCGTGAGCGTGGGATTCCAGGTGAACGAATCATCGGAACTGGTGAGTCTGTAGATGGATTTGATTGTCTCGCCTACTCGTGGATCTTGAGCATTCTGTAGGATTTGGACATTATGCTGTGGCTTGCTGTGGACTAGCCGAATCTCCCTCATTGTCAGTTGCTAGCATTGCCGTTTTGGTTCAGCTGGTTAGTGTTGTGTCGTTGTATATATTACTGGGTACTTCTTGTGCAGACTGCAATGGAAATGTTGAAATCGATCAATGGGACTCATATCTCGTTGCACGCCGGGCACGAATGACGTTCTGTCTCAGGGATCTTCAATCTAATGCATGCTCTGTACAAAATCGGTTTCAAATGCAAAAGTTCTATGTATAGTTTACAGTCTAGAATGCCCCGACCATGTCCAAATCTTGAGTTGACAGAATATCATACACACAGTCCTTGATAGACAGAGGATCTGATAAGGCACTGAAGCACGCAGCTTCCGCTTGCTCATATGAAATCTTGGACTCTCCCAAGCGTCTTCGGCGCTCGCCGCGAGGATCCTCAGGTTCGAGGCACTTCTCCGGGAACTGTGGATGTGTAGCAACGTGGAACAGATTTCCATCTGCTGGAAGGACCTGCCATTCTTCTCCAAAGGCAGTGTAATCATTCAATTCCGTAACACCGTCACGGGCAAGGGTCTTTCCAGTCTTGAAGTCTCCCATAAGGCCAGCAGTGTTGCCGAAGGCTTCTTCGCTTCCATCGAACTTAACTCGGATAAATTCCTTAAAAAGTTGGATCACTATCTGCTTTCCAGGGTACCTGGGACTCAAGTCAACAATGTATTGCCGCTTGTAAGCTACTTGCTTCTTGAAGATGAGTTTGAATCCAGCAAGATCCTCAGCTTCACCTTGGTGCTCGAAGTTATACCAGTAGTGAGCTTCTTGATCCTCGCGATCCGCAGATCCTTCGATCTCAATTACATCATTTCCAATTCGGATCGCAACACTTTGGATGTAAGACCAGTGTCGCACAACCTTCGTACGGATGTGCATATCCAATCCGAGCCCATCAGCAAACTCGTCATCCTTCATCATTACAAGATCGCACTGTCCATGGTACTCATAGTGCTCGTTTTTCCAAGTAGTGATGTGGGGATCTCCGCCGATTTCGGAACGACCACCGCCGCCACAAGTATTACCAGAACAGTTGTCAATAATTTCTTGAACCTTGGTCTTCACAAAAGCATCAGCGAATGAAAGCTTCAAGTTGGCGTTGTTGGCTACTCCTTCTCGTAGACTATTAACGTTCCATGCTGCACCACCAGTGCCAATGATGAGGGGATAGTAGTGATCAAGGGTGTAAACACCGAGGTCTTCGTGTGCAACAAAGGTTGTGTAGGGTTCGTTCTTGTCAAAAGACGTGAATCCTCCACTTCCATCAGCTCTGAAGATCGTATTCCTGTTGGCTGAGTTCACTTGCATGCCAACATTGTCATGGTCTGCATTGATGGTGGAATCAACAACAATATTCAAGATGTAGCCATGGTCAATGATCTCTTGCCTCATCATATTTGGAGTTGTGATCCAACTTTCAGCGTCACGATCCTGGGAAATAATAGGGCGTGTCAGTTGAACCCAAGAACATTATGCAAATTTGTTACGTTGCTCGAAGAGCTCACCTCGTCGGAAACCAAAATCATATTCTTGTGGAGCTCGGAACATTCGGTATTCAAGTTCACACTAGCAATGACTTGTGGGAGGTTTTCCATACTCTTCGACATGGCGTAGTAACCTTCTTCCCAATGTCCGCGGACATTCCAATTGGTAATACTGTTATCCATTAAGCTACCGTTGGCATTGCCCTTAGTGCAGCCAACGTAGCGGTAATCATAGACATCTGTGTCTTCGTATCCACCAAATCCGTTAGAGCAGACGAAGACGTCAGAGTAGCCATATGTTGGGGTGTAAAGTGCTGAAACGATGTCTGGAATGGCAGTATCTTTCAGGAAAGTTTGTTCTGTGGTCATAGAACCAGATTCATCCATGACAATGTTGACCAGAGCACACTTTTTCGTTGCGCTGCCTGGAACTTCCATATCATAGTCGTATTTCACTGCTGGTCCAGAGCCAACGTCGCTCATTCCCGAGACCTCGGATGAGATGAAAGCAGCAGAGACCTCTTGGGCCACCAGGGCCGCGAAGAGGGATACCAATAGAAATTTCATTTTACCAAGCTCTTTTTTGTGCTGAGCCTTATTGGTTTCCTACTGTATAAAAAGTGATATGGACTTTTGTTAATTCTCCGTATCGTTTTATCAAATGAAAATGATGACCTTTCAAAAAAATTGCAGCATGATTTTCCGGCGAAGCAGTTCACGCAGTGCATTCAATTGGTTTTAGTAATGATTAGAGTATTTCTTGCGTGCAAGTGTACCGTTTCTGCCACTCAACAAATCGGCTTTTTAACCGCCCTTGCTTTGGACCTTCACGTTGACAGAAAAAAGACTGCGTAGAAAATGAAGAACAATAAAAATATGTCATCAGCTGATGAGTTTCTCCGAGGCAAACAATACAGTATTGAGACTACATACCATACCCCCATCTATGCACCCCCCCAAGGAGACAAACGCTGGCAACAGCATTCGGACTAATGCATTAACAGTCATTCCTCCCTTTCAAAACTTGGAACGGCGAACATGGTTGTAATAAAATGAAAAAAATTGAGAAATTGAAAATGCAAGAATATATTAAAATAAACATCGCAGTGTTGACTTTAGAATGCCCCAACCATGTCCAAATCTTGGGTCGCGAGGATGTCATAGACACAGTCTTTGCGATCCATTGGATCCTTCAAGGCAGAGCAAGCTTTCTCAGCCTCTGTTTCGGAAATCGAAGACTCGTCAAGTCGGCGGCGACGTTGGCCACGTGGATCTTCTGGCTCAATACACTTCTGAGGGAACTGTGGTTCCTCTGTTGTATAGAAGAGCATCTCATCTGATGGCAGTACTTGCCACTCGCTTCCAAACTCTGAGAAATCACTTAGTACTGTGACTCCATCTCGAGCTAAAGTATGTCCTGTTCTGAAGTCTCCCCACATTCCAACCGCGCTTCCAAAAGCTTCCGCAGTAGCACCAACCACACGGACGTTCACAAACTCTTTGAACGTACGGATCACAATCATTTGACCAGGGTACTTCGAGCCCAGGTCTATCTCGTAGGTAACCCGTTGAATGCCCTTACTACCATCATCAATATCGGCAATCCTTACTGGAAATCCACCAACGGTGCTTAAAGAACCTTTGCGTTCAAAGTTAATCCAGTACTTTGCATCTTGTTCGCTCCCATGCCCTTGGATTTCCAAGATGTCAGCGCCGATGCGAATTGCTGCACTGCCAATATAGCTCCAGAATCGAACCAGTTTGGTACGAATCTGAATATCGAGACCAAGGCCACCGGCAAAAGCAGGGTCTTTTGCAAGTACCAAGTCGCATTGTCCATGGTATTCGTAGTGTTCCTTTTTCCAAGTTGTGACTGTAGGAGTTAATATCAAAAGTGTGTGAGGATACTGGTAGCAAGATCATATTGATTTGCGACGCCGATACTTACAGTGTGGATCTCCATTACTGCTGCTTTCGCCGCGGTCGTCGGGACCAGAAAGCTCTAGGGCCTTGATGATAACAAAGACATCAGCGAATGCTTCGGCAACACCCGGAAGAGTGCATCGCATTGAGTTAATGTTCCAAACAGCACCAGCCTCATCAATCACCAGATCACTGTAGTGATCCGCAGTACCGGCATCATGCCAGACGTAGCTGTCATACCAGGTATTGGTTACAGCCTGCTCCACGTAGTGCGAAGCTGCAGTTGACGAATATTCGAAAACAGTGGCGTCACCACCACCACTTGAAATCTGCATACCGAACTTGTTCGCATCAGGGGCGTAGCTTCCCCTGCAGGAACTTGCGCTTGAGATCCCAACATGTCCGATACAGATATCAACAACAACGTTCAGGATGTAACCATTGTCATAGATCTTCCATTTCAGCCAAGATTTGTTGACATAGGTAGTACAGTCACGATCTTCATCGGTAACCAGAATCATATTTTTGTCAATGCTGGCGCAATTGTTGAGCAAGTTGACACCTTCAATCTGAGCATAGACGTCTGCCATTCCTTGCTTCATTGCTAACCAGCCATCTTCCGTTGAGCCATACGATAACCAATCGACAACATTCATGTTAATGATGTCACCGGCAGCAGTGATCTTGGTGCAACCCATGTGGTAGTAGTTGGCATTATTCGCGTAGTGTGCAGTTCCGTAGCCGAATCCAGCACTGCACAAGAAGACATCATCATAACCGTAAGTAGCGCTATGCAGGGTTTGTCCCAATTTTGGCAAAACCCTAGTCTTCATGAAGTTTTGATCACCTGTCATGGATCCAGATTCGTCCATGATAACGTTTATGAGGGCGCATTTATTGTTACCACTTGGCGTTCCATCGTAATCGAATCTTGCTGGACCTGTGGCTGCAGCTCCAGATATGAGGGTTGCAGCAATAGCTAGACAAAAGGTCTTCATCTTACGCCAAGATACCGGTATTCCTGTAAAATTTTGAAGTTGTGGCAACTGTGCAAGTCAATTTTGTGAGGAGCATTGAGATTGATTCCTTCATTCATACATACTTAGGCCACACGTTTCTCTTTTTATTTATGGTGTCTTCCGGCCAATTACGCTCGGACAACTTGTGTATTTATGTCATCTTGCGCTCGTGAATCAAATTGGACGGTCGAGCTATATGATATTAAAATAGCTTGTGAGTTTCTGATAGCTTGCTCCCGTATCATTTTCTCACGCTTTGGAAGAAGAATGAAGAATGATGGATGTACTGAAATGTCTAGTAATGCATTTGGTGAAACGGATCAACCGAGACGAACATCTCATGTTTTGATTCCTTTGGATCAACGTGAACCTCCAAGCTCCAAGCAACTTTCGCGATACTCGTGTTGCATCATTATTGAGATCAAAATTTCCACGTTGCAAAGGATCGAAGATATACAACAAGCAAGGCTTTCATCTGCACAAGGTCGGCGCTAGAGAGCTTGAACACCACCAGATGCATCGTCAAGGACGACGAGACAGGGCTTCATACGATTGCACCAACAATAGCAGAAAGCCATCTTCCAATTGATGCTTGGTGGCTCCGATCGTGCAGGTTGTTACTTTCGCTTAAGATCATCAGAGAAAGTCACCTTTGATCCAATGCACGCCATCATGGGAAGCAACGAGCAGGCTCCCCATCGGAAGCAATAACTTGAAGAACATATCTCTGCCGCCAAATTGTAATCGGCATGATCCATAAACGATCATGATACCCTTTTTTATGCCTGTTTGACGAATGGGCATAATTGGCCTGCCAAGCCAGGCAGAACTTTCGCTTGTCCCCATTCCCACCAACAATGTGATTCGAGCCGAAGGCAGTCCATACGCAATGGAAATAGAGTAGCCATAGAATATCGGCACCCGTCACTTGTTTGCCTCAATTCGTCTTGTTTGCACCGTTTAGCAGCCGTTTTTCCTTGCCAATCCAATGAATCAACACTGCCCCAACCAAAATGCATTAGTAGGTCATTCCCCTTTTCTCTTACGTGAGAAACGTATCTTCTCATGCAGCTTTGGAACTTCTCAGAAACTATCTATTCCAGTTACTTCGTTTGCCATGAGAGTAGTAGTATTTTGGCCCTTTCTGCTGCGCTTGATGAATTTGGTGCCATCACACGGACCGGTCAATTTGAATCACGAACTGTCGTCGTTAAGCACATCGTTGCCGAAACATTTAGTAAAAATTGCAATTTATGTATTCGATATAGGAGCATGGTCGCGATTTGGGCTTATTTCTTTGGAATACATATTGTTGCCACAGAAACAGGTTTGGCAAGAGTCCTACAGTACAGTAGTTGCCACAATTTCAAAATCTTACAAGAAAGTCACAAGTCACGCCCTTTCGAAAGATGAAGACCTTTTCTCTTGCTATTGCTGCCACCCTCCTATCTGGAGCTGCAGCCACAGCACGGTTCGACTACAATACGGCGCCCAATGGTAACAAGAAATGTGCCCTCATCAACGTCATTATGGACGAATCTGGATCCATGACAGGTGATCAAAACTTTATGAAGACTACGGTTTTGCCAAAATTGGGACAAACCCTTCATAGCGCCGCGTATGGCTATGATGATGTCTTCCTGTGCAGTGCCGGATTCGGCTATGGTTCTCCACACTACGCGAATAATGCCCACTACTACCACCTGGGTTGCACCAAAATCACTGCTGGCGGTCACATCGTTGACAGTGAGGTTGTTAAATGGTATTCGGCTGGCGCAACGGAAGATGGTTGGTATGCTATGAAGCAGGGAATGGAAGACGTCTATGCTGAGATTGAAGGTGTCAACCTGCTCAACGATTGCGGTAGCATTGACAAAAATATGATTCTGGTTACCGATGAAGATCGTGACTGCACCACCTATATCAGCAAGCCTTGGCTGAAATCTAAAATCTACTCCAACGGCTACATTCTGAACGTTGTTGTCGACATCTGTATCGGACATGACGGAATCAACAATCCTTGGAGCTGCAGGGGATCATCCGCCACAAATGCTGACAAGTTTGGTATGCAGATTACAAGTGGGGGTATGGATGCCAATATTTTCAAATACGAACCAACTGCGACATTTGACTATGTGGAACTGCCTATGCCGAACAAGCACTATGACAGCTACGTTTGGCACGATGCTGGTACCGCAGATCACTACAGTGATCTGGTAATTGATGAGGCTGGTGCTGTTTGGAATATCAACTCGATGCGCTGTACTCTTCCAGGAATTGCAGAAGCATTTGCTGGTGTCTTTGTTATCATCAAGGCTCAAGAGATATCTGGCTGTACTAATCCTGCAGGCTGCGATCCCCGGCCTGAAATCGGTGGAGATCCACACATCACCACCTGGAAGAATGAGGTAAGTTATTTGCTGCATTGACTTTGACTTGTTCTCGAATCATATGAATTAGACTTATTTGTCCCACTTTGATTGTAGCACTATGAGTTCCATGGGCAATGTGACCTTGTGATGATGAAGGATGAAGACTTTGCTGATGGCCTCGGACTTGATCTTCATATCCGAACCAAGATTGTCCGATACTGGTCCTACATCCAAAGCGTTGCCACCCGTATCGGAAACGACATTATCGAGAGTGAGGGAACACCAGATGCTGAGGACGAAGAACCTCACTACTGGTCCTACATCCAAAGCGTTGCCATCCGTATCGGAAACGACATTATCGAGATTGAGGGAACACCAGATGCTGAGGACGAAGAACCTCACTACTGGTACAACTACGAGTACCAAGGTCAAGCCGAAGATCTTGCTGGATTCCCCATCATCTTCAAGAAGCAAATTGCTTACAAGCGTCAATACATCATTGATCTTAGCCCCAAGTACCCCGGAAAGGACATTACTATTCAGCTCTTCAAGGAGTTCGTCCGAGTCAAGCTCAATGGAAGCCACGCAGTCTTTGGAAACACTGCTGGTCTACTTGGAGACTACAAGACCGGAAAGACGCTCGCTCGCGATGGTGTCACCGAGCTTCATGACTACACCGCCCTTGGTGACGATTGGCAAGTCCTTCCAGCCGATGGAAATCTATTCCATGCCGCCTCTCCTCCTCAGTTCCCAGAGAAGTGCATCGAACCAGAAGACCCTCGTGGAGAGCGTAAGCGTCGCTTGAGTGAATCCACTGTTTCCATGGAAGACGCCGAGAAGGCATGCGCTTCATTGACTGATCCATTGGCCGTCAAGGACTGTGTCTATGACGTCTTGGCAACTCAAGATGTTGACATGGTTGGCGCCTTTTAAAGGAAAAGTCATTCGTAATTTTAATTTTAATAGTCCTAGTACATAGATAGTATACATTTGCATTTCTGTTTCATTTTCACACATGCCCACAGTTTTATCCTATCACCCCCATTTGGTACGCTGTTTTGGGTTACTCTCCACAATTTGCTGTCTTCACAAACCAGCTTGACAGTATACTGCAACATTGAATGAGATTGCGAACTATGGACCAATGACGATCATTCAAGATGAAGGGGTTCTTGGAAAAGAAAGAATCATCATGCTACTAAACATCGAAGATCCCTCTACCATTGAAGAAGAGGTCTCCTGTCGCATTCAATGGTTCTTGTTGTTCTTGTTGCTGTTGCTGTGTGTTTTGCTGCTGTTGCTGTTGTTGTTGTTGCTGCTGCGCAGAAGCATTGTTCATCATCGTCATCATTCTCATGTTGTTCATTGTCATGGAAGAAGAACTTTGTTGATTTATACTTGTCAAATTCAATTGTTGTTGTTTTTGTACCGCTTGCTGTTGGAGTTGGAGTTGTTGTTGCTGTTGTTGCTGTTGTTGGACTCGTTGATTTATACGTGTTGTGTCATTCGATTTTTGTTGCAGCTGTTGTTGTTGTTGGACTTGCTGTGGCTGTGGCTGTGCCTGTGGCTGCTGCTGCTGTTGGACTTGCGATTGTAGACCTTGCTGTTGCTGTTGTTCTTCAGCCAATAATTTGACCACTTCTTGTTCCGACAACGCGTCCATAAATTTCAAAAAGCTGGCAAATTCGGCATCCCCATTGTCCATTTTCCCAATCTCTCGAACTGTATGTGCCATGTCGATAAAATCTGGACTGCTGCAGTCTTTCATGGTTTCTACCAAATTGACAGCTTCTGGAGGCAGCTCTAATATTTGACAGAGGATGGGCAGTGGCAAGGCTTGACCATTTTCCATCGTTATCGGATGTTGCAATAAATGTTTTGGCTTCAAACGGTTTTGCAGATCGTTCAAATTCAATAGCTGATTGCCCCAATAGAGGCGCGGTAGTTGCTGGCTGTGATCATTAGTATTCCCTTGATTATTATTATTATTGTAGGACATGATCTTTCTTGAAACTGAAACACTTTCGGTGGATGGAGTGTGAACAGTAGGGGTATTGATGATGAGACTTTTCGCGTTTGTGTGTGATTTACTATATTTGTCACGTATCCATTACCGGTATTCGTCTTGTCTTTGAATTGGCCAAGTCATTTTGGTTGCGTCATTCGACCACGATCCGCAAATTGTTTCTCCGCTTCATTATGCGCATTTCTATTTTCCCGCTTCTTCGATTTACTCGACTGTTTCTAGTTCTTGATTCATTCAGCCGACTGACTTGACTTCAACTGCGAGTCCCGTTTCAACACCAATGGATCGGAGTAATCATAAACGCATTGCTGGCTGCCCGTAAAGGATTTTTTTGATAGCGTCCTATCCTCTTCGTATATATGCTCTTGTGACCTACTATATATCATATCGTACAATCATTATGGGCAAACACAACAACAATGACAATCATAGTAAAAAAGAAGAACCCTTTCCGTATGAATTTGGAGGACCCATTGGTGCCCTCGCCACGACCCTTGCCTTGCCCGTGGTCGTCATGTGGCTCTTGCAAATGGGTCGGGTCGGTGCCATCAATTTTGACTTTGTTCAAGAGTTGTGTGATGATGACAAGTGTGCAGCGTTGACGTTAGTAAAATGCACATTGGGATTATTGTCGTGGTTCTTGTTCAAGGTACTACTGTGGTATGTGTTGCCAGGTCCCATTGTGCAGGGCGCTCCAGTCCATGGCGACAAGAAGAATACCCTGCCGTATAAATTGAATGGACACTTGAGTTTTTGGGCCGTCGTTGGCTTGGTTTTTGGATTCCAGATCCCGCTGAATGAATTCTTGTACAAATATTTTGAACCTCTGGCCATGTGCGACATTGCACTCTGCTTGGCCATGAGTCTGTACATGTACACCAATTCCTTTCATCCCAAGGGCAAGATTTTGGCCAAGGGTGGAGATTCGGGCAATTTGATATACGATCATTTCATGGGCCGTGAATTGAATCCTCGTTGGGGAGATTTCGATTGGAAGGTCTTTTGCGAATTGCGACCCGGTCTCGTGGGATGGATGTTGCTCAATATTGCCTGTGCCCAAGAACAACTGGCAGTGCATGGGAGCATTTCGGGAAGCATGTATCTGGTCAATATCTTTCAAGGGATTTATGTATGGGATGCTCAATATCAAGAGCGTGCCATTTTGACCACCATGGACGTGACTACGGATGGATTTGGGTACATGCTAGTCTTTGGCGACTTGGCTTGGGTTCCCTTTACCTACAGTCTCCAAGCCAAGTACTTGGTTAACTACGATCCCAATTTGTCATCCATTTCATTGGGAATAATCTTGGCCCTTCACATTCTTGGTTTTTATATTTTCCGTGGCGCCAATGGACAAAAGGACAAGTTCCGTCGGAATCCAAACGATCCTGCTGTTTCGCACTTGCTGTATTTGCAAACCAAGCGAGGAACCAAATTGCTTACCAGTGGATGGTGGGGAATGGCTCGAAAGATCAACTACACGGGAGACTGGCTCATGGGGTTGACATGGTGCTTGGTGTGTGGCTTTGATAGTATTGTGCCCTACTTTTATGCCATTTACTTTTGCATCCTATTGGTGCATCGAAGCATGAGGGACGATGAAATGTGTGCTCACAAGTACGGGGATGATTGGCTAGAATACAAACGACAAGTGCCATATCGATTCATTCCAGGTGTCATCTAACAAGCTAAGACTGACTATCAAGTTAATGCGTTTCCTAAAACTCTCCCAGTTGAGGTCGCGATCCAACCGTCGCGGCAAGTTCTTCGTGCAAATCTTCCAAAAAGTATTGGACTCTCAGTTCAGTATTCTTGAGTTCCTTCTTAATGTCTCGTTTGGTCTGCTTGATTGCTCCTTCGGCCATGGCAATGTAGGTCCTATCGTTTTTTATGCGTTCCTCGTATAGTGACAACATCACTTCGTGCAACTTGAAACCATTCATGTCGCTATTGGCCATGGCTACAGTCTTCAAGTCTTCCAAGGTGAATATTCCAAGTTCTTCGTGCATCCCGTTAATAAAAGCTTCCACTCGGTGGTGGGCACCTTTGGGACCCACTAGTAAAAATACATCCGACATGAAAAACTTGGTAACGTCAAAATTGGCTCCAGTCTCCTTGTGCATGGCATACACAAACTCGGCAATGTCCACATCGTCCGTATGACTCTTTCCTGCTTGTAACATGCATTCCACCAAAAGGGACAAAAACGAAAACTCCTTGGAAATCACTCTTGCCAGTGCAATATTCTGCTCTGCAATGTCCTCAAAGTAGTCTTGGAGGACTGCAATATCGTCACTGAGTCTACCACAAGCCTTTTGAGGATTACGAAAGGCAACCTTCTTCCGAGCAGTCTTCTTTCCCAAGGTGCTACCAGCCGATCGTAGCCTTTCTGCCTTGTGCACAATCCCTTCCATGTAAAAGCAAATGGTGGCTCGCACCAAGGCGCCGACAAACTTGTGAAACAAATAATCTTGCTCCAACCACTTGGATGCCATGGAAATCCTTCGTTCCAATATACGAGTCATGGAAACCGAAACTTCATTGTGAACCAACTCTTCTTCCCATTGTCGACTAAATAGAAGCGAGAAAAGACCAGCATCATGGGCATCGTCCATGATAAAGCAGACGGCTTCTGTCGACGCTGCTAGCACTGCGTCATGGCTAAATTGGGAACTGAGTTCCTTGGCTTCTTGACAGGGCATCCAAGTGACAGGGTCTGTATCACACCAGCACAAATGTGGGTACTTGGTCGCTACCAATTCCATAAACTCTTCCACCTTTTCCACCATCCACATGAAGCTATTGGCGGCCGCGATACAACCTTCCAAACTATCTTGCAGGTACGAGTCCCGGTATTTCGTTTGCTTTTCTGAGATATTTTTGAGCATGCTCAAGATTGAATCGACCAACAATCGATCTCCTTGTGGTGTCTTTTTCAGCTTATTGCGCACAATGTACTCGTCCAAAAGGCTGAGCTGGGTGCTCACCAACAAAAAAACATCTTGCGGCAAGGCAATCGACAAAGTTCCCGAGACTATCGATTTGTGTACTGGATAGTCAATTTCATAGACATCGGTCAAACAAACATTCGAATTTTCAAGAAAACTGAGTTGAAAGGATTCCAAGGACATGGTAGTCAAATCCATGACTTCGACCGCTTCGTTGGCCTCTTCTCCATTCGACTTTTCCCTTTTGACAGGATTTGGTCTCATTGGCGATGTTTTGGTATCGTTCATTGTCATAATGGTATTCTTCCTATTGTTACCGTCCACTTGGACACGATGGTTGCGTTGCTGCAGCCTATCAGCTGTACCAAACTCTGTGAGAGGCTTGGCATTAGGTTTTTGTCGTTCGTGTTCATGTGTTGGCTTTGGTGGCTCTGTCACTTGGTTCCTTGCTTTCTGTTTTTGGCGCCGAGGCAACAGCGATTTCTTGAGCTTTCCTCCAAGGCTTGTGCGATTTGGATCCCCAATGGGCTGGTCAGAATTCACCTTGATGGCAACTACCGGCACGAATTCATCAAGTGATACTGGACCATGGTCTGATGTGTCATGAACCTTTTTGTTGCTCAATGGCCTATTTTCAGCTTCTGCCGTTTCGTCTTCTGCAAATGGATTCTTCCTTCGAGGAGGAGAGGGTGCTTCATTTCCTTCCTCCACTCTTTTTTTGGAAAAGAGTCTTCTGAGAGTCTTCTCCTTCTTTTGGTTCTCTTTGCCCCATGGTTTTGTCTCCGTCTTTGTTGCTGCCGCTTCAATACTGTTGGCACTAGACGAAATGGAGTTTGCATCTTCGTCATATGGAGCATCCATCTTTTCATCTTCGGCAAATGGATTCTTCCTTCGAGGAGGAGGAGGAGGCAATGAAAGTATGGACGAACTCTTGGATTCTTCTCTCTCCTGCTTGACTTCCTCCTCTCCTTGCTTGGGCAGCGATATGTAGTAATCCAAGGTGGACCACAACTTACTGCTTTTGGTGCTTGTCTTTCCAGCAGTCGCCTCTTTTGGAGACAAAATTGTTTCTGGAAGCGGACGTATGGGTTCGGCATACTTTTTTTTTTGCGACGAAGGAGTCTTAGTTTGTGGAAAAGGATGAGTGGGTTCGGCACGCTTCTTTGTGACGAGTTCTTTTCCAGATGTCGGCTTCTGAATGGTTTGGAACGGAATAGCATTGGCATATAGAACCGCCTTTTTCGTCTTCTTGTTATTGTGGGTAATTCTGGGATTTGGAAGCGGTGTCGCATATATGATCTTGCCCGTCGGTTTTCCAAGCTTTCTAGCAGCATTTGGCTTGTTTTCATTGTTGATTACGTGTTGTGCCTTTCGCGGTTTCCCCTGCAACACCGACGATTGTGTCTGGGAATTGCAAACGGCGCGTTCGGCCTTCTTCATTTCTTGAGGAGTTGGGGCCCACTTGTCTTGAAAGATGTCAGCTTCCTTCGTACGTTGTTTCAAGGCACCACCACGTTTCTTGTTGTTGCTGTAGCTGTAAATTCGAGTCATACTGTCTGGCCAATGTAATCTGCAGTATATTCCTGGGTTGCAGCTGCTGTTGTTCCAGGCTTGACACAAAGCACAAGCAGCAGTAGGAAGGAGCCCTGTCTTTACCGAGTAAGGTTTTCACGATCCACACTCTCTGATGAATTTTATGTCTCTGATGAGAACAACGGAACGTTCTTTTGTGGGTTCGAGTCGAAACAAAGAAAGTTTCTGTTGTGTGACCGTTTCGTGTACTGGAGTGTCACAATGCTACTATACTGGTTGGTAAAGCAGGCAGGACTTGCTACTCAAGAGCACGATCTAGCCTCACACTTGTCAAGTGATTATGTATTTTTGTTGAGGAAGTTATAGGATTGAACCAAGTCGCAAAGTAGTCGTTGGTATGTGGGTTCCTGAAAAATATCGTGAAACTTATGTCAGCGACATGAGACACATAGAATACGACAAAAACTAGCGCCAGCCGACACGCTGCAAATCTTGTAAATACCGAAATTTGTTTAGGTTTTCGGTTGTCCGTTCGTGCCGGTTTGTGTTCCACGAGCAAAACCATCAAGTTTTGAATCCCGGTCCGTCAGTCTGATCAGTGATTGAATCCCATTGGATTCAACGATCGCAAATGGCGCACTTTTGGAGCACAATGATGATGTTTGTCAAAGTCTACTATTATTGTCAGGTGATTGCGTTACCCCAAAAGGGTTCGTATCTCTCTATTCAATATGGCAGCCCTATCAGCTGAGAATGCAAGCAGGCAGGTACCATGGTCTCGCTTCTAGGGACATGGTTCATGTAATAAGCTACCTGTGGTGCTGTCTGGTATGGTACAGTAGGTCATTCACGGAGATTTGAAATTACGTAATCGTGACGCCTTTGAGTCTCGGTTGGCACAGTTGGGTATGGAACATCCAAGCTTGAGCTAGGATGGACAGGATTAGGCGTGCCCCAAGAAAACTGATGATGGACAGGTAGTGTCTCATCTTATATTGTTTGGTGCAGGCGCTCCAGATGCGCGCGGGAAGCTCGATTTCTAGGTGACCGCTTTGAGTCAAAACCAATCATTTCAATGTGCTAGCTAGCTAGCTAGCTAGTATACTTGTACTGTATTGATATTCTATTGCTACTCTGTGTGTATCTATTTCTCAATTATTTCGAATACCGGCACTCGTAGCATTCTTGATAATGCCCAACGCTATTCTTGCCCTGAAGGAGAATCTATCAAGCACTGAAAGCAGTACTCGATAGTTCCCAAAGCCCCAAACGTTCGATGGGTCATTGGAGTGATATGCTTGAAGAATGCGGTGATGGAAACGAAAGAAACAAAGCTGAGAAGAATACACACAAGCAGAAGAAAAACAAGAAGCTCCTGAACTTGGGAGATCAGACGACTGTCTCGACTCGACTCCCTCGATCGCATTCCCTCGTCGTTGCCGTTTTTTATTTTGATTGCTATACCGTAAGCAATAATCTATTATATATACTGTAGCCATAGCAACACTGATCGCGTCCCGAAACTGTCGACCATGGAAAACAATAACGCAACATACGAAGTATCTATCCCATCTCTTGCTCCGTTGGTATCCGGGCATCAAGAGATCGAAGCACCTAACTGCTATCAATCAGGGCGATCCGATTGCGACAAATGACATTGTGAGTGCCACCGCACAGTACAAGATGCGCAAGTGGTTGCAATCAATGCATCCAACACTTAGTCACTTCAAGCGAAGTCATCGAAGCAAAGCGTCGAAAGCATGTCGTGGAATGAATCAGCACAATTTGACGGCCCGAGAATTGGATGGGACCATGCCTCAAGATGAAAACGCGTGGTTCCCTGCAACCCGCAAGTCGAACTCATCAACGCTAGTCATGTTGACATGAATTCTTTGCTTACATTCTATGGGCTTCCAGAGAGTGGAACACTTGACGAGAAGCGCGCTCGATTGGAAAAGCACCTTGGAGTGGTCCTATAAATTCGAAAAAAGGGTCGAAGGAAGGAAATTGAATGAATGAATGAATCAACCACCGCACTGTCGTTGCGGCTATTATTGTTTCCTTTCCCGTCACACGGCAGTCTTTGCCGTATTGGGCGAGGACAGTAAAAGTCATTCGTCATTCGTCATTCGAGTCAACATATCAAGACTTTCATCGCAGCGCAACGCAATATCTGCACTGCTGTGCCTATAATTGTGTGCATCAACATAGTATTTATACTATATGAACAAGAATAACAATGATATTAGTGTAAAACCTAACATACTGGCGTAAATTCATGGATGACTGTGAGCTTATTTGTCAAATCCATTCGTTCCTAATTTTTGAAATAGTGATTGGCTTATTATATTGGATGATGCCCAACGAAAACATGTGTAATCAGTATTTACATGAGACTATAGCTTCTTTTTCCTCTGTTCAAGTTCGGAACATTGCCTCCCAACCTTCCCTCACTGAGTCTGGCCTGTCAGAACGAGAATGTGCATGCTTTTGGTGCAATGCTGCTTATTGGCGGCCTCCAGAGCGATTCATTCTCCCTTTCCATCCATCCACCTATGCCATCACCTATTCCACGAGCTTAGTAAATGCTACAGCAACATGATGATGGTGTTGATGATGATGATGATATTTTCAAATGATGGTGACTCCAAACCACAATCAGGAGTTGAGAAAGAAGAATTCTGCCTAACCATTCGAGAGTGCTGCTATTGGCATTGTATTGGAAGAACGAATATAAACCAATTGATCAATCAATCAATCTTGCCAATCGATCAATCTTGCCAATCAACCAATTGATCAGACATGATAAGACATGATAAGAATCTTGTCAACTCAGTCCTAGCTAGCCACACGACCAAGACTATAAGAGAAGAAGAAGAAGAAGGTCGGAGAAGAGATGTATACTTCACAATACTAGGATAAAAAATCCAAAAGGGGGTTCCTGATTTGACGGGAAGCGGGATTCACATTCGTACCCTTTTTGTTTAGCAATGCAAATCCGTTCGGCGAGTCCGTTGTTTGTATCCCGCCAATCGGCTGGCAAGACTCGATAATTCCAAACCGATCCAAAGCCATAGTCGGCCATAATTATTTGAGCCGTTCAATCCGTTCAAACTCATGTGACTTGTCTTGACTATGTCACATAATTTGGATACCATAGTGGCTATAAGTAGACGAACGGACTCCATGCCAGATAACGGCTTCGATTCAAAATACCAATCGTACGAGGATGCTACGTGACAAAATCTACCACATCCACAAGACCCACTCGGACTGTGAAATGTGAAACGAGACGGCCAAGTTGGAAAGTACAGTACCAGAAGGAACGAACGCGTATCAACGAAACACTCTTTGCTCTTTACTATACCACACTTCTAATAAGCCAAATCGTGTTGGTTTTGCAACACATTCTATCATAGCTGCAGTAGTATCGCAGCATCGCAGCATCGCAGCATCGCAGCATCACAATAACAACAACAACAAACAAGCATTGAATCAATACTATCAATTCAAACATCAAAAGCAAATATCAAAAGCAATTCAAATATTCAATATTCAATATTCAATATCAAACGCCAATCCTAAAATGACGACTTCCCTGGACTTGAATCAAATCCAAGATGAGATTGCTGCCATGCAACGTCAAGAGCAATCTTATTATTGCCGTCAGCAACAACAGATGGATCCATTGAGTCACTATCCTCTGACCAGTTCCAACTCTGTGTTATCGTGGCACTCGCAACACTCTCTGCCGTCGATGCACCGCAGCAAGGCAAGACCCAACGTGCATCATCCCTTTCGGCAGTACATGGTACAATGGATGCACACGATTCACGATACCTTTCAATTGTGCCCCGTAGTTGTCCCTACGGCCATTTATTACTTGGATTCGCTCACGTGTGCGCCCAACAATCCATTGGATTATCAGTTGTGCGGTTTGACCAGTTTGCATTTGGCCGTCAAGGTTCACGAGACACGAATCTTTCAATTGAGACAATTGCTCGAAATGGGCAATGTTTGCTTTACCGAAGAAAAGGTGATTGAAACGGAACGTCGCATTCTGAGCACGTGTGCCTGGAAGTTGCACCCACCGGTTCCAGAAGCTTATTTGTATATTTTGGGCAAGCTGTTTGCCCAAAATCCACAAATTCCCACCACGGCCATGCAAATCTTGAGAACCTCATTGGTCCAAAATTTGCAAGCCAAGCCATCGGTGATTGCCTATGCCAGTTTGTTGGCATCTATGGAACAATCCTACATTTCGGTGGAACAAAAGCAAGCCTATTGTCGCGATATCATGCGAGTCTCTGGTTTGACGGCCACGTCTCCAGGATTGGCACAAACCTACAAGGTATTGGGTGTCAGTGCAGCAGCAGCAGCATCTACTGCACCCACACCCGTGTCTGTACCGATTCCCCAAGTCATTCCCGTGGTCAAGACCTCCTCACCCAAGTCACGCATGCGTCCTCAAATTATTGTCCAAGACGACATTCCTGCCGCTGACTTTTCATCGTTGCTGTTATCACCAGAAACCTTTGACGATGGAGAATATCGCGAAGTCATTACCTGTGGCCAAGATGCCATTGAAGTTACCTTTTGCAACAAGCCTGGATTGGACTTTTTGGATACCATTTCTCCTCGTTCGGTGGAGGGATTGTAATGAGTTGCCATTGTTGTTATTATTATTATCATTATTTTAGGTAGTATCATTATAATATGACTCAAAATTGGTGACAATTGATTGATAGATGTGTCTTTGGGACAATCCAATCAACTATTATTTTAAAATTATAACTTATAACATGCTACAAGTATAATACGTACCAAGGACTTTGAACTTGTTTGGTCTATCATATTCATTATGATGTTAAAATATACAGTAGTATTGCACCGCTCTACCGGTACTGCATGTATTACCAAGTAGTGTACTTGCATGGTCAATGTTGGCAAATATCACAGTAAACGGCTGGCTACAGTACATAGTTATTATTATAAACTACACAACAATTCTAAAAAAAAATACATTAGACCTTGACTCTCCAATCAATTTCATGCTCCCATGACGCAATCCTACAGTAGTTGATCGCATGGGAATGCTCCTCTCGATTGTATTCTGTCAGTAACTCCCAACTTCCACCACCACTGCTGATATTATTGTATCCTTCGACCTTGACTGTGGATGGGTCGAATGAAATACGGATGGAATAATAATAGTAGAAATCGTCGTCGTCTCCCGCGGCCTCGGTCATGGTTGTTGTTGGACCTGCAGGAAAATTCAATTCCGTCGTGTTCCACTGGACTGCCTCATGGCGGAGACGAAATTCATTGTTGTCGTCCGCGGCAAAAACGATCTCGTAAATCCTTCCATCGTTCGCTTCATCTTCCGCCAATGCAATATGCGGATTGGTGTTGGCATTGATGGCCATTATCACCTCGCCCACTGATGAAGACGACGATGAGTCAAACTTCTTCACAGTTTGGTAAAGATATTTTCCGTTTGTATGCTTTGGTTTTGGGGTGCACATATATATATATAAGATGGCAATGAACAGATACAGCAATAACAAAAATAATAAGCATCTATCATCAGACAGAATAACAGAGATCCAGGCAAGCAGTAATAATAACAAAACACATATTACTCACGAATGTACGGAAACTGTGCCGAGTCAGAGATCCAAACCTATCGTCAAAGAAGGCATCCCAATAGTCATCATCAGAGGAGTCCGTCCACACTTCAATATGATGTAGTGGACTGCTACTACTACCCCCGTCTGGTGATGATGATGATGATGATGATGATTCCACCAAGATCTCAAGAGCCTCAACGTTCTTGTTGTCCACGACCTTCTGAAAGGCGCGCGAATCAAGGGGTGCACCAGCTTGTTTCAACGCTTTTAAAATCTCTAGGTCTCCAACATCGATGGCAGTAAGCATGAGTGGCACGCCGGAATGGTCAGCTTCCAGAGAGGTATTTGTTGAGTCCAACAACAAAGTCTGCAGTGAGATCAGATCCTGACAGAGAATCGCTGTATGGATGTCGGAAAGCGGGCTTCTCCAATCAATTTCGTTTTCCCAGGACGCAATCCTACAAAAGTGGATCGCTTGAAAGTGACGATGTTCCTCGCGATTGTATTCTGCCAATAACTTCCATGTTCCATTTACGTTGTATCGTTCAACCTTGATTGTGGTTGGGTCGAACGATATCCGGATAGAACAGAACTCTCCTTCTCTCATCGGGCCTGCTTGAAACTCGAGCCTTGTTGTCTGGATGTTAATTGCCTCGTGTCGGATACGAAGTTCATTGTTGTCGTCATCCAAAAAAACGATCTCGTAAATCTTGCCGCCGTTGGCTTCATCTTCAGCCAAGGCAATATGCGCTTGATTCTTGCTATTCAGTGCGAGTATCACCTCACCTGAAGAAGATGAGTCAAACTTCTTCACTGTTTGGTACAGATATGTACCACTCGTATGCTTCGATTCAAAACAGAACATGGTTATATAAGAAGAAATGTTGTTGACAAACAATCGGGGATTGAAAAAGTATAGCGTACCTTCTTGGAATAAATGTTGCGTTGTAAACCCTTTGCTTTCTGTACGATATGGTGCAAATTCTCCGCTGAACAATCGATCCACACTCCAAAACTCTCAAGTTCTCCATCCGGCCGTGACTCTATCAACACGTTGAGTGCCTCCAGATCTCCTTTGTCAATTGCTGTTTGAAACGATTGAGAATCAATGGGAGTGCCAGCATCCAGTAGTGTTTGGATTGTCTTCGCATTGCCGACAGCGATAGCCTGTTCAATCAAAGGCATTTGCCCCTCATGCGGTACCAGAGCAGCTCCAAAACTGGATAAGACTTCAATTGCTTCCACTTGCCCCCCTTCAATAGCTGCTTCAATGGCTAGCTTTCCATTCAACACCGAGTTGGGGCTTTTGAAATCTCTCAATAACTCATTCAATCTCTTGATATCACCGTCTCCAGCATGTTGGACTAACTGGCTGCTATTCTGAAACTTCGCACTCACGATTTCTTCCACTCTTGTTCGAGCTTCTCGCATGCGCTCAAGGCCAGAGTATTGGGCAAGGGTCGTCACTGCTCGCATGGCGTCCTCAGGAGGTCGAGTCCACAACATTACATAGCCTTTCACCAATGCCGTTTCACCCTCATTATTGACTATATCAAGATCTGGGTCAGCAACATCTAGAATGGCCCACACACATCGTTCACTTCCACGTTGGACAGCATGGTGAAGTGGAGTGTTTCCATTTTCGTCGACGCTGTTCACGTCTGCGCCATAGGACAGCAGAGCATGGAGAATTTCTGCATGTCCCCCCTTTGCGGCGTCATGGATCAAGTTCCTTGCACCTTTTTCTCGTAGCAGCCATTTTAAGCTGTCCATCGCCCCTTCTTCATCATTTGCGTCAGCATTCTTGCTTGTCCCCAGACTCTCCTTGCCGAACTCCAAAGCATTGGAGACTCTCTCAACGTCACCTGCACCAATGGCTGCCTTTAACTCCCGAATCACCTCAAAGCTGCGATGTCCCATGGTCTGCTTCGCCTGAATCATAATCTCTGTATTCAATTGCACCTCGCACATGTGTTCCTTGAATTGGACAACAAGTTGAATATCTCGGTAGCCACCAGGGAGTCCAGGGTTGTAACGGTCGTTGAACTCTTTCACAACATTTCCATTTGCACCAAACAACTTCAAGACATCTTCGAGGGAATCATACATGCTCTCAATCGTCGGGTACATAATAGTGGCCCGAACCAGATCGGTAAGGCGGTACCATGCAATGCCATCACCGTGCGGGTCTCGGTATTTGAACATTGCCTTCATTCGAGCCCTTTTCTCTCCTTTGATAGGAGGTACCACCGCAGTTCCGCCTGTGGCATCTGCTATTCGCTGTACTGCGGCATCAAAATCCTTATACACAATTTTAGCCTCCTTGTACAAAACGTCCAGCCGATTGACGTATCCTTGGTTGAGAAGCCCAGTCGAGAACCCTTTTCGTCTGTAGAATTCACCAGCCATTAATTCTTTCATTTCTTCTGCAACTTGCAAATTGTTGACTTCATCTTGCAGTCGCCGACTCAAAGCTGTGTACTTTTCGACCGTTTTTTGTCCACCGGACTTTTCAAAGGCCTCTTTGTAGCTGATGGGTTCCAATGATTCTGCAGAATGAGCATGTGCTGGAGCTTCCGTCGAGGCTTGTTTCGGAGTTGGATTATTCTCGTTTGTAGGTTTGCCACGAATTACAGATAACTCCTTCTTGAAGGAATCAACTAAGGTCTTATACTCGGCTAGCTCAGCCCTCAAGACATTGATTTCGTCTTGGACTTCAGCCTTGACTTCAGACTTGACTGCGGCTTTCAGAGCTGCAATCTCATCCTCGGCAAGGCTCATCGTGATAATGTTTCACTGCGCTCTTTCTTACTTCTCCAGACTGAGGTTGCTCCTGCTAGTGTTCTGCAAGATCTGCAAGGCAGATTACTACAGTATTATCTGCGTGTGAATGCGTTCAGAGTTCTTTCGCAAACATTTTATTTCGCAGTCTTTCAGTCATAATAATAAAAACCGCGTACATTACGCGTGCGCGAAACCATCGCACTCACATCCATTTTATAGAATCGGTGCCCAGCATACGCAGCTTGTTCTACTATAAGAGCAATGTATGCTTTCAAGTGATCAACAAGTATGACCAAAGCACGACTTGGTGCTGGGCCGATCAAGATCAACAACGAATATAATACCTACTAATAGCTGCGTGATTCAAGAACAAGGAAAGTAGTATTCTTAGTTTAAAAAATCCAATACACACTGACGATCTTTGATGACAAGATAAATGCCATTTTTATTATCTCGCTCCATAGTGCGCCATTTCTGACCGAATGTGATGGGATTGATTGATTGGTATTTCAATCATTGAGATACTACTACAGTACTTTCATTATCTCTTACATTTTAGATAGGCCTCGTTGCAACGGCTAAATAAACCTTATTTCTTGACGTATACTCGCATCCAAGTTCGATAAACTGATCGGACTTGGTGTTGCTGAGCAATGCTGTTGTGACGGTCGTTCGACCGTCGTCAGTATGATGAAAGGAATCCAATGATTCGTTCTCGAGCTTTCGTCTACGTTAGAGGATTGTGACTGGAAATTTTGATTGATTCCACCCGCCTTCGCTTTTTGGAGTGGGAAAATAAAATTAAAAAATAGACGTTGGAATACTTTTCAACCAAGTGGGTGTGTACCATAGTATTGACCAGCCCTAATCTACAATCTTTGCAGCTACTCGTGCACGAAAACCAGCCACCCATCTATCATAGCAAAGCAAGCCGCAACAGCAACGAACAAATCAAGTTGACAGGTGTTCTCTCTCTCGGAAGCAGTAGACATGGAGGGCGACGACAGCACGATGACTGAGCAAGATAAAGCAACAACAACGACAGCAAGGAAGCAGACCAACAACAACAAAGCCTCCAAGCTGCTGCATGTCAGTCTATTTTGCCTTTTACTGCTGCCATTGGTGGGTGGTTTGGCATATTATTTCTCTATAATGCCAGACGAAAAAGAACAAGAAGGAGCATCTCAGAGTCATCAATCTTCTTCATCAGAAATGTCCCCAACAATGATAGAAGAGGCAGTGGTAATAAATGGTCGTGATGGCGGCGGTGGTGGTGGGGACGATACTGTTTTACTAACGAGCACCAAGTTCAACAACAACGACGACAAAAATGAAAGCAACCATAATCCTGGTTCTTTGGTAGAATCACGTGCCAAAGACGATGACTTTGACGTCGGAGACAACACGTTCTTGAAAGAAGATCAGTGGATCCAACAAGGCACCCGCATAGGCATCAAATCTGGTAAGATGCGGTACTACCTTCAACACCAATCCGATGGAAATTTGGTCTTGTACGACGAAACCTTTTTTGTCTATTGGCACAGTCGTGTAATTCAAGCTCCTTCTTCCAAACACTACTCGACTACCTTGCAAACGGATGGCAATTTGGTCACCTACTTTAGACGGAATGGTAATGGGAGACCACAAGTAGAGTGGGCCAGTAACAGTCCCTCTGCCCAAGACAACGATTACAATCTTGCACTGACACCAGACCGTGACGGATTGATGATTGTTCGAAAGAGTAATGGGAAAATCATTTGGTCGACAGTGGCTGAACCTGCTGCGCCTGCTCCCGAACCAAATCCACCACCACCGGCACCCCGACCGGAACCAAACTCACCACCACCACCTCCCGCGAATGCTAGAATCACCTACGTCCCAGGGAAGTTGACGGTCCGAGAGAATGGCTTGCTCCTGAGTCAAGGACTCAAGAGTCGCCTCGTGGCCGAGGCTGGACAAAAGGTGATCTTGGATGGCGATGATAATAGAAAATCCAAGGCCCGATTTCACGAGCAGCCCGATGGTGCGGCGGTCTTCTCGGATCCCGATACGGGCGGTTGGATTTATGTGTCCAACAGCGAAATCAAGGACCAACAAGGCCAAGGTGGCGTGGGTGCCATTTATTTTGATCGCAATGCTCGCACCACGAATTATCGCATGCTGGAAGATGGAACTACGGCCAATTGCAGTGGGGGCAAGACTCCTTGGAATACATGGGGTAAGCATCGTGACGTATTACTAGCTAGTATCATCAAGCCCCCCCCCCCCTCCTTTTCTGATGCTCACATTTTCTACTCCTTCTTTTGTTCACTCGCATGCCATCATTTCCTTCAGTCACTTGCGAAGAGACAGAAGGTGGCCGAGCCTATCAAGTGGATCCCTACGGGAAACGAGGAATGCAACCCATCACCATGGATCGTGGTTGGTTTGAATCCTTTGCGTATGACATACGAGATCAGAATCGTCCGCGATTCTTTGTGACCGAGGATGCGGAAAAGGGACCTTTGCGAAGGTTTAGTCCGTCTGTCATGAATTGGAACGACCCTTGGCAATTGCTGCATGCACCGGGAAGGATTGATTATTTGGTACTCGAGCCTAGGGGCAACGGAAGCAAGGGAAACATTCGTTGGACTACCGACAAGATTCAGGCCAGAAACAATGCGCAGAGGTATTATCCATTTTCAGAGGGAATGGACGTCTATCGGAATCAACTATTCTTTACTACCAAGGAACGAAAGGAACTCTTCATTTTGGATTTGGACCGGGAGACTTTTGAAAAGCAATCCACAAAGGCAGGAGTCTTTGATGGGCAGCCGGATCAAGTCAAGAGAATTGTCGATGATGGCTTGTTGTATTTTTGTGAAGAAGGTGGAGTCGAGAATGGAGTTCATGCTCGCGACGAGAACGGGTGGTTCATGACTATTTTGGAGTCAGATACATTCAACGATGAAACTACTGGATTGGCCTTTTCGCCAAACGGCAAACGAATGTATGTCTCCTTCCAACAGAAAGGAAAGATTTTTGATATTTGGAGGGAAGATGGACTTCCTTTTCAAGGGCAAACATTGGACGTCAAGTATCACGAATTCAAGAGGCGATAACAGATGGATTGATACATTCCTTCTCGTTGAGTGTTTCGGAACAAGCTAAGAAGGTCTAAACTTTGATTTTCGTATTCGATTTCAGTCAGAAACGAACAGTACCAGTACTGTATACGTAGGTACACTTTTGTTGGAGCGATTCGATCACCTTGACGTAGCAATCAGAATATTTTCCATCGTACTATGCCAGATTATTAGTTTTATTAAACCGGAGCACCACTTCGAATACTGTGTGCTTCTCGGTCATGCGTTTTTGCTGCAAAATCTGCTGACACATTCTTTGCCAGCTTCATCTCCGTTTTCCACAAAGATTGCTCTAACAGCGTTGTAGCTTCCATCAACTCGTAGTGTGACAGCATGCTTCTTGTATAACAAGGATAGTCTTTGTTCCAATCCTTCTTCAGCAAAAATCGCATCCACCCTACTCTGCATGTCTGGTTTCCATGCTTCCAACCCTTTCCAACTCGATACGAAACCTACCAACCATCCTTGAAGAGCCATTCGAAGCATATTTTGAGAGTCTTCCCACAGATGACAGCTGCTGTACCTATTTCCTTCCTGCGAAAATTGCATGGATGACTCAATCCTAGAATGCCACCGTTGAAATTGACGCTTGCCAGTTGTGCGAAGCCATAAACAAGCTTGTTGGGAAATCTGTTGAACGAGTGAATGAACAACTAGTACAGTAATTCTTCCACGTCGTTTGGAATCTCTTCGTCTTCTTCTTCAGTACCAAAGTAGTGAAAAGAAGACATCCTATTCAATGTGTACCGAGATTTTTATATCCAGAATGGGGAGGACGCTATCATGGATTGCAGGCGTTGCAAATACACCAGTGCCTGCAGTAGAGACAAGGGATGTCAAAGAGTCGCTACCATGGTACTTGAGAGGAAGATTGAGCGATCATTATCATGGGCTTGTTCGTCTTGTCGTCAACCGAATGAGTTCGGATCTTGCTTTTGGGTGGATTCAAAAAATTAATTTCGTCGAAATTCGCTTTGCTTAGCTTGACACAAGTCTGTCAACGGCTCGCACCATTCATTCGTCGTTCGTCCCGAAGAATGCGTTCCCACGTTCAAAACGCACTCATTTTTATTTTAATCATTCGTTAATTTTCAACTACCCGGTGTCACAAACGGGAACTCCCACATTATTACAAACCAAGCATTTTATAAAAAAGAAAGCATCAAACAAAACCATGACAGCCTTAACGGAAGAAAACAAAGAAAATAGCAACTCAGTTGTCGATTACGATAACGAAGGCCGCAAACTCTTGGCTCGTGTGCATCTCGAGACCAATGATGATGCGCCCACCAAGAGTTGGCGCAAACTTAATGCCAAATCGACTTTAATCTATAGAGACCCTCGCACCGGTGGCACTGTTCATGTTGGGAATGCTGCAGCAGCTGGGTCGGTGGATTTGCTAGATGGCATGGGCCAATGTCGGAAAATTGTCTATTGCCAAGGAAGTAGCAAGTTTGAACAGAGGCCATTTCGAGACGACCCAGATTTTGAATACTTTCACTTTCCAATCGCTCAATGGAAACGAGATGTGGGACACGCCAATTGCAATGATCCAGTGAGCGTGGCTCAGCATTTCCAACCACTCTTTGACTTTTTGGACCACGAATTAAAAGCTGGCAATGCCGTGTTGATTCATTGTTTGGCAGGGGCCCATCGGGCGGGTACCACCGGCATTGCGAGTCTCATGCACTTGACGGGAATGAATGCCAAACAAGCTACCAAGACTGCGCAAAGCTTGAGGCCAGTCATCAATCCCAGGATTGGGGACTTTCCAAAACTACTGAAGCTACTGGAAGAAGGATTGGAATTAACAAGAGAACAACACGGCGAGAAACAATAGGTAGGGTGGCCAGTCGATGGAACTGTTGAAACTGAAACCATGATATCGGTAGTTTACTAGGGAAAGAAGAGGAGCAATTCCATTGGCTACAGTAATTGGCCGAGGTATCAAAGCAAATACTGTGAGCATTATTCATTCGTGGAACATGATGCTCCGAATGCCACGACCGAAGCAGAAGACGAAGATGTTATTTCATTCGTACCTACCCATATTCCAATACATACAGTAATTGTATCACTAGTAGATGATTAGTATCTTTCTGAATTATGATAGCTAATACTGTAGCTAATAAATGGTTATCATTTTTGCATGATTTATTACGAAATTGCGGTAACACCAACAAAAGGTTGCATTTGAATACTGCCGGTACACGTGTACAGTACCGGTAGTTATCGGCATCCTCGGATGCAATTGACGGCCAACGACTGGACTGTGTGACTGATTTTTGTTCGTGATTCATTCGTGACCTCGCTCGGTGGCAACGCACAGACGCCACTTGGACCACGAACCGAAAAATGAAACGAAAAATGCCAAGAGCAAAATGAAGAGGAATAATAATAATAATAATAATAATAAGCATGCTGGAACATACAGTACGGTACTTGTCGGGTTGATGAATTCATTCGAATATGACGCCGACGAAGAACGCAGTTCGAAGGAGGACGGGAGGGTAGCAGGATTGAAGTTGCTGTGGTCACCATAACTATACCAGTATCACCACTTGGGCAACATCTCCGTTTCCTTGACGTGGCGGTTAGATACTGTAGCACATCTCCTTATATCTATACATGTGATCATGATACAACAACGAAAACAGGGATTGAAATATGACTGGGTGTCGTCCATTGGTGCGCTGCTGGCGAACGAAGGATTGGACGATTGATTCATTCATTCTCATACAAGCAAACATCGCTGGTCACAAACTTTTGCAATTGCTTCAAGACATCAGGAAGCAAGGTGAGTAATTTTCACAGATGGATTGATGATGATGCAGCCGATTGGGAATCAGAAAACCTGGAAGTGAAGAGATTTTACTTAATCTTTACTTGTGAGTACCAACAGAGGATGGCTCTATTATTCATTCAGCAGCGATGTGTGTTTCACTCACACGATGCCTCTTTTTCTTTTTTTAAAACTTTATCAGAGCGTGGGCTAGACACCCGCATTTACATGGTGCTGAAGCTTTGAAATAATGATCCAAAATTTTCTGTTTTCCATCCGTTGGTATTGCAGTTGGGTCAATATTGTCGCAGTTTCTGAATCAGTTTCTGACATTGCGATACTTCTTTCTCGTACTGCGTTCCTTGTCGTCACAGAATTCATTGGAGGACGGACGGAGTGGTCATGATACAGGCAATGGTCTTGCGCACGATTTTGACAATTGTGCCATGAGTGAAAAGATTCATTGATCCGATGCTGTTTTGAAGAGAGTCAGCTGCGTTCTTAAAAGTGACGCATATTCATAGGAGGGGATGCTTGTTCTTTTCAAATACATGAGCATACCTATTGGACCTCCCAAGCCTGCAAATATTTCGTGGCAATAGCATCTCGAGTGTCGGTGCAATTCCAGACTCGATTGGCAACCGTTCTCCTCATGACATTATGCATAGACTCAATCATAAGTCCCCTTAGCACCTAAATCCGATTCTCCAAGAGTTGTTTCAGCAACGATCTGTGCGCTTCCATACGACCCTTCGTTTCAGTATGATCGTCCCCTTGTTGTCTTCGACGAATCTTGAGGGCTTCGGCACTCGCAGTAATCCCATCTTGCAGAAAACCCTGTTCCACTTTCACAGTAGAAATATTCTCATAGACAACTGCTGCGTCTTTTGGAAGAGTGATATAGAGGTCATTATAGACATCCAGCGCCGCTTGGAAGTGCTGTATTGCCTCGTCCAAATCACTTTGGGCGTGCATCACCTGCTGTCCTTGTTCGTTGAATGTTTGCGCCATTTTTCTGCGCTTTAAAACTTCCAGATGAAATCTAAGCTCCTTCGTGCGGGGATGATTATCCCCAAGCAAGTGTCGACGAATCTCTAGAATCTTGGAAAGAGCATTGATGCCCTCTTCCGGTATTCCTTGTCGGGAATATGCGTCTGCAAGATCATTGTAGGCCTCTTCTGTTAGGGGGTGTATTTCACCAAGCTTTTCCTTCTGCATCGTTAATATCTCGTTCAACAACTTCACGGAAGCTTCGAAGTTGCCGTTTTCTTCCAGCAGTCGTGCTTTGTGTTGCAGAGTCAGTACCAATAGATCGATGTCATCATCATCATCATCTTCTCCTCCTAGTTGCTGTTGCAGTCGAACACAAATTCCAATGGCTTTATCAACCATCTTAAGAGCATCGTCCATTCTGTCTTGACCTGACAACAATGACGCAATGCCAATGTATGACTGGACAACTGTGGGGTGGTCTTCCCCGTGCATATTTAGTCGCGTCGCAAGTACAAGTTTTTGTAACTTGGTGGATTCCGAAAGCTTGCCTTGCCTTTCCAATGTTATCGCTACCGAATCGTACAGATCCGTGACTTCCATATGATCGCTTGGCAGAATTGCGAGCTTGATAGCCAGAGCTTTTCGGTACATTTCTTCGGCTTCTTCGTTGTTGGCTAGTCTCTTCAAGACAGCACCAATGTACTTGTAGGCGTCGGCTGTTTCAAGATTTTTTTCTCCCTGCTTCTCCAACCGTATCGCGAGTACTTTGTTGAATTTCTCCAACGCGTTATTGAAATCTCCCAACAGCAGCAGATTACGTCCAATGCTACTGAGTATCGAGGCCTCAGCAAGAGGTGAATCATCATCTTCCATTAACTCTTTCCTTTGTATCACCAGCATCCTCTCCAAAACCTCATTGGCCTTTTCATGGTTCCCATTAACGTTATAGACATGGACCTGTTCTAAGAGTTCCTCAATCAGGCCTTGATCGTTGTCCCCCATTGCTTTTATTATATTACTGTACTTTATTCGTTTCTATAACTAGTAGAATACGCGAGTCTCTGTATAATAATACTGTAGTTTCAGAGGCGTAAATATTATGGTACCATATTTTATATAACTCTAGAATACGCGATTATGGTACCATATTGTGGCATGGCATACCGGTATTTGATGGCAATGACAAATGGACTCCTTCGAATCAACTGATTGATTCATCGCACTTTCAATTTTTGACGGTGTCACCATTGCTTGGCACAACGCAAGAAGTCATATATATATACACTACCTTCACAAGACGTGTCCACAAATTAATAGCAAAAGCTAAATCTTAACCGGAACCAATCCGTTCGGATACACCACTCGATCATCATGGTAACTTGTAATGACGAGGACACCAGTAACAGAGTCGATTATGACGAAGAAGGCCGCAAGTTGTTGGCTCGTGTTCATTTGTTGGACAATGATGATAATGACGATAAAGGATCATCTCAAGATGACGATGCAGCCATGAGCGCTTTTCGAAGAGCCCATGCCTATTCCAATCCAATCTACAGGGATCCCACAACGGGTGGTACCGTTCATGTGGGAAATCACATGGCGGCAGAATCATTGGGCAAGTTGAATGACATGACACCTGCTCCCTGTCGTCGGATTGTCTACTGCCTGGATCGTCAGAATGGCAAACCCTTTCAAGACAATCCCGAATTCACCTATCACGATTTCAATATTGGTTGGTGGCGACAAACATTGGGCCATGATCGTTATGATCCCATCAAGGTATTGGAATTCTTTCAACCATTCTTTGACTTTTTGGATGCGGAACTTAAAGAGGGCAGAGCCATTTTGATTCATTGCTTGGCAGGTGCTCATCGTGCAGGTACCGCTGGTATTGCCAGTCTCATGTACTTGACTGGAATGAGTGCAGAGGAAGCCACCAAAGCGGCAAAAAGTTTGCGTCCGATCATTAATCCCATTAGCGACTTTCCGAAGCTATTGCAAACCTTGGAAGCGGGCCTGAAATTGAAACAAGAACAAGAACAGGCCCAGGGAGCAGGAGCAGGATTAGCATAGTCTGAAGAGATCAATACAAATGAATTGATCTCGAAAAAATCCCATAAAGGTGAAGCAAGTAATCATCAGGAACCTGACACCCATATGGACAAAAACTGATGAGTCGCAATGATTCATTCATTCGCATTGATTCCACTGGGATTGCCAATCTCATTATGTGTTCAGCACAGGTCTTGTGATTGACTGCTTTACACTACATCATATATTGGAACAGGAGTATGTTTTAGGATTAGGATTAGTAGGAACCAATCAATCCGTATTAAAACTCATTTCGATAAATCCCATCAAGTTGAAGAAATGAATGAATGAATCATGAGGAACCTGGAGGGTGCCCTGATGACGCAGATCTCTCGTGTTCAGTACAGAGCATCAAGGAAACATCAGCAGAAGGATTAGCAGCAGGTACATATTATTTTAACAATATTTTGAAATTAGTATCTTAGAATTTTCAAAACGCATTCTTCTGCAGTATTTTACAAGAAATTGTAGTTTATGATTCATTTGTCATATAAAGTTTTTGTCCCACTTCATAGGAAGCAATCATGCAAGCACAAGCCGGAGCAACCTTGGTCATGCGAGCCACATTTCCTCTCCAGAATCCCTGAATGCCTTCTTCCGCCAAGATTCGTTTGCCAATATCGAGCGAAGTCGCGTTACCACGTCGTTTGGCAGTATTTGTAGTAGTTCTATTGCCTTCCGATAGCAAGACTGGAGACTCTACAACATCTCCCTGAAGTTGCTGGTTGGTCTTGATCACATCCAAGGGCGTGGTACAGGCTGCGGCAATAAATCCCGAAACCGTTCCATTGAACAACGCCCGGCCGGTATGCTCCATGGTCGTCACTCGCTCGACTCGATGCCCACCATCATACTCTATCCACTTGGCCCGACAATATTCAATCGACATCCAATAGATGGATGAAAATGGAACATCCCGCATGAGAGATGGAGCTAATCCACGATACAGCCCAACGACTCCTTCTTGTCGAACAATCCTTTGAAACTCGGAAAGCATTCCATTGCTTTTGGGACGCGATGCCTGAATGGTTCTAATTAATTCCAGCGGTGCGGTGGTAAGTGAGGCAATGGATCGAGCCGCAGCCCCTGCGAGTGCTGGAGTCCATTGATTGTCCAAATTGCGTTGAGACATTTTTCGCGAGAGTTCATCATATGTCAAAAAGTATATTATCGTGTTGGGGACCTAAAGGAGGTTCATTTGATAATACAGTAGTAATCACAGGAGGGGACAGCCAGGTGATGTTAGAAATGTAATGCTTCAACAGAGGAACAAAATGGAACTCATTGCGGCAGTACGCTATAACAAACTTACACCCATGGTCAACGTCGGACCAAGCCCAGCGTACAAACTTCCCACTCCCTCCTTAAAGAAAATGTGTCGCATGTTTCCAAAGGTACCCCTTGCTGCTGCACCCCGAGGAGCTGCGTCCACCGTATTATTGCAGGTTGGATTCATGCAGCTCAAGGAATTCTTGGGTAACGAACAATCACCGAGGCCATTGTTCAATATGACCACGCAGTCCGGAGAACAGAATCGAACAGGAGTCCGTTGAGCTTGCGTTCGAACCTTCACAACTTCCAGTGGATGAACGGCAAAGGCAGTAAGAAAGGATCCTACTGCGCCTGATACTATCTTGGCTTCGGTCTCTTGAAGTCGTCTATTACCTTCTTGATTCATCACTAATCGAACTGTAAAAGAGTGATTCAATCTCACCTGTTCTTTCCACAATAATATGTTTGCGTCATACTTTCGATTTTTCACGATCGTCGCTTGCTTGTTGAGAACAGCGCAGAAGCTCTCGTCACGAATATTTCCCTCCACCGTCTTGTCGCCGCCACAAAGGGCAAATTCAAAATTCGTTTTCGGCAACGTTCAATTTCCAAATTCTAAATTCCCGAAAGATATTTTATTATGAAACAATAAGGGCTCGGATAGGTCGCGGCCATTCACAATCTGTCCGTCTACCTGCCACTTTTCTTTTTTCTTTTTGACGATGACTAACAACAACAACAAATATCATCATTGTATGTATGACAGGTATTACCAGGTGGAAACAGTACCGGTGCCAACAACATAGTGACGGTGCAATTCATTTCAAAATGCTTTCACAGCTGGTCGCAATATGCGCTGTCGCTTGTCTACAGCCCATCTACTTTGTGAATGCTCTGTCAACTCCCCAAGCTCCTGATATCATCAATCGACAATTTATCCAACTTACGAATCCCATCAATTCTGGTTTTAAGCAAAGTCTACCCGTTTCTTTCATTCAGGATTGGCCCACGTGGGTTCTCGATGAAGAAGGTAAACTTTCCAGAATTCCAGATGGCGATGGTTTTGTACAGCCGACAAGTGTGGATGAAATTTGGCATCCAATCGATTTGAAGAGGCCAGCTGTGAAGCTTGCAATGGGGCTGCATGTGTGAGTGACATTCAGAGTGGCCAATTGTAAAAACACAAGATGACTTTGAATGGCAGAGTGCGCTCACTTTTTCTGATCGATTCTTTTTGTTTCAAAAGACGTGAAGGTACAATTCGACATGTGATGCCAGCCATCGACCTATCGTATGATGGGGGCGCACATCGGAATCGCGGAATGTGTAGTGTCCCCAGAGCACACTCGTGGATTGATTTTTCACTGAGCATGGACGAATGGGAAAATTATAAAATCATGATGTTTGCCAAAGATACCAAAGATGACAAGAGTTGGGAAAATCTAAAAGTCTCCCCAATAGGCGAAATCCCACGCGCCATCGAAAGGGCGACAGTGTGTTTGTCCGAAGATGCTCCGGACGAAATGGGGACTGGCTCACATATCCTACATGTCATCTTGAGTGATGAAAGCAATACAGAAAGTCAGTTGGATTGTCCTCGCCATGCTTTGCGAGTTACTATGGATGACGAGGAAGTAAGCAGTGCTAATGCTGCTGAAGAAGCCAGTGGTGTGTTGGATGTGGTTGTTTCCTCCACAATAGCAGGAGTAGAATCAGAATTCTTGCCTGACGCATACCGACCACTGTTTGATGACACAGCTCTACAAAATCCCCTGTATGCAAAGTACAAACAAAGACAAAGGCTGCGAGAAGAAAATAGATAAATTGATACACTACAATATTCCTGTTTTGAAACATATCACCCGTATTCATGAATGAGAAACAGCCAGTATTATACCGTACTGTAGAGATAATACTGCCACACCAAACTGCGGTAGTAGTTCGAGCTCTTGAGACGTTAATTGTCAAAATTCCAATCCGCAGGCAGCAATCAAGGCTGTTGATTGATGAATTCATTCTCCTCCAGTGAAGTGATTCAAGCATTCTAAGCTCGAATCCTGCGCAGGAGAAACTGCGTTTTGATGCTTACTGTACTTTCACAGGTACTCACGTTGGAACTGAGAATAGCTGACTTTGGGAGATGAGTCAAAATATATTCATGTCAAAAAATTTACGAGTAAAATCCCACATGCTAAACGCGCAGGATGATTTCGGTCATAATTTAAAAAAGTATTTCTCTGGTACACGTGTACATACTTCTACAGAAATCAAGTGTAAAAAGATCCAAAAAGAATATATGCAATATATATATGGAGCATCCTCACCGTGTTTTGCATCGTCTTCACAGCAAAACAATCGTTCTGGAACATCAAGATGAAGTTCTTGTCCCTTGCTGTTGTTACTCTCGCCTCGTTGCCCTTTGCTCAAGCAACTCATGATGGCGGCTATGCCCACCAGGGCCGGGCAAATCCTTCCACCCGTACAAGTGCGACTTTAGGTACGGGTTTCTGTATTATGCTCGTGTTGTGTCGTTCCGGATGCAGCATCGCAAATAGTTCTGAGACTAACCATCAATCTATTTTATATAAATCAATCAGACTATACTGAAGAGGATCGAGCCAAATATGACAAACGGGCAAATCCTGGCACCCGTACTAGTACAACCATGGGTACGTGTTGCTGCATTGTTGTGTGGTTGCATGCATTGTAATTATTCATTCATTCTGAGGCTAACCATCAATCTATTTTATATAAATCAATCAGACTATACTGAAGAGGATCGTGCCAAATATGACAAACGTACAAATCCTGGCACCCGTACTAGTACAACCATGGGTACGTGTTGCTGCATTGTTGTGTAGTTGCATGCATTGTAATTATTCATTCATTCTGAGGCTAACCATCAATCTATTTTATATAAATCAATCAGACGTGACTGAAGAGGACCGAGCCAAATATGACAAACGTACAAATCCTGGCACCCGTACTAGTACAACCATGGGTACGTGTTGCTGCATTGTTGTGTGGTTGCATGCATTGTAACTATTCATTCATTCTGAGGCTAACCATCAATCTATTTTATATAAATCAATCAGACTATACTGAAGAGGATCGAGCCAAATATGACAAACGTACAAATCCTGGCACCCGTACTAGTACAACCATGGGTACGTGTTGCTGCATTGTTGTGTAGTTGCATGCATTGTAATTATTCATTCATTCTGAGGCTAACCATCAATCTATTTTATATAAATCAATCAGACGTGACTGAAGAGGACCGAGCCAAATATGACAAACGTACAAATCCTGGCACCCGTACTAGTACAACCATGGGTACGTGTTGCTGCATTGTTGTGTGGTTGCATGCATTGTAACTATTCATTCATTCTGAGGCTAACCATCAATCTATTTTATATAAATCAATCAGACTATACTGAAGAGGATCGAGCCAAATATGGCAAGCGTGAGCATGTCAGGGCCAGAGTTGGATCTACCGGTATGACAGTAGGTACGTATTGCTGTTTTGGAGTTTTTGTCTTGTCCTTCTAGAAGATTCATAACTAACTATGAATCTATGAACTGGATCAATCATTAACCAGCTGAGAAGCGTGAGCATACTACCGAGTCTAGAGTTGGAACTCCAAAGACCCAGTCTACCGGTAGGGTCGAAACTCCAATGACTCAGTCTAGAGTTGGAATTCCAAAGACCCAGACTACCGGTAGAATCGAAACTCCAATGACTCAGTCTAGAGTTGGAACTCCAAAGACCAAAAACAGTAAGTTTTAGATCTGTAGGACCACGATGACGTGGCTGCTGGCTGGTTGGATTGTTGTCAATCTGAATCAATCGTTCACTTCTCGTTCACTTCTCGTCTCCGTTACTTTATTATTGTCCTATTCCTGTACTATTGCAGCCGGACGCACAGCCGATACCCCACCACCCACACCTACCGGCTGCGACTGGGATGTCATTCTAGCTGACCACCAACCCCTTCTCGATAAGGCCTATGCATGGGTTACGACTGAGGACACATGGATGCCGAGTCCCATTGGTGCCCCCGCAGAGGAACAGTGTTTGGAACGCTATGCCATCGCCGTCATTTATTATTCGTGCCTCGAAGGTGACAGTTCTTTCACAGAGGGCGGGGGCGCTTGGATGACATCCAACAGTCACTGTAACTGGTACGGGTCTTGGTGCGACGAAAGCGGAAGGTCCAGTTATATCGAAATCGCTGATTCTGGCATTGAAGGTAGCATTCCCACAGAGTTCGTAAGTACTGCATGTATGCATGGAATCGTCACACACATATGGATGTAATGCAACGGGCTAAGTTCTGTCTGTTTTGCTTTTTGATTTTCACTTATTTCCAGGGAATCTTGAATCAATTGACTCATTTGGATTTGGGTAAGTGTTGGCTGTTATATTTCTGCGAAGAGATCCATCATTGAAGAAACCGGGATGCTCACCTGCTTGCAATTTGGTTTTATTGTTCAGAGGACAATGATTTCGCTGGTCTGATTCCGTCCGAGATAGGAGCCTTGACTTTGTTGGAATATCTAGATCTTTCTGATAATTACTTGACTGGTACGTTGTTGATTGTCCCCTTGCTTATTTGTACAGGTTCTTGTTCTTTGATTGGTTTCTTCTTACAACGCTTTTGAATCATCATCTTTCAGGAAGGGTCCCATCATCATTTGTACGTTGTTGAATGTTTCCTGTTTGATTTATTGTTTGTTGTTGTCGTTTACTGTTTTTGGATTGGCTTCTTACACTGACTTTTTCATCTTTCCAGCTTATGCTAAACCAGTTGACGACGTTGAAACTAGGTACGTGGTACACGTACCTTGAATCAAACTGAAAGTTCATCGTTACTGTGTTGAGTCTATTCCCTAACCGTTGCGCCTTCTTTTGCCGGATATGAACTACAACAGATTACAACGAGCTAACAGGTGCACTTCCAAATGAGATTGAAATGTTGTCTGCGTTGACATACTGCAACCTTTCCCACAATAGACTTATTGGTACCATCCCCACAACAGTTGGCGCGTTGACAGCACTAACTCGTTTGGATTTGGACGACAATCCCATCATCGGTGATTTGCCCACCGAGTTCGGTCTATTATCGTCGCAATTGCTGTATTTGGATTTGGATAACATGGAACTGACTGGGTAAGCAGTGGTACTGGCTAATGCGAGAACGCTTTGATCCCCATTTTCTTCACTCACACTCAGATGTCAACATTCCCAATCCGCCACAGACCCGTCCCTTCGGAGTTTGGTAGCCTCACAAACTTGTCGCACTTGAACTTGCATGTGAACAAAATTGGACCATCAGTACTTCCTTCCGAAATTGTGAGTTCCATTGCTGATATTCATGTCTCGAAACGCTTCAATCAACTCATTTTCGTTGCAGGGACTAATGACAAATTTGAGAGAATTCACGGCGTATGGCAATGGTCTAACAGGAACGATCCCTTCTGAAATCGGTTTATTGCCTCTAACCTATTTGGATTTGGGTGAGTACATCCACCTAGTGTGGCCAGTGTCAAAGCTGAAACTGATGATCAAAACTCACAACCTAATTTTTGCCATGATTCTTTAGCAATAAATCGACTAAGTGGATCCATTCCAAATCTTCCAACGACACTTGTCGAAGATTGCTACTTGGGTAAGTTGGGTTTTCGTGCCATTCCTTCCAGTATCGCTCCCCTAACTCCTTTCTTTCGTTACAGCTGAATCGTTCGACGATGTTGAGGAACGTAACTGCTTTCAAGATTCTTTTGGCATCCCAGATAATACCACAAACGTCCCTAGCTGCGTTGTCAAAGATAATTGCCTCTAAACCCATTGTTTGAAAGGTTTGGTGAGTATTATGTCAATACTGAAGGTACTCATGGCAAGACACTCGATTCTGGCTGTTCATCTACTCCTAAGTTATTCAATGAACGCAATCCCATGCATACATTCGGATAACTATTATATTAAGAATTCTTCGTACTTTTAAAAATACTGCTTACGAGTTAAGAACCAAGTCGATTGTGAACATGTGGAAAACGAGGCTAACATTGAAATTCGCACTCATCTATATAGTCCGCTCAGGTTGAAATCAAACCTCCTTGCCTTAACATAGCGTTTGCAAACTCTTCCCATGACTTTTTCCAGTAACGGGCACCAATAGCTTGCTTCCCCGTGAACCATCAGCATATTCTATAATTGGTGGAGCAAGAGGCCGATTCTAGGCATCCGCTCCAATCTGTCTCTTATCGAATAAACTTTTCTCTTATCGAATAAACTTTTGTAGCGACAAGTCGCAGAAGATTTGATATCAGGATGATTCAATCTTCCCTAGCTAGCTGACTCGTCACCGATGCGTCAAGTTGTAGTTTTCGTAGACGATTCGCTTTCGCAAATCTTCATTCGCGAACGTCATGTTGAAGAAATGTACACTACGGGTCCTTGTCTCTATACTTTCCACAGAATAAAGACGAACTTTCTTGGCATCGCCAAGAATCCCAGCCAATGACACAAAGGTCGAAACCTTTTGACCAATTATCTCCTTTTGAGCCTTCATTAGAAAGCAAAAATCTTGATTTCCAGTCTGACCCTCAATGTAGCGAGCTCGAATACCTTTTTGGTCTTTCAGTGCATTAATAAAGTCCTGTACCTTGTCCGGGAAGCGACTGATAATGGCCACTTTATCGCCAGGTTGGTAGTCTTTGAATATTAGTGTCGCAGTCACATTCGGACCCAGCTGCTCAAAGCCCAGCTGTTTCCCTCGTTTGGGCATCTCTACCAAGAAATTGCGCAAGTGCAAGACCGACTCATCTGGATCTGGTATCTGCTTGCAAATGGTGCTCTCATCTATTTGGAAAAAGTCTCGATATTTCTCATACATTCGGTCCAAACAGTAGTGTCCCGCAAAGGCTGTGACGAAGATGTGTGGCATGGAAATGGTTGCGTCATCTGGTATGGAAGGTCGACCTTCGCGATCCCAGGTTTGTTTCAGTAAATTTACAGTGTCCACATAGCACTTGGGTTCAGAGCAGGATAGGTCCTTTAGCATGGATGGATCCGATAGGTTGGTCAAATCGAGTTTGTTTTCACTTATCAGCTGGTCCATCCAACGCTCCTGCAACCTGTGGATGGAATCAAATTCTTCGGTATTTCCGGCCCGAAAATCAAAGGGACCAGTCTTTGGAAATGCTTCCTTGGTCCATTCCATGGCATGTTTCCATTTGGCATGATTCTGGGCTCGCAACACCAGCTTGGTTTTGAGGCCGAGTTCGTTTTCCACGTGGTCTTGCACACAGAGGCCATTGGCAATCTTGTGTACTTGATTCCCTAGTTCACCACTTAGCTGCACCACAATAGTCAATGTCCTATCAGCAGTTTGACTATTCTTCGTCAATGATGATCCATCCGTTGGACTACGATTGGTCTCTTTCTCTGAATGATCTGTTTTGTCGTCAGTCCCAATTGGTGACGTCGAAACACCGTTTGCATCGAGAGATTTGTTCTCGATCGTTTCACTGGTATTCGTTGGAGATTCTAGTGATACTTTTTCGCGAGATGTATTATGAGGCTGCGTCAGAGTATCCACGATAGTTGCATCAGAAGTTGCTTCGATATTGTGGTAGTTTCGCTCTCTTCCGAGCATCGTGTTCATCGAGTTGGTTGCATAATCCGAACTGACTAGTAGCGAGACCATAGACATTCCCATCAATGCGATTACCAGAAGGCTCTTTCGACAACGAGGCCGTGAACTCGAACGACCATCTTTTTCTTGGCTGCTTTCCGCAAAGTTGTTCATTGTCGTAACTATATATAATACCGCCAATGCTGCGCGAATGATGAGAAAAGGTTTCAAACTCAAAATGTACCAACTTTACAACGCCATGGAAAAATCCTTATTCTCTCAGCAAAAGGCTTGCATTATACCTTCCATTTGCAAACGAAGCTCACTTTGTTGTCGTAGATAGTATTGTCACTGGACGCTGGACGCTGTGTGTGTGTGTGTGTGTGTGTGTGTGTGTGTGTGTGTGTGTGTGGTGTTATTATTATCATCGTCTACATTATTCAAGATAGTTCGCCTTCCACGCATCCATACTCGTCCGACCTCGATTATCCGACTTCACTGTCCGACATGTTCGACTGTCCTTTTATTCTGAACTCTATCCAGCTGACCGTATAGAAAGGTTACGAAAGAAATTGAGAAGAAGAATTCCAGATTCCGGTGGTCATGAATACTTCAAATGACCACCGTAGGAAAGTGAACGTACAGAGTACGAAGCTGGAGGAAAGCCTGCGAAAAGCCCCGAATTGGAATGACTTGCAGCTGCATCAAAAAGCACACAAATCAATCCAACTCGGAACTTGAGCAAGAATTGGAGTTATAGGGGAGAGGAGTGTCATCATGAGCCTGCCAGAATACGTTACACGTTTCTTTTCTCCCAATACCGGACGAACTCGTGCTCAGACGCGTGAAGGGACCAGGGTACCAGTGGAGACGGTACATTCCGACGCATCAAGCGCGGGCATGAGTCGCAAGGGAGACAGCGTAACTTCCGCCATTTCTTGCCATTCTCATTCGAGGAGAACAGCTTCGGCCGTTTCTTGGCCCGACCGGCAAGATATCGCCAATTTGAAATCGACAGTGATGAAAACGAAGATGCCCCGGATTCAGACCATGATGGACGAGCATCTCAACCGAGTCTCCACTGAGGTTCTCTTCATCTCAGACGAAGAGGAAGATCATGATGACACCGATGTCAATACTAGCGAAGTGGATTCTGAGGGACAATTCTCGGATGGCTCAGACGACGACCACGAAGACGACTGTGACCGAATCAATGAACTGATCGCCGAGATCGAAGAGGCAAAGTTGAAGAAGCTGAAAGCAGAGAAGGCAAGACTGGAGGCAAAGAAGGCGGCAAGCCAGTCTCCTCGTAAGAAGAAGCTCACCCCAACCCGGAAGAAAACTAGGGCAACCTCCCAGAGGAAAGTTCCCATCGCAAAAAAGAGGACACTGAAGGGAACAACGCCTAAACAAGTCACTATTGAAGAAGGTAACAATACTCTGAATTCTCCCCCCCAGCCACCTACGACCGCCAGAATACTCAAACCGGAGTCAGCGGCCGCTGAAACTCAGAACAATCAGCCCATCCTCCAATCTGTCCTTGAAGCCATCCATCCCTACTTTGTAAAGCTTCAGGACTCAGCGGATAAAATGAGCAACGCAGCCAGACGGATGGAACAAGAACGAGAAGAAGCAAGATTGCGAATGTCCGCTATCAACATGGGACAGGAACAACCACATCCTTCTGGTCCAACTCTGGTGGATGGGACCCGACCAATCAGTGCCAACCCCACCCACCATCCAGCATCAACGGCTCCAGCAATATCCCCTGAAGAACCCCTGAGGCCGGCTTTCCACCAGGCCACGATCAAGAGCTACCAAGCGG